AAGTCGCAGACGCCAAAACGCATAAACCCCCACCACCGAAAAGGAAAGCCTACAAGAGGGGCAGGACGGATAGAGACTTGTTGAAGGAACTTCTTGAATTCGAGAAAAAGGCGAAGCTGTAGAAACCACGAAGGGCTGGCTTGTCCCACGTTGTCGGCCGTCTTTCGCTGGCCCCTACGCCGCCCGCAGAACTCTCCCACCTCCGCTTCCCAGCACGTGCCTGCAGGCATAGCTGGGAAACAGGAGATAGCTGGAAAACCTCGACGATCCACAATAGCACCTCGCAAACCCATTCCACCTTAAACAATGTACCAACTCAACCCAGATCAAGTGTGCTCAGTCAGTCCTATCAATACTATAATCATAGAGTTCAAACACCGACAAGTTTTTTATGGATTTCCTCCTGTCCTTTGGCCCGACCAGACGTCCGACGAGAAGAGGGTATAGCGACGGCTAGACAGCCAACAATGAGAATTACAAGGATTATGGGGAAGGTTTGAGAGGTGTGGGGAAACCTTGAAAAGGCAGTTGCCCACAACCCTACTGCGAGTAGTACACCATTCCAGGGGCTGGTTGTTGGTAGTAGAACCCGTCGGGACTCGGCGTCACCATCCCGCCCATACCGCTGACACCAGGGCCAAACTGTGGAGGGGGTTGGTAGCCCTGGTAGGCGTTCATGGGTGGCATCTGAGTGGCATCGTAATAGTACACCATGCCATTGACCTCCTGGGCAACCAAGTTGGGCCCGGCAGGTACCTGTCCGTTTGCCTGGGCAGCCGCGGGGTCCGGCTGAGTCTGGTGAGGATAACCCTGACCCTGACCCGGCTGTCCCGAGGGGGCGAATGACGCAGCGGCGGCCGGCGGACCCATGTTGCTGTTGTACTGTCCGGGGTAATAGTACGGCGGCGGCGGAGGCGGCGGCGGCTGTTGCTGCTGCTGCTGCATCATGGGGTAGGGCTGGTTGTAAAAGCTCTGTTGCTGGAAGGTATTCGGCTGGAAAGGAGCAGCGTGGATCGCCCTCTCTGGGATTTGCGACAGAGGTGTGCCAGTGGAATGCTGCGTGGGATAAGATGGCTGCCGCGAGTGGGCGTCCTGAGGATGGCCATTGGAGACTTGAACGGGAACCTGCTGGTGGAATGCTTGCTGGAAAGCTTGCGGACCTTGATTGAGGGTTGGCGACTCGATGTTGGTGACCGATACGGCCTTTTGAGGGCGAGGCTGGTGCATGGGTATCTGGGTCTGACGGTTCTCCTGGAATGCAGGCTTCTGGGGCAATGGGTGCGTCTGCGGCTGCGGCAAATCATTGATGGACGTCTCGTTCTGCTGCATAGGCATGGGCATCGGCACAGGGTAGACATCCTGCCCCATGAACGGCTGGTTCGCAGGCGGCAGGCGAACGATGGGCCTGGGGTTATCGACGGGGATTGGAGCTCGCGACATGACAGACCCCGTGGGCGAGAACAAATAATCCCGCCCGTCCGGTGCCAGTGAAGAGCGCCTACTAAGGGCGACACTCGGGGAGTATGCACTGCCGTAGTAGCTTCCGCCGAAGACACTGGTCCGCCTAGAGAAACCGCCCATGGAGCCAAGACCAGAACGAGGCTTGCCCCGGGTCCGCTGCTGGTTGGGTCGCATCGCTCGGGGGATAAAGATGAAGGATCGGTCGACGGCGGGGAAGATGTATTTGGGCGGGTTGTCGGGCAAGGAGATGCGGACGGGCTTGTCACGACGAAGGGGCGGCCGGTGATCAGGAAGCTTGGTGTACTGCTTGACGGGCATTGCAAAAGCAGACGGAGCTTTATCGAGGACGGGAAGAGAGACCCTAACCTGCACGTTGCCGATGTGTCGCTCTGTAGACAATGTCCTGTTGATGGGAGTGGGGTTCGACGGGCAGGTCGGGATGAAACCATTGCCGTTGGCCGGGCCTTCAGTATCGACGGGCAGATGCCTGGGTTGTCTCGATGGCGGCGGTTCGGCGACGACCTCGTGCATATCATGTGCCCACTGGCCACTCGTCAGGGGATCAGTAGGATTGTGCAGTTGGCTGCTCGGGTTAGCCGGATGACGACGAGAAGGCTCTTGTTGGGCGTACTTCATCGGTGCGTAGGGGCCCCCGATGCCTCCGCCACGGCCACGTCCTCGGCCTCTCCCGAAAGGCCGGAAGCCGTTGGCAGAGGGTCCGGCATGGCGGTGGTCGTGCATGAAGAAGGCCCCTCTGTTGGGGACGAAGGCAGGGTCCTCGTCCCTTCTCCGCTTGTATTCTTCGTGTTCCCGGCGACGACGTTCATTGACAGGCTCTGCCAAGCGTGACGAGTGGGAGCTCACGACGAGAGGTGCAGACGACTTGGGAGGGGATGCAGCGGCATCGGCTTGTCCTTGTTGAGCGGGCTCGGGGCGGTCGCTGATGGATAGGCCCTGGAGCATCTCATCGGCATCGGACGTGACCTTGTCGATCATCTGGGAGCCCAAGGCCGAAGCGCTCCGGACGGCAGGCTTCACATTTCCATTTCCATTTCCATGTCCAGCTGCCTTTCGAGGGTTGGGGGCGACGGGGGAGGCCTCATCGATATTGCTTGTGTCGCTGTCGTTGCCATGGTCGTGGTCATCGCTGACGATGGAACCCTCGGTCAGAGAGTCATCATCGAGATCGAGCTGGTCGGGTCCACCTTCTCCATCCTCCTCGTCCTCGATGCGTCTTCTATGACCAATCTTTCTGCGTCGGGGGGCGGCCATGGTGAAGCTTGCTGTGAGCTAGCTGCCTGAACCTTTTTTCTCGGGTTGATGAGCCGGCAGGGGGCGGGCGATGCTCAAATTGACGACGACGGAGAGGGCAGGCTCGAGGAGCTGAGGAAGCGGATGGGTGTCGAGGCAATCATGCGATGCTTGGCCGGGGGTCGGCTGAATGGAAGAGATGGAAAAGCAAATACCGCTCTGCGGTAGGTTAAGAATGAGGGCGATGGAGCAAACAGACGGCCAACAAAGGCGTATTAAATAAAATACAACGGCGGAAGCAGTAGCAGCAGCAGCAGCAGCAGCACAGCTTCGTTGTGCAGTGGTGGGGAGAGCAGAGCAGCAGAGCAAAAAAACCGCAATGCCGTGCACTAGCTGAGCTTGAACCCGCGTCGTCTCCTCTGACCTCTCTGCTTCTAATGAAAGAGCAGACGAAGGGGAAGTCTGGGATATGAGGAGGAGGAGGGCTTGGGGTGCGAGGAGGAATCGCAGGGGGGTGGAGAGATGGTGATGGTGATAGAAAGGGAAGGGAGGGAATTCGGCCAGACGACGTAAAAGACAAGACGGACGGATGACGGAGACGGGGCCACCTCGCAGACACCAGTCCGACTCAGGAGGAGGAGCAACAGCGGTAGCGGCAACAAGAGGGACGGGATTGTGGTGTTATTTTTATTTTATTTTTATTTTTCGCTTCTTGATTTATTGCTTCCCCCTGGCCCGTGGCTGGAGGAGCTGCTGAGGCACACACACACACGCACGCACCACCACCACCACCACCACCACCACCACCACCACCACCACAAGCACCACAAGCACGCCAACGCCAACGCCCGCTGTGTTGGCCGGTTGGGCGCCCGTGTTCCCTTCCCCTCCCCCCAAATTTCAAACCCTCCCAGTAGATTCTCAGCCAGTAGGATGCCCTCCTTGAACCGGCTCACCGGCGTGCGACGCTGTTTTGGGGCCTGGACCGGCTGGCCGTGCCCGCTGTGAAGAGTAGAACAGCCCACTAAAGAAGAAGAAGAAAAATTCCCGCCCTCTCCTCCTTGCAGAGAGCTCTGAACAGAATCTTGGGACCTTCCGGCCTGACTTGACTTCCAATAATAACCTCTCTACCAATCCGGGGTCATCACGGAGCTCGGCAGTCCCACTTTTTGATTTATTTCGTCAAATGCAGGCTCAACTCGTCCATCATATCATCATCTATGTACGGAGTAATGCTGTAGATATGCTATAGGTAGTGCAATTGTTTGTCTTCTTTTCTTTTCTTTTCTTTCCCCCCCTTGCACATACATGCATCCTCAGCGTCCAAATGGGATTCCCACCGATCTGGGTAGGATCTGTCTTGACTTTTTTTGTCATACGATGTGTTAACCTACCAGCCAGCGTTCCCACCAATACTGATGCCGCGCCTGTGGCCTGACATTTATCAATTTTCAGGATGATGCCGTATCAAGTCCCAGACGCTGGGACGGTCCAGGATCAGGCAGGCCGGCACCAAACCCTGTTTGCCGTGCTCACCATGTTTCTCGCCATCCTCGGGATGGGATGAAAACTATTCAGTCGGGATCGAACAAACCTAGACCAGAGCCCAGAACCGAGGATACCAATCCGCCGTTATCATCGACGGGCGGCGACCCTATTCGCCATGGCGATCAACAGAGGAAGATTTTAAATGTTCAAGGGCCCCGAGGCTCTTTTATGAAATTGAGTCTATGGAGGGCAGCATTCTTCGTAAGCTTGGCAAAACCTTAAGGTCCCATCCACAGAGTATACAGGACATTCCCAATAGTAGTGGTCCGTCAGTCATGCCACTTCACATTTGCGACTACGACACAAGCATACAGACAGACGAGCGTGTGTATATAACAAGGGTGAAGTGTTGGGCATCTCGGGACTACACACACAAGCTGCTCCTCGTAGGGGTTATCCACCCACTGTATTATTTCCTACCCAGAACAAACCACTAACTGGCACTTACACATGTCGAGATATTCTGAAAATATCTAAAACAAGGACATGCTATTGCCGAGGTCAGAGTCTCCATATCCGGCGCCTTCCGGTCCTTGCAATACTCACCCGCATGAGCAGCCGGCGATGTATTGGGCGTGCAAAACGGTTGCTGAAATGTGTATTCGTCATCATAAAAGGCGATGTTTCCATCTACACCAGCTGGGATACACCTTAAAATCTGGTCTGATAACTCGGAATCAAACCGTCCGCCTCAACTTGATCCCAGGCATCCAAGTGTTCGACATTTCACTACCCCGATTTCAGGACGATGAAGGTTGAAGATTCTGCGTCTTCTCGATTTTAGGCACACATCCGAATCTCGTATTTCCTTGGTCCCAAATCTACCGCAAGTTAGCATCATCTCATCACACTATACTCACGTTCATCAACAAAACTTACTGCATAAATTGACTTCAGGAACGCATCTCCTAGGATGTCGAATTTGTTGGAGCCTCTTGACTGCACGCCTCCGTACCAGAACCCGTCGCTAGCTGGTGCAAACGCCAGGTCCTCCTTCTGGATCACAAACTCCTTGTCACCGACAGCAACCTTGAACTCGGGCATGTCCTCCGCCTTGATGCTGGTCGGGAACACGTAGCCCTGCTGTTGTTCGTCGTACTTGGAGCCGGGAATCGCGTCGTACAAGGCCTGGCATACCTCGTCCGAGACGAGGGCCAAAGTCGTTCCAGTGTCCGCGATGGCCTTGTTTCCGCTCTGCGCGACAGCCTTGCCGTTGACGCTTGCTGATTCCGAGGAGAACATCCAGAACCCCTGCGTGTTGTCGATATCGACCCAATGGATATCCTCACCGGAAGCCTCAACGAGCTCCGTGTCGATCCACCCAAACGTGTAAAACGACCGCGGCTTGCTTTCATCGCGCTCGCTGTAGAACGCTGACGTAAACAGCTCTGCGTCCTTGGGGATATCGCTCTCCGCGATCATGTTGTCGACTGCCGTGGCCTGTGGGTCCCGGGCGCCACCTTTGTTTTGCACCGTGTTGATGGAGCTGAAGGCGAGGCCAAGGAGACCGTCACCTGTTCCCTGTGAGAACTGCGGGGCAAGATGCGCAGCGAGCTCGGTGACCTGGTTTTTGACCGTCAGCCCGCCGAGGACAAGGTTGTCGGTACCGCAGTCGCCCGACGCCGAGCTGCCATCGCCGTACGAAATCTTCCACGTCTTGCCCTCTAGCTTCTTGAAAGTTGAGGACTTGGAGGGATCGAACACGTTATGGTTGCGTTGGAGGGAACTGCTGAGCTCCTTTGAGAACACCTAGTATAGTATTAGTGACCGACGGGAAGGGGCACATTGATCAGAGTATTACCCAGAGATCGGAGGACCCCGTGTCAAAGTCCAGCTTGAACTTCTGCGGGGGTGTTCCGATAGAAACCTCGCAGAGATACATGGAGTCATACTGCTGGTCCTCGGCGGTGACTTCTCCGTGCTGGTCACCCTCGGTCTTTTTAACCAGAACCTTGCTCATGGAGACTCGACCGCCTACTGGCGCGTTGAAACCAGGGGCGGCAAGTCCCCTTTGGGCCATTCTTCGTGTCTGGACATATGGTCCAGGCTTCGTCGGCTCAAACTTGAACTTGTTCAGAAGATGGACATAAGACTTTCTGCCATGGCGGTTGTAGTTTTTGTTTGGCACCACAGGAATCTTTGCGAGACCATTGTCCGCCTTGAACTTGGCTTGGGCTTGAAAAAATGCTTGCATTTTGGATCCGTGATTTGATTAAACCCAAGTTGCGTGGGTGGTAGCAAATTGTTGGGGCTGTTAGTCGAGAAGAGCTGAGCTCTCGAGCTGGCGGGTTCAGAACGACGACTAAATACCTGTTCGTTTTGGTAAGAGAAGCGGGAATGACGTCTCGGAAGACCGACATCAGATGAATCTGGGATGTTGGAAATCAATGCGTGATAGCCGCAAGTAAGCCTACTTGACAAGCGCTTGTAGAGAGATAAGGAGGAGCTGTCACTTAGGAGGTGGGGCGGCAATCATGCTCTGGCATCTCGAAGGCCATATCAAAAGCTGTTGTTTCGCTGAGGACGGTTCAGCTGAACAGGACCGGGATCAAGCTGTATCTTGTCATGGGAGGACCTCATGCCGGCAGTTGAAGTGTAACAGCCTGGAGTCAGATAGGGGAGGTGGGGCGTTGCAACTGCAAGCTTGAAACGGATCTTCGCGACAGCGCTTAGGACCTTTAGCCTGTGTCCTCGAGCTTTCGTGAGGGGGATGATAATGATTTGGACCTCGGCCCAGCCTGATGAGGCAGTTGGGAAAGAAGCAGAGGGGGTGTCCAATTCGCTGGCGGGGTCTACGTTGAACCGATTCAAGCTAAATAATGAGATGAATGCTGCTTCGATGAGCGAGTCGAAGTGACGCTATCGACTCCCTGCGAGGCAGATTTGCAAACTTCAAGATCCTCCAATTTGCAGCATTGTTCGGTTGAACTCTATGGGTTGGCACGTTCAAAGTATTGCCAGAAAGTTACAATATCTACATAGTACATTGTATGGTTTTCATCTGAGCGATTTGGTATGAAGGAGCAAATCAGCCAAGAGATGAGGTCTATGATGTAAGGGACGGCTGCACGGTGACTGGAGGACAGGGGTGAGCTTAGCGGGCCATGTCCCGTCTTGGCGTCGATCGACTCCAGACTCTTGAATACCCTGCAAGAGCGCGTTACAAGGGCTGGGAAGAATACGAGGTCTTCCGTTGACGCCGAGGTATCCTGTTTGCTACTGGTTACATATTCTTTTATTCCGGCTTGCCATGACAGTGATATTTGTCGCACTCGATTGGAGAGCTGATAGCAAGAGAAAAGGGTGTGTGACGTAGATGTGGTGCTAAGTCAGGTTCGCACGACCCGTGGCTGGCGATAACGAAGTGACCTCTCTATTGAAAAACCGCCAGCTTCGACGAGCAGATAGCCAACAGTACATGACTTGAAGTCAATCATACTAGAACAGGCTCGCAAGACTTTTGCCATCTGGGATTCAATTTTTTTTGGTAGGGTTAAGCTGGACCTTTCCAAAGGTGAAACCGCGGACACCATTGCTGAGCCAGCATGGCTCTCCATCCACAACGCTGCCGGCTGTGACCTCCTCCTCCACAGCCAGACAGCTACCCAAGTTAGTCCAGATCCAATCTATCATATCGAGGCATATTGAATACAGAGCCCACGACTCACCGTTCAAGGGCCCATCTGCGGGTGGTCCCGTCTTGCCCGCCGCTGCCATTCTCCGGGATGTATTCGGTAGATACCGGTGGAGTGACCCACCGGCCATTTCTCCAGAAGAATGGAGTGGTCAAGCTGCCCTCCATGATGTTGCCACTCTTCGAGTTGACGAGGAGCACTTCCTTGCGATCTGTTAGGGCGATACTCTCGCGGTCTCGCGCGGTGTCATACATGGCCCGCTTTGTTGTCTTGTAGTGGGTGTACTCTGATTGTGGAGTCTCCGTTTTGTCAATCACCACCTCCATGGGGGAATCCTGTGACGGATCTCCAGCCTGCCGGGAACTTCCCGGCGACGGGAGCCGCTGCGGGAAAAGGTTCCCCAGAGGAACCGCGGGAACGCTTGATGCTTCGCAGCTGAGACTCCCTTCCGAGGTCAGTATGACCTTGACTCTCAGAGCACTTTCCTTCCCGTGCTGGGCCAAGAAAGACTCAATCGCCTCAGTTAGCCTTTGGAGACCGGCCGCGCCCCGGAGAGTCTCAATGGCAGGGGTCCAATTCCAGTAAGTGGCAGCTCGCAGCATCCGATCCCGGTGAAGATCCAGCATGTAAAAGGAGGAGGTCATTCTGGCGTTCCACCCCGCATTGTCGAGGTGTCTCTTGGGTACAGTGAGAAGCTCTGGGTCATATCGCAGAGACGTGAATAGCTGGAAGTCTTCGTTAGGCATCGTGACAAAGAGCCGTCGTAGAGGCAACACTGGATGATATTGCAGACTGATAAGTAGCAGGAAGTTCTTATGGCGGACGATGGCCTGATAGCCAAGAGGGGAGAGGTAATGTTTCAGCCGTGATAGCGGTTCGGAGCTTTTTCAAGATTCGGATCAGAGAGGCAGGTTTATGAATTCAAGATGTGAAACCTAGAAGAGATAATGCAGTTGTCGCTTCAGGTTCGAAGGATTCACCGAGTAAACAACGGTTGATGACAATTAAAGCCCTCCATGCGGGAAAAATGTTGCGCCAGAAAGATCTGCCGCGGTGATTACATAATGAAGACACACTGCTTGATGCCTGCAACTCTCGATAGTCGTCTTGCCTTACACCTGATCAAGAACAACAATGCCGTAAGCTTATGGGACAACAGACCACATGCGCCAATTTTATGTCATGACAGGCCCTTTTCCCTTGGACATTGCGAGAATTCATGAAGACCACACCTGAGCCGGAGGTAAATTTGATACGTGAGGGGGCATGTGAAGGCCATGTCGTTGCTTGGAAACCCAGCGTCAAAACACTGACCAGCAGAAGAAAAGTAAGCCTGCCCGGATTATTACTATATTGAGTAATATCCTGTCCTTCGTTCGAATTAATCGGTGTATCAATGTCGGGTCCACATCACATAACGATATGTGAAGATATTCAAATGCTATATATGGGGTGTGACTGCAACGTCCAATATCCTGAGCCCTTCTACGAGCAATTAGTCACGATAAGGTTGCCAGTTCAGTTGATCAGCCCCAATCTAGACTTAACCCGATTTATTCGTAGCCCGATTGGCCCCAACAACAAAGTTCAGAAGAAGGGAGTGTGCGTCTGGCGTACGAGTAACACCTGGCATAGCCGAGAAAGCTATGTAATTGCCGAGTTTATTGTCGAGATTAGTCCTCATGTCGAAAGTTTTATCCTTCCTCAGTTCAGCGATGCAGAGTTGATAGAACCGTGATGAGAGATGCAGTGATAAATAGAAAACCATTTGTCCTAGCTGCCTGTTTCTTCCATGGGTTTCCATCTCTTGTTGCCTACTCTGCTATCAACAACCCTGTCGTTGTTTTGTTATGCCACAGTAGTATTGGGAAAAGGCACGTCAGTCGACGATTGGCGTTTGTCTTGACGTTGGTATGATGTACCGAATCGCGGCGACTAAGAGTGCCGAGCAAGCAAAATAAGATAATCAAGACTAGCATCTTGCATGCAGCCAGGTTTGGGTTTGTTTTGTTTCGTTTCGTTTGAATATCAAGTGAATCACGACTCGACTCGTTCTGAGTGCAAACATAGCATCTCGGGCACTTGCAAATGTTGAATTAGAGAGAACCGAAGGGAGGGCGAGAATTTGGTGCTATGTAAAACCGAAAACTCTGGTTCGCCATGGCAATGTCAGCTAGAAGGACCGCTAGTTAAGAGGTACCTACCTACCTTATACCTACAGGTACCCTGACAAAGTACCTGCACACTCCGATCACGCTATGGCTGACCAACACATCCCTGCTTCGAGGACGTCGTGGACCCTCTTTGGTTACGTAGTGTGCAGATTTTAGATGGCCATCCCTTGCGACTCCACTCTAAAATCGCCTGACGCAAGCTGATTTGGTGAATGACAGCAAGCTGACCAGAGACAACTGCCCGGAAAAACTCCTCACGAGCTTCCCCGTCGCGCAATAATTTTTCGTCTGCGGCTACTGCTCGGAAGCTCCTGGCCCAGCGCATCCGTAACAGCAACACCGCCTAAACCCTCTACATCATCGACCGAGCTGGTCTGCCCATTAATTCCCTTCCTTTCGACCCTGCGACTTTTCTTCCAGTAACCCTCTTGATACCTTGCTTCTCGTTGACCAATTGCTTCGGCCAATTGCTAAAATGTCGAATCCTCTGCCGTCCGTGCCTCCCATGGCCAGTCCTCCGACTGTCATTCCCGTTGATTCGTCTTCTGGCCTCTGGGATCGGATCACCACCTGGGCAGCGGATAACAAGGCCGTTGTCTACACTGCCGCCGGTGTCGCCGTCGTCGCTACTGGCGCCGGTGTCATCTACTTCCTCAACAGCGACTCCGTACGTCATTCATTCCATCTCCTTTCCGCGATGCCTGTCGTCATGCGATTCAATTTTTTTTAGCTGTTGTTACCGAGATCTTAGCGCACCTTGCCAGCGCTGGATCGTTCTCCGCAAGATTGAAACTAACGACTACTACGAATGCAGAAGAAGGAGTCGACACCAAAGCTGAGCAAGAAGGAGAGGAGGAAAAGAAAGGAGGCCGAACGGAAGGCTGCCGAGACAGAGAAGCAGCCCACATCTACAGAGGCTGCAGCTCCTACGCAACCCAAGGCCGCTGCCGTCGAGTCCGCCGATGAACTTCCCGAGATCGATGAGACCACCGTTGCGAGCTTCACCGCGGACCAGCGAGAGCGGTACGCCGCCAAGCTGAAGGACGTGGGTAACCAGGCCTACGGCAGCAAGGACTACAACAAAGCCATCGAACTTTACTCGAAGGCGATCCTCTGCAAAGCTAATCCCATCTTTTACTCTAACCGTGCCGCCTGCTACAATGCTTTGGGCAACTGGGACAAGGTTGTCGAAGACACGACCGCCGCCATCAACCTCGACCCTGAATACGTCAAGGCCCTGAACCGTCGAGCCAATGCCTACGAGCACCTCAAAATGTACAGCGAGGCCCTGCTCGATTTCACGGCCTCCTGTATCATCGACAGCTTCAAGAACGAGAGCAGCGCACAGGCTGTCGAACGTCTGCTCAAGAAGTTCGCCGAGCAGAAGGCCCAGGAGATGATGGCCGACCGTCCAAGCAAGCTACCCAGCCACACCTTTGTCGGCAACTATCTCCAGAGCTTCCGCGTCAAGCCTCGCCCGGCCGGTCTGGAGGACTCTGCTATTCTGTCCGAGGACACCGGCAAGGGTCAGTTGCAGCTCGGCTTGAGGGCCTTGGAGAAGAAGACTGGCGACGGCTACGAGGAGGCGAGAGCCGCCTTCGAGAAGGCCCTGGAGCTGGGCGAACTCGGCGAGTTCGAGGCTCTGGCCTACAACCTCCGCGGCACTTTCAGCTGCCTGCTCGGAAAGCACGACGACGCCATGGCTGACCTGTCCAAGAGCATCGAGTTGGACCCCTCGATGACCCAGAGCTACATCAAGCGCGCCAGCATGAACCTCGAGCTCGGCGCCCCCGAGAAGGCCGCCGAGGACTTTGAGAAGGCCATGGAGCACAACAGCGAGGATCCCGATATTTACTACCACCGCGCCCAGCTGCACTTCATCAAGGGCGAGTTCTCGGACGCCGCTAAGGACTACCAGAAGTCGATTGATTTGGATCGCGACTTCATCTTCTCCCACATCCAGCTTGGTGTCACCCAGTACAAGATGGGTTCTATCGCATCGTCCATGTCGACCTTCCGTCGCTGCATCAAGAACTTCAAGGAGGTCCCCGATGTCTACAACTACTACGGTGAGTTGCTCCTCGACCAGGGTAACTTCCAGGAGGCCATCGAGAAGTTCGACAGCGCCATCGACATGGAGTCCAAGACGAAGCCCATGGCCATGAACGTTCTTCCTCTTATCAACAAGGCCCTCACCCTCTTCCAGTGGAAGCAGGACTTTGGCGAGGCCGAGAAACTGTGCCAGAAGGCGCTCATCAGTAAGTGAAATATAGGCTTCCCGCTTGAATTCTACCACTAATCTCGGGGCAGTTGATCCCGAATGCGACATTGCTGTTGCGACCATGGCCCAGCTCCTGTTGCAGCAAGGCAAAGTCACTGAGGCGCTCAAGTACTTCGAGCGTGCCGCAGAGCTCGCTCGTACCGAGGGCGAAATCGTCAACGCTCTGTCCTACGCCGAGGCGACGCGCACGCAGCTTCAGGTACAGGAGAAGTACCCGAAGCTTGCGGCCAAGCTCCAGGGCATCGGCCCAGGTGGCATGCCCCGGTAAATGACTCATCAAGGTAAGAAGCAGCAAATAAAACTCACCCACTGTTGTCGTGTAAGAAGAGCGAAACACAGCTCCAAAGTACAGGGTGGAGCGGGTAGCCTGGACGATTGGTGTCCCGGTTGGTAATAGGGGAAAATATCAGAGCGGGCAAGTCGCCCGTTCGCTGTGCTGTGTGTTTTTTTGTTGGCTGGGCGAAGGGGGAGCTTTGGGATAGGAAGGAGAGTGAAGGGCTACAAACGGCAGGGGAGGCATGGGTCGAACCCTTTACGTTGTAAATACACCGACTTCTCTCACTTTACGTATATTGGTGAGAGCATTGTAGAACTAGTCCATTGTCATTTGTAACCATTTCCACCCTCTCCATTTCTCTTAGCTCTCTAGGGCGTATTCTGTGTTCAGCAAGCATCTCCCGCTTTGAATGTCTTGGGTGTCTAAGAATGGCAATGAGAGCGTGACGCAAGATCAGGCGGAACGACAGCTTCCCTTGCTCATCGATTCGGCTTGCCGCCGGCCTTCCTGGATAAATACACCCTAGGTAAGTAAGTATGCTTCTGCGCGCTGCTTCCTTCCCAATCCTGCGTATAACAGGCCCCTTCTCAAGGCAAATACCACATACTACTTACTTGCCTTAGTACTTGCCTTTCTGCATGTCTTCTATATCTATCCCGACTCACATGGATCCCTCCGGAGGATGGCTTCACCCGAACTGGCAAAAAGGGAAGAGTGGACGATCTGGGAATCGAACCCAGGACCTACCGCAAGTCATGAACCATGCTAAGCGGTCATTATACCACTAAACCAATCGCCCCAGTTGTCGTGATCTAGCCCGGACTTGAACCGGAGACCTTCAGTGTGTTGCAGCCGTGTCCGAGGTGAATCGTGACGGAGGTTGTTAGACTGACGTGATAACCAACTACACCACCAGACCCGTACTTGTTGGAAGACGTGAGCAGGGGCAGACAGTTATGACACGGGGACAACGGGGTCCGCTGGTCTCTAGGGCAGGCAGGGCTTGGGGGAAAGGGGGGGGGGGGGGGGGGTTAGCGGGTCGAGTGCGGATGGAGATTCTTGCATGTGAGAGTGTGAGAAGTGGCATCGTGAGTGCAAATTTGTGTTAGTGGGGAAGGAGGACCTCGCAGAGGACCGGGGTGGGGGCCGGACCAAACTGGGGGGCCTAAGCTCGAGCCTAGGCCGGCCGTATTCCTCGCATGGCTGCCATGGCTCGAGGAAGGGGATATGTTGATAGCCAGGGCCGGTGGGCCGGGATGCGGTGTAGGTTTTGGGGGGGGTAAAAAACGGGTTCACTAGGGAGCTCTCAGAGACAAGGGCTTGGTAGGACCACGAATATAGTGATGCAAGTTCGTAGCTAGGTAGTCGCTATTGTGCGATACGTACAAGGAAATAATACCGGCTTCCCTTCCTCCCCGTCCGTCCCTTCTCATCCAATGAACGAGGGGAAGGAAACGCCCTGAATAAGTACAGGTATAAGGTATAGCCCCCCCCGATTTGTCTGATCGTATGAAGAGTATGCATACATAAGTCAATCATTGATGGGGAATCAAGGAGCTCGCCGCGTACTAAGACGCGGTGAAGTCGTGGCTAAGTCGTGGCTTCGTCGAAGGTGGGCGAAATTTTGTGTGCGCATGTCCTAATTAGTGCCTCCCTCCCGTCGGAGCCATCGTCATGAAATCTAAATATTCTCCGTGCTTCTCTTTCGAATTGCTGTCCCTTTCCGTCATGCTGGAGTGGGTCGAGACCCGGCTCCGTCCTCAGATTACTTTCTCCTGGTTGTCACGATGCCAATCTCGAAGAGTGGTCACGCGGCAACCTGCTTATTGGCCAGTAGCCTTTTCGTTAGCATTCCTGGTCAAGGTGATACCCAGACCGACGCCCAGTGCGATGGCGATGATGATGAGCACGACAACGAGCAGGCACCACCACTTGAGCTTTCTGCGCCTCCTGGCGTGCTTGTTGGCAGTTGCAACCTCTTCGTTGCCCTTTTGGATGTTTTCGACAGTCTGCTGGGCATTCTGCTCGGCGGCTTCGACGACAGGCTCCTGGGCCTCGACAAGCGTGGCCATTTCTTGGTAGAGCGTAGCCAATTCGATGAGCGTCTTCTCAATGCGCTGCAGTTCGTTGTGACGGGCCCTGACATTACCCAGGATGGAGTTGGCCTGACCTGTCCGGTTTGATTTGAGCTGTTGGCGATATCAGCACAGCGACGTCGGCGAGCCGAGAAATTCGGCCAAACGGGGCACTCTTAAGCTTACCGCTTCCTGGAAGACACCTTCATTGCCCCAGTCCATCTGCGTCGCCTCCTCGACCTCGGCTTCCGTCGCCTCCGGGTGGACAATACGGAACTGGCGGGCGATCTGGTCGCGGTAACGGCGCTGGTAGTCCTGCTCAATCTGCTGGTACTTTGTGAGTTCGGACTTGAAGGTGTTCTTTAGCGAGTTGAGCTGGGCGGTCTTTGTCGCGCGCGACCCGTCCCGTGTTTTGGCCAGGTCCTTTTCGAGGGCCTTGATGCCGTCCTTGACAGCCGTGTTGCGCAGTTGGGTCGCAGAGACGGCCTGCTCAAGCTGGTAGCTGGCGCTGTTGTCGGGAGAGGAGAGTGAACGCTGGTGCAGTTGGGCAATGTTCTCGATATCAGAAGTGAGGCCCTGGATCTCCGAGCGCAGGTATTGCACGCGCTGGAGGAAGTCTTGCTGGCTCATGACTATAGGCGCGGGCTGCTCGGCGTACTTGTCCGTCTCTCCGTAAGGCTGCATTTCGTACTGGCCTTGGCCATATTGCGGCTATTACAAGCGTCAGCAATGCGACATGGAATTTGCGCTTTCACGCCGGAGCAAGACAGTGAGCAATTGAGAGGGGGACATACCTGCTGGTTGTCGTAGCCATACCCGCCCTCAGCCTGGGGGCCTTGGGCGTAGGGGTTTTGGTTATACTGTTGGTATGACATCTTGATTTAGAAGCTACTATCGATACGATAGTAGACAGCGCGTTTCAAGCCGCCCCAGCTTGATTGCCGATGTGTGAATGAATTGGGAGGATTTGGGCCTCTCGTGAGGGTGTGTTATGGTGGTGCGAAAAAGAGGATATTTTGGCCGATGTCTGGTCGCCTGGTTAAACGACGTTGGACTTCGGGGCGCTGACAGGAACCGGGAAGCGCTGGAAAGACGCTGGAAAGACAGTGAGTATGGACCCAATCAGGAACTGGGACCAGTCAGAGCGGATGCTCCGGGCTGTGTTCGCGGTTGGATGGAGGCGCTCGTGAACGGGCGCAAGTGGGTAAGGTTGGCCGATCTGCTTTCCGGGGTCCCTACACTAGGTACTTTTTCTTTCCCACCTGAGAGAAACAAGCCTGACGGGAGGGAAACAAACAATCAAACAAAACAAACAAGCCTCGGAAACGAAACCCCTTTCTGAGCTGAGACGCTTTTTAATGCACCTCATATACGCTTCCCAGTATTTTTGGTGGGAGAGCAAGTCGGTCAGAGACGGACGTGATGAAAGCGAAGGCAGGGTCAGTGACATCAGAGCATGTTGTAACGACGGGCGGGGCGAAAGTTATTATTATACAAAATGTACACGAGACGCATTGCTTTTTCATCTCTGTTGCGGTGTCCGTAGGGGCCCCTTAGTGTCTCACGCACCTGGCTTAGTCCGACGGCGGTACGGGAGGCTGGCTCGGTCCCCTCGCATCTCACCTTGGTCCGCATGTGCTGTCTTCCCTCTCTCCCGCTTGGGAGCTTGCCCAGCCACCTCGCTGCCGAACAGGTGACGAATGACAGCTTTGTCAAACGGTGGTGGAGCTTGAGATGGACTGAGTGGCGGCGGTGGCACATGTGATCGCCAATCCCGCTGAAAAATAAAAACAAAAAACAGCCACCATGAACGGGTTTGCGGCCTCCGATGCTCGCGGTTTTGTGTTCTTCGTCAACGAATCGACTGTCGCCTTGCCGCCTAACGGTGCAAGGTGCAAAGAGCTCATTGCTCCTTCGCCAAGCTCACGGCTGCGGAAAGCTTCGCCATCTTGTGGCTCAGCGTACGTATCGCCCATTCTGCTTATCCTCAGCGATCTAAGCCCCCCAGTTCTCGCGCAATAATAGCATGCAGTGAGGGCAGGGTATACACGCACTCCCATGACAATTACCCACATCGCCTTGCTTCCGTCCCAGACCGAAAGACATAACCTTACACTCACACGAGGCCACCATTGTGTTGCGCGCATGGTGGGGCACTTGAACAGGTGATTCTCAAGCAGTCCGCTGGATCATTTCATTATCCCATGTTTAACTTTGTCCATGGAGAGCTTGGGTAGCCACCGCGAACACTAGCTGCAACTCATTGAACATTGCCCATTGGTTCGTGATGGCCGTCGCCCAAAAGCCCATCCAACTGTTTCTCTGTAACGATAGGTAGCCTCGGATTTGCCCAACCATGCTGAACGAGGTAGAACAAAGCATGCGTCAAATCGGGTCTAAGCACGGTGAGAATCACATAAAACTCAATCTATACGGAGTAGACAAGATGCATAAGTAGTTTTCTGTCGTCATTTGAAGTACCTAGCCACAAGTCGACCTCATTAGCTAGATCTGACCATGGCCACGGCTGACACCCCAAGCCACAATATGAATGTGGCTGGAGGCTGGGACTAGGTGGGGTGGTTTGGAGAGGCGGCTTCGGCTTATCGATAAGGAAAAAGTTTGGGCGGGTTGGCGGACGATAGATCGCGAACTCCATCACTTCATACCGCACCGCCGTCCAACCAACCGCCCAAGCTTTGCTGCAGCAGATCTACGTTTTCAATAATTTACGAGCCTCCATATCTCAGAAAAACCGAAACGTTCTCAACGGCTTCGCGACGGCACTTAGCGAACTCGATCCTAACGACACTCAGCAACACCGTTCACGATGATTCGCAAACAGGCGCGACAGCGCCGCGACTATCTCTACAGGAAGGCGCAGATGCTGAAAGACGCAGAAACCAGCGAGAAGCGTGCCAAGTTGCGTTCCGCACTCGCCGCCGGAAAACCGCTCGATCCCGAAATCGCACGAGACAAGACGCTTCGCAAGGATTTCCAGTATGATCAGGCCAAGCCAGAGCTTAGTGTACAGGAGGAGATGGATTTGGACGACGAGTACTCAATGCTGAGCGGCATTTCAGAGCCCAGAGTCCTCGTCACGACCTCGAGAGATTGTTCCAGCCGCCTCGCCGCTTTTTCGAAGGAAATAAGGTTGCTCCTGCCGTATGTGAACCGTTCGCCTCTATCCTTGGTTTCGCCAAGCTGACCCAAAGTCATGTAGGACATCCGTACGCCTCAATCGTGGAAACCTGATTCTCCCAGATTTAGTGCAGTCTTGCAAATCCAACGCATTGACTGACCTCGTCCTACTACACGAACATCGCGGAAATCCCACAGCACTGACAGTAAGTGTGCTGCGTCTGCTGAACCGTTCATGGGCTCACTGTAGACTAGATCAGTCACTTGCCACACGGGCCGACTGTCAGCTTCAGTCTGCACAACGTAGTTCTCCGTAAGTTCGTCCTCTCAGATCATGATTCAAGAATACACGAGTTCCACGAAAGAGGAAATGATATTGGCCTTATCCTCTGCCAGCTGCTCTTAGTCTATTCCCTAGGTTTCCGATGGTTGCACATGAGTCTAGTCAGAGTATCCCGATATATAGGCATAGGCGACTACTTTCAAGTGAAAGTTGTTTTCTTTTTTTAACCGGTTCGGTGGATTTTGATCGTTCGCGTGGGCACTCAAAAACAAGAAGTGACGGCTAACTCGGAGCAGGTCACGACATTCCTGGAAGCATTCGGGGCAGTGTTTCTGAAGCATACCCCCACTTGATCTTTGAGGGATTCAAGAGGTATTTATCAGCCCAAGACTGATTTCGGCCGTCACTAACCGTCTTCAAAGCCGCTTGGGTCAAAGGATAGTAAAAGTCCTGAAGCATCTTTTCCCTCCGCGCGATCCGATTACCACCAAGGCGAAGATCGGAAATCGTGTTGTAACCTTCATGAACAATGGTGAGTTTTCTTCCCAAGGCGTTTGCAAGCAATTTGAGCCGATCGAGCTAATCATGTATCTGGTGCGACAGAGGATAGTATCGAAGTGAGACAGTAAGCTACTTCTTCTGCCATGACGCAACCAGATCATTGCTGACTGTGGTAGCCACGTGTTTGTCCGAACCTCATATGACTCGGTCGAGCTTGCTGAGGTTGGACCGCGTATGACTATGAGGCCATTCGAAATTCGCGGTGGTACCCTCGAAAACAAAGACGGAGACGTCGAGTGGCATCTGACACATTACACCCGCACTGGCAGAAAGAAGGAGTATTTGTAGGAGAGTACTCATGATTGAAAGTCGCGTTAGAAGGTGCAGAAGCCCGGCGTATCGCTATCGCATGGAATCGTGCCTGTCGATAGACGGCGCAATCAACAGCCATGTGCGATGATCCAGCAACAACCGCGGTGAGGGGCCATTAATGGGATTCCAGAGGGAACACTTGGAGCCATAGGCACCCAGGCTCCCAAAGATTTACCACACCCGCCGTTACCGGTTTGCCCTTTGAGGGGAGGGGTATCAAGAGTTGCGTATCCGTGGAGATGCCATGAAATGGAATATACGCAGACGGCATTGAAGATATTAAAGGTAGAAGCCTACGGGTCTTTGGGATCGCAAGGGGTAGTCCAAGCCATGGACACCAGCCAGTCTGGCAGAACTCGGGGTATTTCCAAGAAGCAGAGAAGCTGTTATCGCTTTAGTGCGTTCATTGTACTGTAATTGTGGCAAATCACTTGCTAGCCCCAATTCTGGCAGTAGTTCTCGTTCTTTGAGAAAATTGATTTAAGAGATGCAATTGTGAAATGACCAAGCTGGCTGCCACTCAATACGCACATAGTTTGAGGAACTGCGAATCTTTAGTGCAGGGTTGGCTGTTACAAGGAGCCTGCCGGCTAACCAGTACCTTTTCGCGACGAGAATCCGCATGACGGCGTTGTAGCAATAGCAGTCAAGGAGGGGTTGCTGTAGGAGTCCGAGCCACATTTGGGTGTGTGCTGTGTAAACCAAAATAGGTGTTGTGGTCTGGGCTTTGTCAACTGGGATACTCCGACCTGGCCCGCTTATCAGCTCTCGGTCTGTTAGTCACGTGGTGATAAACGCATCCCACCACAGGAAAATGACTGCCTTTCGCCGCTTTGGCTTTGCGGAACCAGTCCTTGCTGCGGATGCTTGACTTCACCATCAGAGGCATACAACCAACCATTCACGACCACGACCGCGCCCCCAACAAGCTTCTACTCAGTTGGTATACCTCGCGGGTTCCAGCGTCAAAACCCGATTCTTGCTCACCGATATGATGTGACCTTTCCCGCTCCCTTATACCTCGAATCCCCTTTCCGTACGACCTGAGCCAACCGAGGCTCTGCGACGCCGAAATATTCGAGTGCAAGAAAAAGGCTGATGTAAGTTGCGCATGCCCTTGGCCCCGCATAGGGGGACTTTTTCTTGGGCTTTTGCCACTATTATAACACAGCACTTCTCCCTCCAGCTCAGTTGCGACTACCGACTGACCTTCCCCTCCAAGAGAGATCAGTAAAGACTAGCGGAGGACTGATTATTGCGACAATCACCCACAACACGATCATCGCGACGATGGAGGGTGCCTTCAACCACCTCGGGAACCATCTTCTAAGCGATTCGGCAGCCGCGATCAAGGCTGGCGCCGACGACTTAACCGGTATCGAGCCTGACGAGAGCTTTCTCTACGGAAAATTTGGCGGCCGTGGTGCCCGTCGTCGTGCCGATGACGACGACAACCAGACAGAGCTCTACGACGATGACGACAACGACAGCTTGACGAGCATGCCCGTTGGGGCTACGAAAGATTTGAATCTCGGAAGACCTCAGGATGAAGACAGGGAGCTTCCTCCTCATGCTTGCGCGTATGTCTTGCCTCCCCCAACCTCAACCTAGTCTGTTGTCGCTTGGCTAACTCTTGTCTGGCCTAGGTACTGCGGAATCCATTCGCCGAGCTCCGTAGTCAAGTGCCTTGGCTGTAACAAGTGGTTCTGTAGTGCCCGTAGTAATGCGAGCTCTTCCCACATCGTCAACCACTTGGTGAGAGCCCGGCACAAAGAGGTTCAGCTTCACCCCGAGTCCACCCTTGGCGATACCGTGCTGGAATGTTACAACTGCGGAACTAAGAACGTCTTTCTTCTGGGCTTCATCCCCGCCAAGTCGGATACTGTTGTAGTGCTCTTGTGTCGCCAGCCATGTGCTGCAAACACCTCGTCCAAGGACATGAGTTGGGACACTTCTCGGTGGCAGCCTCTGATCGAGGAACGAGCTTTCCTCACCTGGCTTGTTGCCACCCCATCCGATGCCGAGCAACTGCGTGCTAGACACCTGACTCCCCCCATGATTGCCAAATTGGAGGAGATGTGGAAGGAGAATGCGACCGCGACGGTTGCGGACCTCGAGAAGGCTGCCAGCATCGACGACGACCCCCACCCCGTCCTGCTCAAGTACGACGACCCGTATCACTACCAGAACATCTTCGGCCCCTTGGTCAAAATGGAGTCCGACTACGACAAGAAGCTCAAGGAGGCGCAGTCTGAGGATGGTCTTACCGTTCGCTGGGACTACGGTCTCAACAACAAGCACCTGGTCAGCTTTGAACTGCACAAGATAGAGTCTGGCGACGTCAAGCTGGCTGTTGGCGACGAGATGCGGCTTCGGTACAAGGGCGAGCTCCGTCCCACCTGGGAGGGAGTTGGCTATGTAATCAAGATCCCCAACAACCAGTCCGACGAGGTCACTCTCGAGCTGCGTAAGGCCGGCAACGAGAAGACTGTTCCGACCGAGTGCACCCACAACTTCTCGGCAGATTATGTTTGGAAGGCTACATCGTACGACCGCATGCAGTACGCGATGAAGACCTTTGCTGTGGACGATATGAGTGTCTCGGGATACATATTCCACAAGCTACTGGGCCACGACGTCGCGGTTGCACCGATGAAGACAACTATGCCTAAGAAGTACAGTGTCCCTGGCCTCCCCGACCTCAACACGAGCCAGATCGCCGCCATTAAGGCTGTGCTGTCGACCCCGCTTAGCTTGATTCAGGGCCCTCCAGGTACCGGAAAGACTGTTACTTCGGCAACCATTATTTACCACCTCTGCAAAATGAACAACGGCCAGGTTCTAGTTTGCGCCCCGTCCAATGTTGCCGTCGACCAACTTTGCGAGCGCATTCACCGCACCGGCCTCAAGGTCGTTCGTCTTACGGCCAAGTCTCGTGAGGATGTGGAATCGTCTGTGAGCTTCCTTGCACTTCATGAGCAGGTCCGTATGAACGACAGCAACGGAGAGCTTGTCAAGCTTGCACAGCTCAAGAGCGAGCTCGGCGAACTGTCCAGCCAGGACGAGAAGAAGTTCAAGCAGCTCACCAAGGCGGCCGAGAGGGATATCCTTCACAACGCTGACGTTGTCTGCTGTACCTGTGTCGGTGCCGGCGATCCTCGCCTGTCAAAGATGAAGTTCCGCAACGTCCTCATTGACGAGTCAACTCAATCCGCCGAGCCCGAGTGCATGATTCCCCTGGTCCTGGGATGCAAGCAAGTCGTCCTGGTTGGTGATCACAAGCAGTTGGGACCGGTTATCATGAACAAGAAGGCAGCGAAAGCAGGTCTCAACCAGTCGCTGTTTGAGCGCCTTGTCAACCTGCGACTGGTTCCCATCCGCTTAAACATCCAATACCGCATGCATCCCTGCCTGTCGGAGTTCCCTTCCAACATGTTCTACGACGGATCTCTCCAGAACGGTGTAACAGTCAGGGAACGCGTTCGCCGCGACGTGGACTTCCCTTGGCCCGTCGTCGATATGCCGATGATGTTCTGGTCTAACTTGGGCAACGAAGAGATCTCGGCTTCCGGAACGTCTTACCTCAACCGCACAGAGGCGTCCAATGTGGAGAAGGTTGTCACTCGCTTCTTCAAGGCCGGAGTCAAGCCCCTGGACATTGGTGTCATTACTCCGTACGAGGGCCAGCGAAGCTACATTGTTAGCACCATGCAGAACACGGGCACGTTCAAGAAGGAGAGCTACAAGGAAGTCGAGGTCGCCTCTGTTGACGCTTTCCAGGGTCGCGAGAAGGACTTCATCGTTCTATCCTGCGTTCGTTCCAACGACAACCAAGGCATTGGTTTCCTTTCGGATCCGCGCCGTCTCAACGTTGCCTTGACTCGTGCCAAGTACGGACTGGTCATCATTGGTAACCCCAAGGTCCTCTCCAAGCATGAGCTATGGCATCACTTGCTTGTTCATTTCAAGGATCGAAAGTGCTTGGTGGAGGGCCCTTTGACCAACCTCCAGACTTCGCTGTTGCAGTTCGGAAAGCCAAGAACCGCATACCGCCAGAAGATGAGCCAGCCCCCTCAGTTCAATGCTGGCGCGCCCCCCAACGGCACCAACCGGTTCAACGGTGCTGGTTCGACGCGCGACTTCGACTCGGGCTCGTTGATTTCTTACATACCTGACGATGTTTCGTCCATCCACAGCTCTCTCGGTGGCGCCGGCCTGAACACCACCTACCCTCCCATCTTCTCGAGCTTTGCCCCCGACCAGTGGCCGGGTCTGCCCGGTGTGCCCGGTACTGGCCGCTCCGGTAACAAGAGGGGAGGACGCGCAACTGAGAGCATCGCAGGTGAGAGTGTCGCCAACTCGGAGTACACCGATGCCAGCGCAAGCGTTATCGGCGCCAAGGGTGTAGGACAAGGTGGTGTCAGCCTGGGCGCTGGTCTTCAGGATGCCATCCATGGCATGCGCCCCGCCTCGTACAGCCACAGCGATCGTCTGAAGCACTATGTTGAGAGCGGAGGTCGCGTGGGGGCCGGCAACGGCTTCGGGCGGCGCTACGATGACGATGAGAAGAGCGTCAGCACCGCCTTCCACAGCCAGATTGGTGGCGGCTTTGACTGAGGGCCAAACGGATAAGGACAGGGACTTGCTTTTACCAACCCCATAGGTGGCTCACACCTCATCCTCCGAAGGCTTTCAGCTCTCGCCGCACCATGCTCAGTGCTGTACGAAGGAGCAGGCAGTTCGCCGCACCCTAGAGGCGTCTCGGGACACCGGGCCTGGTCGTGGGATATATCCTACGTGGCCCCAAGAACCGGCTCCCGACGACAACGTGCCGCAGGCGGGTTCATGGCCCGACCAGCGAGAGCTGCAACCGACGGAGGGGGTCGCCCGCGCGCCCTCAACGGCCCGCAATTCGCAGATTGTCAAAGTAGTATGATGTTAGTGCTAGCAAGGGAAGAAGGTGTCAGGCGGCAGACGAGTGTACGCTCGGGCTCAAGATGGATGGATCTGCGTCGTCCGGAGAGGCAACTCGGAGAGTGTCGAGCCATACAAGACCTGGTGGTCTTTCACGGCATACAGCACCTACTGCGGGGAGTGCCTAGCACAGGTCTTATGCATTTCTGCGCCCGGGTACGGACAATGCACACAATATCTAGCTTGGAGTTTAGCCTCTAGTGAAATCACCGTCTTTATTTGCACGTCGCCCATTGCCCCCCAGGTTACGTCAAGCATTGCAAGACATGGACTGTTGCTTGCGTGCCTGAGACGATGATCCACATGCTTGCTGGGAAGGGTTGTCAATTTGACACGCACAGATACACGAATTCGTTTCTGTAAGACATCTGGGTTCTCCTCCCGAAACACGAGAATGCCTTGTTTTGTTCTTGCTGGCTACCCTCTTTTCTACCCTGTTCGACAACCGACCCGCTGATGGACAGGGGTTGACTTTAACAACCCCCACAAACATTCTAAAATAAAGAGTCAGCGACTGGGGGGGTTATCCCCGTTCAACACCGAAAGTCTCTCACCAATTTTGACGAGAGAACAAGGGACGACGGAAGTAAAGCAAGTCACCTACCCCCGAACAGACATGCATCCCTCGTTGCAATATTGCGCCATGTGATTGGTGGTCCACTATGACGTTTAATTCAACTCTTGGTTTTGTAAAGGCGTTTGGCATGCGGATTCCTTCCTCTGTATCCGTACGGAGTAGGTAATGGAGTCGGCACTGTGGCAATGCCGTAACCACGGAGGCACACCGCCGTAGCTTAGCGGCAGGCGGGTGGAAGGGTGGGCAAGGGAGCGCTTCTTGGCGTTTTGGTTTATTTTCCGTTCGACGCGCCTTGGCTTCTTCAGGCAGGTCAAGCCCGCTACTCCTCCCCCGGCTTCTTCCCCTGACGTCCCTATCAGGGCTGCTTGGTCCGAGGGCACGAAAACCGTTGGAGATTCGGGTCTCCTTATTGGCAACTGTCGTCCCTTTTCCTCTCAAAAAGGCCAGTCAAGTCGAAGCGTTGGTTTTGCTCCTTCAACACGGTCCCCTCATTGGGTGAAGCATCAAACTCGACCTTGTGCCTTGCCCCGACCTCGACGGGGAAACGACATGAGTAACCAGCTGCCTCGAGCAATGCTGTCGCTGCCGCCGCTTTCCCCCTACTTCGAGTCGCCATCATGATCACGATCCGCCGCCGCTCCGCGAGGCTACCAATTTACCTGGGCATTGCCCTGACTCTATTGTTCCTCTGGCATACCGGCCTCCCCGATGGCTGGAACGTCGCGAACCTCAGCTATAACGGCGTCTCGTACCGCAAGTCCGGCTACGACTGGAGCAGTCTAACCCTCCAATACCCGCTCGAGAAACCACTGCGAACGCCCCCGAGAGGCACTCCTCGCGACCTCCCCCGAGTCCAGTACGACTTTGACGGAAGCACCAGTAGCAAGAGTCGGGAAGGAAAGAAGAAAACCAAGAAGTTGTCCCACGACGAGAGCCGCGACCGCGAGCAGGAGAAGCAGATTGAGTCCAGAAAGGCCGCTATGGCCCACGCCTTCCGACGGAGCTGGGCCAGCTACTCCGAGCACGCGTGGACCTGGGACGAGCTTACACCTGTGTCTGGCCATGGCAAGAACACGTTCGGCGGCTGGGCGGCTAGCATGGTCGACGGCCTCGACTCACTATGGATCATGGGAATGCATGATGAGTTCCGCCACGCCGTCCGCGCCGTTGCGCAGCTTGATTGGTCCAATACCACCGAGACCGCTGCCAACATGTTTGAGACAACGATTCGCCATCTAGGTGGCCTGATTGGCGCCTACGACCTGAGCGGCGAACCGGCCTTGCTGGCCAAGGCCGTGGAGCTCGGTGACATGCTCTACATGGGCTTCGACACCCCGAACCACATGCCGCCGTTCTGGTTCAAGTTCTCTGATGCCAAGCATGGCACGCAAATGGTTGGCGGGCGCGAGTCCTCGGCTGCGGGATGCTCGCTCTCCATGGAGTTCACCCGGCTGTCCCAGCTGACGGGCGACCCGAAATACTACGACGCAACCGAGCGAGTGAAGGAGTTCCTTGTCAAGACGCAAGACAAGAGCAAGATACCCGGCATGTGGCCGATGTATCTGAACTACCGCGAGGAAACGGCGGACGACGGCTCCTTCAGCATCGGTGCGCAGGCCGATTCTCTGTACGAGTACCTGCCCAAGATGTACGCCTTGTTGGGTGGCCTCGACAACGAGTACGAGAAGCTCACGGTCGGATCGTTCGATGTCATCGAGAAGCACATCCTCTTCCGTCCTATCCTGCCCAACAAGACCGACATTCTCGTACCGGGCAACGCCTTCGCCCACACGACCTCGGTCGACCTAACGCCCGAGGCCCAGCACCTGGGCTGCTTCGCCGGCGCTATGTATGGCCTCGCCGGGAAGCTCATGGGGCGGGAATCGTACGTCACCATCGGCGAGAAGATCTCCCGCGGCTGCGCTTGGGCGTACAAGGTGTTCCCCACGGGCATCATGCCCGAGATCATGACCTTCCACCGCTGCTCCGAGCCCGACCATGGCCCCTGCGAGTGGCACGAGACCTTGTACTCCCACCCCAACGTGCCGGAAGGCGTCAACCAGGTCCGCGACGGCCGCTACATGCTCCGCCCGGAGGCCATCGAGAGCATCTTTTACATGTACCGCATCACGGGCGACGACGAGTGGCGCGATATCGCCTGGGACATGTTCCAGGCCATCCAGCGGGCGACCGAGACGCCGCTGGCTTACTCATCCATTGACAACGTCAATGTCCAACCCGGCGAGACCACCAAGACTGACTCGATGGAGAGCTTCTGGTTTGCCGAGACGCTCAAGTACTTTTACCTCATCTTCTCCCCGCCCGACGTCATCAGCCTCGATGATTGGGTTCTCAACACCGAGGCGCACCCATTCAAGCGGCCCAAGAGGACGGACCGCGTCGAGACTGAGGCGGAGGTCCGGGTGTGATCCAAGTAGACGGCCCTGTGGCAGCCGTCAGAGACTATGCGCATGTGCTGCACTTTGACCGTGGGGTCCGGGTGGGTAAGCATTATAGACGGGCTAGGTACAGAACGGAGTCGTTGTGAATTCAAGATATTGAACCAAGTTTACTATATTTATGTGCTTGTGACGTGACTAGTCGTATATTACACAATAAGAACTGGTACTTGTCGTGTCGTGTGCCATCCACCATCATTCGCCATCACCAAACGCCCTTTCGACCCTGTATCTCGTCCGGCTTGGGCAATGCCTCTTGGATGATGTTGGCGCCCTGCCAGGCACCATAGCAGCTCTCCTGAACGGGGCGTCTTGGCTTCTCACCAAACCGAAGCTCTCACCTCAGAGGGCAGGCACCGTCGTGGGCTCACGGCGCCTTGTCACGACCAGTAGCGACGGTCCAAGTGCAAGGAATAGCACTTCATAGGCGGACAGGCTCTCCCTTTCCAGTCCGTGCGACATCCGACTGGCCCTTGAGGCGCACAGCGGCGACCTCCCCCTCCCTCGTCTGCCACCACCTCGACACTCGAGTGAGGCGAGTCGGCTAGGCGCGAGTAGAAGACCCCTCCCCGCGGTGAGACCTTCAAATGACCCCAACGGTAATGGCGTAGATGCCGCACATGTAACAGGTGGAAGAGTGTCGTCGGTCGCCTCTCAGCGCCGAGTAAACGTCTCCCTTCTTCGGCACGGAGAAGGGAGGAAGAGGATAAGGGGGAATGGGGCTGAGCCAGGAAGGCAGAACGAATAACCGGTTCTTGGCGAAATCAGCCGTGGAGTGGTGGTACGCAGACAATGTCGTCCCACGCGGGGGTACATCGCACATTGCCTCCACCAGGGTCGGTCATCCCGATCTCTTCCACTCGGTCTTTGGGGTGGGGACGGGGGGAGTTGCCCCTTTCTCCACGACAGCTGAATAAAGAAAGCAAACCTACAGAGTCGCGATCGGGTAAGGGATCCTTGATTTTACAAAGCGGCTGTCGCGGGGAGAGGCTAGGCTATTACCTAGCCTAGAATAGTGGCGACCCCCATTGGACGGGTTTGGCTGGGAAACATGGCTTGTAGGTCCACATCAACCCGATCTGATTATGCAGCGGCAGGCAGGGGAGGGGAGGCACAGACTCACCGTGGGCCCAGCATGGCAGATCAACAAACTGAAGAGGCTGAGTTAGTTGTCTCAGGACACAGAAAAACGAAAGCCCAGGGGGGGGGATGAAGACGAAAAGAAAAGGTGTAAACAGTGGCAGCAAGGGTCTCGTTTGAACTCATCCGGGCGTCTATCCACATCGTAACCATATCCGACAGTATTCGTACTTCGTAAATGACCCTAGGCCCCCTCCCCCCCAGTGTATCATGAGTTGCCTGGGGCCCTTGTGATACCACGCGTACCGCTACGCAGAGCTTTCTTTTGCGCCGGCCAATATCCAAGACGTTATCATGACGAGTCTCACGAGCGTACATTCGTTGTTTTGCCCAGAACGTCTGTGCAGATTACCCTCATTCGAGACGGAGGTGAAAAGACAAAGACTCGACGGTGAACATGCAAGAAGCCACGGGATAGTGGATCGATCGTCTGTGCCAACTCCCCCGTGGGGCCCGGGTATGCGTCCCTGCTCGTCTTACATTGCTCAAAGGAAGCAGGGTGCTCGATTGGGGAAATACAATAAATGACCCCATCGTTGACAACCGAGGGAGGGAGGAGGCTGACATAACGGTCCACAGCCACTCCCGGAGAAGGGCCGTCGCCCAAACGTTGCTAAGAACGTCCGTCGGCCTGCTGTAGGTGGACAGGCCGTGGAAATCGTGGGATATCTCTCGTGACGATGCATCGCGGGGCTGGTCGCCGTTGTGCGACCCGCGATACAGATACCGAGCGGCCGCACAAAGTCTCAGCCGGCAAAGCAGGTTTTCGAGAAATGATCTTCAGGAACGGCACCAGATGGGAATGAGATGACTGGCTGAGTGAACGCCGCGAAAAAGAAAAAAAAAGTGTCCGACTGGCTATGTACCGTCGTACGGGAGATTGGTCAGGAGGTTGGACCAGCGAAGTGAGGATTCGGCCCCGGCGAGCCGGCTTACTCGCCGCGCTATGCCGTCTCTGTACGGAGTATTGTATTGTGTTGCGTTGCAGTTCACTTTATCCATCGGAGGATTACTTGTCACAATTGCCTGGAAATATGCACTGGCTAGCATGAATTGCGACTGCGCATCCACTCTGTTACCGGGAATGAATGACGACGAGTGAGACAGCCCACCGCACCTGGGTAAGCAGTCTTGATGAGCGGGGTGCCTTTTGTGGGCTTCATATCCGCTCATGTTTGACTAGCAGGTATCGTAGCAATTGACATGCTGCTGATTACACTAGACCGGGGGAGCTGAAGAAGCGTGATCCTCGTCAGCGGCTACTTGTACTTGCTAGGGTGCTTCGCTGACAAGAGACAAGCAAGCCTGACAGAAAATACTGACCACTAATAGAGTCAAGACCAGGAGCCAGTAAGGCGGCCAAGTGAGTAGATGGCCAAGCACAGAATGTCGGTGTTTGGGTGCGACCACTGCTTTATTCTCGACAGGTAAGGTACCAAAAGGTGCGCTACGCTACTACTTGCTTTTGACTAGTTTGTTTGTGGACTTGGGGCGAGGTCGAGGGATCATGAGGGGGCCGGTTGGCGGTGACCGTGTAGGGAAAGGAACACCGTGCGGTGCATAACGCGGGTCAGCAGGCTCTGCTAGGCCACCACGCCACGTTTGGGGGGGTTACGATGTCGGTGCTGGTTGTGGATTATGGCGCTAGAATGGATCTTGGTGTTTCCCGGCCGTGAGCCGAAGGGGAAACACTGCGAGGTGGGAGATGCGCCTGGGGCTCGAACCGGATCGGGTAGCGCGGTTCCTCGTCCGGAGAGTTGGCCGACAATGGGATGGTTAGCAGGGCCGAAGGGTAGAAAGTACTCCTGCTGCCTAGGAAGATATCTGTGCGGATGATGATAATGATGATGATGATGATGAGGGTGACAACGGTGGTGGTGGTGGTGGTGGTGGTGATGTGCCCAGGCCCCCCGTTTGATGACAGGGAGAGAAGGCATCAGGGGTGGTTGCGCTAACGGGTGGATGCAGGTACATACATCGTACATAGCTGCTAGATATATGACAGTATCCGTACACTACTCCGTACCTGAGGTAACTAACAAAGGTAGGTACCTAGGTAGGCTGCCAGGTACTGATGGAAGGTCAGGTGAGTATTTGCACTCGAGGACATGGAACATGGGGCACCCACCTAGGTAGGTACCTACACAATAAGGTGGGCGCCCGCCTTGGTACACTACCGAGTGCATAGGTACAGCAGATACGGATACTCTCTCCACATCTGTAGCGTTCGCTCGCATCGGAAGCGAGGGAAAGGCGAGAGGGCTCCTCGCCTCATCCAAAGTGCCGTGCCGTCGCGCTGCGTGGGGTGTGGTGGGTTGAACCAGCAGGACGGGATCTAGGCAGGGCGTTGAACGGAACGGCTGGATGGATGGATGGTAATGGCATTGAGACGACGGCCAGGAACAAGAGGGAGAGTATGATTGATGCTCGAATCCCCCATGTACATCGGCCAAGTGACAATGGGATGAAGGGCGCGCGTGTTTGTGTGCTTACGGGAGGGGGGGCGCCCGCCACGAGACCGGACGAAGGCAAGACACGGGAAACACTAGGCAATACAAGCGCTGGGCAATTTCTGGGGTTAAAAGTTGGAGGTCTGAGATCAAGCGGGTACGAACAGTTCGTCTCATTGCGCTCCACCGTGCGCATCTCTGGGCAGTTCTAGATCAGACACTCGAGGGTGAGTTTAATCTCGAGACCTAGCCAAGTGCTCTTTTGATTGCCAGCCTCGTGTGCTTGTTTCCGTCAGCTATAGCCACAGTCCCCTCATCCTTCATCTACCCATCCATCCATCCATTCCACCTGTAGACGGCCAAGCCAGGCCATACCAGCTCGGGCGACAGGCTCCCCTCCTCACCGTCATTGTCCGTGCCCTCTCTGAACGAAGTGGGCTGTCTGTACACGGCAGTGCGTCCGCATAGCAACGTGATCCAATGTTGCGTGCTCTCGGGCAAATGCAGCCAAAGTGAGTGAGGTGTATTTGTACCTTGACGGGCATCCCAATGTCGACCGTCGAAGAATGGAAAGGGACACATGCGCACAAGAGGTAGGTAGGGAGACGAAGGCATTATTCAGCCGGCCTCAGATATATCGTCGCACAAGTCAGAGATGAGACACATGCACGGGAATCATGACTGGAACCACCCGGGGACGTGGAACGGTTGATCCAGGGTTTGCCGGTAGGTAGGTATCCGTACTTCGTACCGACGGGTACTGCTTACCATCAGGTAGGTAAGTATGGTACGGAGTATCCTTACACACCAGCACAACAATTCGGAGTGTGCCGTTCTTTGCAGTATGCCCAAGGCTTACGTTATACGCTAGGACTACCTGGGCCTTGATGTTTGTGGCCAGGTGCGGTGCGGTGAGTGTTAAGACATGGGCTAAAGCAATCAAAAGGGTGGAAGAAGGACGGGGTTGCAAATACGGATGACGGCACGGCACCGAATGGGAGCAAGCTGCTAGAACAGCAAAATAGAGAGCAAATTGCAAAGCGGAACAACGCAAAGCAACATAACGCAACTGAGCGAGAGGCCAGGCAAGGAGGCAAACCACTCGGTGGCTGGTAACTCTTTCATTTCCATCTTTAATTCTTCCACCATCTTCCGCTCCTCTCCCGCGCTCTCCCTCTCTCTCCCTCTGTCTCTCTCTCTCTGTCTCTGTCTCTTCCCCTTTGCCTGTAACACCATCCACCAGCCTCACTTCTCGAGTACCTCTGGACGAGTGATATGGGCAGCATTTCCGTCCGGGGTCTGCCGCGAGTCTATGGAGCCCATCTATCTAACCGATAACCACGACGGCCATCACATTACGCATATTCTGGCTTGATAAAGCTTCGCGCCACCAACAGACACCGCAGCAGCGCCTTTGGGCTCTGATTGGCTGCGGCATCTGGTCCGGTAACCTCGCCCGCTTCCTAGGTACACTACTTCATATCCGTACTTCCTACTGCCTTCTGCCTCCTGCCAGAGCGCACCCTCTCGGGATTGATGGATGTAACATGTGTATGTGTGTGTGTGTGTGTGTAGTGTATGCAGACCACCGTTCGGCTCCTGTCTGTACGTACCGCTGACCTACCTACCTACCTACCTACCTACCTTACGTTGCAGTCTTGTCTCTGTTTTCTTCTTTTTTCTTCGTTTTTGCATTCCCCTGTGCTTCCCTCCGAATGCCTCCTTTTGTCCCTTTGTCTCCACGTTGCAGACCAACCTAAATCCCACGCTGCTTCCAATTAGCTTCCACCTCGACTTACTACCACCGCCATACCATCTCTTTTCTTTCCATCGCCCTGTTTTTCCTCTTTTTCTCCTCCCTCGATTTGCAACATCTCAAACCTGCGAGCGGCAGGCAAACCTGCCAATTGTCGCCGTTACACCCACCCACCCTCCCTCCCTCTTGCGCTGGCTCACCCTCCCGATTCATTCATGCATCTCTTCGCTTGCTTTTGCTGTCCAGAATTCAAGGCTCACTCCACTGACATTGGATATCTCGCTTGCCAACTAGCCCCGTCCCTAGTCTACGGCATCTTCCCTGATCCTCTGTGGTTCCACAGCCCTTGCGCGCGACGGCCTACCCAACCCCTGCAGCTTGAGACAGCCTTAATATGCATGCCACGGTAGCACACTGGCCGAACAAGTCCAAGGAAGGACAAGCAGCAACATCCTTGGTGATCGATTCCACCTCGCCGAACACCACCTATTAATCACCAATATCATTTTGCTCTCCCGGCACCATCTCCAATCTGGGTCGCTTTGGGATTGGCGACAAGGCGACGAAGGAATTTTTTTAAAATAAAAAAAAAATCAAATAAAAAAGCCTCCCCCCCAAGTGGGAAAAAGCCAAAGAAGGGGAATTAATCCCACCCCAAGGCCCACCCCAGCATCGCGCCGCATTTACTAACACTGTTCCCCCTCCTCCCCCCTTCGCCCTTTGCTAAGCATCCTCGCTTCGTTTCTGCCTGTGCGCTCCGCTCTCGCCTTTCGCCGAAATTCATTTCTCGAGTCCCCTCATCTTTCCCCGCGCCTTTGTCAGTCGGCCTCTCATTGTCGCCGCTGCCGTCGCCGTCGCCGACTCCGCACATCCCGTTGCTGCCGATCTGCTCCAGCTTTCTCGAGACGAACTGCCTCTGTTGCAGCCTTTTAACGCCAGACAATAGCAAACAACCGCTGCACCTTACGTACGAAGCCAACTTCGCCCCCTTCGAACTCGAACGACCGCTCATCGCTGTAACCCTGCATCCCACCTTGGGTTCTGTGGATCAACCACCAAAATTCCCCGCTCTCGACCTCTCATCCCGCCGCTGATCTATTTCTACGTCGTCTCCCGCTCGCTCTGCCGTTTTCCTTTCTCGAAACAGACCTGGCATACCTTTTGGCCACCACAGCATCGCATCGCGTCCCCAAGCCCGCCCATAACCCGCCAAGCCGCGTCTGGTGCGCACCAGCTTGACTCGTCCCAGTGCTTGACGGTCTGCATTCCGGCAACATCCACCCGTCACTGTCGATCCACTGGCTGTGCGACTTCACTGCCGTCCGTGAGATTGAACTTGCCATATTCTAGGCCAGCATTCGGCAACTATTATGCTTACTGTTGCGTGTGGGCACACACGTCAATCCCGGGAGCGCCATCAAATTTACTGTCGGCTGGCTGTTGGAGACCACAAGAGGCGTGCCGGCTAGGTCTTGCGGCAGCAAGACGTGGTGGAACGTCCAGGCTTAACTTTGAGAAAGATCGGCTTGTCCAGAGAACACAGTTACAACCACGAAAATCCAGATGCGGGCGAACCCCAAATGAGGACAAATCATGGAATGAACATGGCACCACCGGGCATGGACGGACGAACCTACCACAACGGTGGTCACAACGCTACGCCGCGCCTCGACTGGCCGCATTCCCAGAACCAGACCTTGTCCGCCGACCCGTCATCCCGCAGCATGGAACGAACTTCGATTACGAACCTGCGCACCTCCCTCCGCTCTAACCACCCTTCGAATCCTACGATACGTGCCGTGACCCCCGAATACCACCACCCCGACCTGTCGCCGGTTTCGCCTGCAAACACTGCCTTTGATCCGCCCGTGCCTCTACAACTGCCCCCCCGCGGGCTCACACCCAGCTCCCCACAGACCTCACCAAGGTCAATTCCTGGAGACTTCTCGAGGCGACAGGGCATGGTGTTCAACGACACGTACGGCGACTCGTACGACAACTCGACCAGCCCACCTTCACGGCAAACGAGTAGCTTTCGTCCAAGAACGCACACGATGGACGGTGCCCTGCGGCAGCAATTCATTAGTGCCACTTTGAGAGATGGCCGCCAGCGCTTGGGGTCGTTCTCTTCCTCCGGATCTCAGCCGCTGTATGACGATGCTCGCTCCCCGCCTCCGCAAATTGAGTCTCAAGGTTTTCCATCAGTGGTTCCCGCCCGCCATTCCGAGATCCCTCTGGGGGCCAGTACCAGTCTGAGGGAGAAGAAACTCTCGACGAAACGACTGATTAAGCGCCATTCTTCTCGCCCAACTTCTCCGCCGACAGCCTCGACCCCGTCTGTGGACTCATTACCCATCCCTGTACCCACCGAAAATGCGAACAACATCTTGCTCATGATGAAAAATCTATGCGGGCGCATGAGAGGCGAAATCGAGGTCCGGAGCGAACCTGCAGGAGCATGGCGGGTCGGCATTGCGTATGTCGACGAAGAGAAGGGAAGCCTGATGTTTGATTCGGGCCAGGACGGTCCTTTCCACGTCCCACTGGTTTCCGATCTGCGCGGCTGCCGGATAGCACCAGTCGAATTACCCGAAGGCAAAAGATGCCTGGAAGTGTCGTGTCCCACCCAGCCCCCTTTAGACCTGCTGCTACGTCCTATTTTGGCGGAAGAACGAGACCTCTGGCTTGCAGCTTTGCTATGCTGGCAGCAGCTGAGACCCCCAAAGGTTAGGCTCTCGAGTGGCAATCGGAGCCCGACTCCTACATCCTTGCGTCCAGTTGTCAGGAGGCGCGGTTCAGAGAACGGGACAAAAACCACCAATGCACTGATCAAAGTCGGCCAAGTGAGGCTGTGGGACAAAGGATTGGCAAGCTCGCCAAGGGCCATTGTCAAAAGATCCTCTACTCGGGATCTGAGATCGCCAACTACTTCTTGGCGACTCGTTTCGTGTCTCCTGCAAGAAAATGGCGAGATCAGGCTTACCACGAACGACGGCGATGCAGTTATCGCCGTGGTCGAGCTGTCTCAACTGTCCCGATGTGCCATTCAACAGCTCGACCGGTCAGTCCTTGATGAGGAATACTGCATCGGCATCTTCCCCCACTACTCCCCAATATCTACCCAATTATCCATCTTCCGTCCAGTCTACATCGCCCTCGAAAACCGGTTGCTGTTCGAGGTTTGGTTCGTCCTCCTCCGAGCATTCGCATTGCCCGACATATTCCGCTTAGATCCTCATTTATCGGGAGGTGCGATCGAAGTCACGGACCTAGAATCGGAGCTTCCGGGCGAGATCTTTAGGATCGAGAAGACGATCAGCTTGCGGGTGACGGAAGCCAAATTGAAACCTAGGAATAGCTCGCCCGACGCCGGCTTCGTCGACCGGCAGCCCAAAGACGCGGACCCTCTGGTCGGCAACTACCTGGCCGAGGTTATATTGGATGGTGAGGTGCGCGCCCGATCTACGGTCAAGGCCGGAACCAAGAACCCTTTCTGGAGAGAAGACTACCAGTTCTCGGATCTTCCACCAGCCATGCCGCTTCTTTCCATCGTCCTGAAAAGGTTGGACGGAAACCTCGAATGCCTTAACCACCAACTACAGGCATCTCTCGGTTCATCCAAAACGAGCGGCCTCACGGAGGTGCTCTGCGGGTCAGTTGACATCCCTCTGGACCACGTCGAACCTGGAAAAGACTTTGAGAGATGGCTCGACATATACGACGAACGGCAGCAAGTTATGGGCACAATGCTCGTAAAGCTTCATCATGAAGAGCTCGTCGTCCTCCACTCCAAGGAATACCAGGCACTGTCATCACTCCTTCACAGTTTTCCGTCTGGTGTTACTGCAAAGATCGCCGAAGCACTTCCTGGTAACCTGCGGCGTCTGTCGGAGATTTTCCTCAACATATTTCAAGTTTCTGGCCATGCCAACGAATGGCTCCAGACGCTAGTTGAGGATGAGATTGATGGCATTGGCAGCACCCAGAACCAGCTGAAGAAGTACCGGTTCAGCAGTCGCTTGAAGTCCAACGAGTCCATGGAGTCGTCCAGCGACAGAGAGCAGATCCTTCGCGATATGGGCAAGTCCCTTGCTGGGGAGGCCAATTTGTTATTCCGGGGCAACACTTTGTTGACGCAAGCCCTTGAGTTTCACATGAGGCGCTCGGGCAAAGAGTACCTCGAGCAGATGTTGCAGGCCAAGATTGCTGAGATCAATGAGACCAATCCCAACTGCGAGGTCGATCCCAGCAAGCTCAAGCCTGGTGAAAACATCCAGGAGCACTGGAATCGGCTCATTCAATTGACCACCGAGGTCTGGCAATGCATCTGCAAGGAGCCCACCAAATGCCCGCCGGAGCTTCGGTCTATCCTCAAGTATATACGAGCCGTCGCCGAGGACCGCTACGGCGACTGGCTGCGCACTGTCACTTACACGAGCGTGTCGGGCTTTCTGTTTCTCCGCTTCATCTGCCCTGCGATTCTGAGCCCCAAACTCTTTGGTTTGTTGAGAGACCATCCTCGCCCACGTGCGCAGCGGACGCTTACACTCGTTGCTAAGGCGCTCCAGGCACTTGGGAACCTTTCTACCTTTGGCAAGAAGGAAGAATGGATGGAGCCGATGAACAAGTTCCTGGGCTCCAACCGGCAGTCAGTGAAGGATTACATTGACATCATCTGTTCAATCCCTGTCGAGCGCAATAAGGTCGCCCTGGGACCATCCTACTCGACCCCCATCGCGATTCTCGGTAGGCTGTCACCGATGGCTCGTGAAGGGTTTCCGGCGCTACCTCACCTGATTGACCATGCTTACAATTTTGCTGCGCTCGTCAAGATGTGGACTGAGGCCAACCCCATTGGCAATGGCGAGTTGGCCAAGCCTATGACAGGCGAAGAGGATATTCTGATATTCAACGAAATGTGTCTCGGCTTGCAGGAGCGCGCAGATCTCTGCTACTCTAGGATGGATAGTTCTCTTCATGAGACGGCGTCGCTCCCCACTTCCGAGTACGCCGATGCGATGGAACATAACGCGGCTCTGTTGGAATCCATGAGTATTTCAACATATCACACCGAAAACTCGGCGACAAACTCTGCGAACAATTCGATGGTCTGGGCTGAACAAGACCAATACCAACCTCCTGGATCAGCTGGCAGCGACATAACGGTTGACGCTCCTTCGCGCAGAAGCCGTGAGCATCGCCGTGGCCGGGATTTCAACTCTTTGAGGCAAATGTCTGGACACTCGGAAACTTCGTCCTCGCACTTGGCCACGCTGAAGCGTAACGGAAGGGCCACTCGCCAAATTCTGTCCGGCATCATGAAGCCGTTCGCACGGAGCGACTCGCCTGAATCATCGCCATCGACATCGCGCGGCAAGAATGTTGAGCGATCTTGGAATACTGGCTTCTAGAATCATTATCCATGCGTTTATTTCCCTTCATCCTGCGGCAACCTGCCCCTGGGGTCCTCCTACACCCCCTTCTTTTTTTTTGTCTTTTTTTTGTTCAAGCGAACACGAATTAGAGGCCCAAATGGCTCAACGACAACTACAATTTCTGCATTATTATGACCAGGAGGAGATTTGAACACGCGCACTTGAAGCGTATGGAAAGCGGGTCGGGCGGTCAACTACTTCCTTACTCCGGGATGGAGGCAAGTCGGGTCGATTGGGTCGGCAACTTTGGCGTTTCTCTGTTCCTAAAAACGGTTATCCAAAGAAGCTCGCCAGAGGGTTGTCGGACGGGCATTGCTAGGATGGGCGGCCTCCAGCTGTTTTTTCGATTCTAGTCTTCTACTTTCCCGCCTTACCTCCCTGTCATCTTTCTTCCTTGCCAGTTTTTTTTTGGCATGAAAGGCCAGCGAATCGCATCATGGGAGACGACGAATATACCCCCCCTTCTCAGATATATCATGATTAGCGTCACGCGTCCCGCCCCAAGAGGTTCACGAGATCCAGTGCAGGCAAGAAATACATGTATATACCAGTAGAATAAAACACCAGATGAGCATTCAGCATGTGGATAATATAGTGATGTTGATTTTTTTCCAACCAGAGGTATCTACGCGACTCCTTGAATTGGTTATGGGCTGTTCCCTTCTCGATCCCGGTACCTCCGTACGCCCCCAATGTGTTCTGATGAATCATGAACAGTACCTTTTGCGTGTATTTCTTTTGTCGCCCGAAATCATAATAGTCATCATTTCTCCCTCGTGTTGGCTGCCTGCTCTAAGCCAGCGCCAAATCTTTTCTTCCTACCTCCTCAGCCCCTAAGTGTACCTTATCTATTGGAAGAACTTCTTGTACGCCGCCTTCTCCTTGGCTGCACGGGCAGCCGCCTTCTGCTTGACGGCGTTGAGCTCGTTGATGATGGCCTTATCATCAGGAACAAGCTTGTGTGCTTCTTCGAGATCCTGAATAGCGGCCTCCTCGTCCTTGAGGCGGATGTTGGCAAAGCCGCGGCGGTATAGGGCCTTGGCGCGGTCCACATCCTTGATGCCCGGCACCTCGAGGGCGAACGTGGCTGACTTGACGGCGTCCTCCCAAGCCTCGATCTTAAGGCTCAGCAGGGCCGAGTTGTTGTTGAGGGAGAAGCGAAGGGCCTCAAGTTCCGTCTTTGTGGAGGGGGGCTCCTGTTCGAGGTCCGGCTCCTCGTTGAGGTAGCGAAGGCCCTTTTCATACTTCTCAAGACCTAGGTTGAAGTCACCGGCCTTGAAGGCCTTGTTGCCAAAGTCTTTGCAGGCTGTGGCGATCTTGACGACCTCCTTGGCGTCGAGGGGGCTTGCGCAGTCCTCGGGGAAGTCCTCATAGGTATCGCCCATAGCATCCGGGGCCTTCACGTCGGCTGCGAGGGCAGCATCGCCGGTGAGCTCGCCGCAGTCGGCGATGACAGCGTCCTTCACAGGCTTGTCACCCGACTCAGTCTGCAGGTTCTCGATGTGGCGCACGACCGACTTGCCGTTGAGGACTTCACCGAAGACGACGTGCTTGTTGTCGAGGTGGGGTGTCGGTACGGTGGTAAGGAAGAACTGGGAGCCGTTGGTGTCTGCGTCGCAATTGTCAATAGCTGTAGTCAAATCGTTGTTTTCAGACACAACGGGATTACTCACTAGGCCCAGCGTTGGCCATGGACAGGAGGAAAGGGCGGTCGTGCTTAACGGGAAAGGCCTCGTCCTCGAACTTTGCGCCGTAGATGGACTCGCCGCCGGTGCCGTTGCCGGCGGTGAAGTCGCCGCCCTGGATCATAAATTGCTTAATGACGCGGTGAAAGGTAGAGCCCTTGTAGTGAAGAGGCTTTCCGGATTTCCCCAGGCCCTTCTCGCCGGTGCAGAGGCAGCGGAAGTTCTCGGCCGTCTTGGGGACGAGGTCGCTGTAGAGCTCCATCGTGATACGGCCAACGGGCTTACCGCCGACAGTGATGTCGAAGAAGACGCGGGGGCGTGTCGGCTTGGTCTCGGTGCCCTCAGCAGACATTTTGGCGGTTGGGAGCCTTTCCACTGGTCTGAGCTGTGTTGAAGTTGGTTCAGTATGTTGAAAAAGACGAGGTTACGAGTCTGAGCTCTATGCAGTCAGGAAGAAGAAATGCGGGGTAGCAGATCAGTTCACCACAGGATAGCTGATGCCGTATAGGATTAAAATCGCAAGAAGCTGTAGCTAGTTGCCAATTGAGATGTAAAGTTGGAGACTTTGGAAGATGGATCGAAGACACGCCCAGAAAAAAAACCAATGACTGAGAAATAATGTTGGCGATGGCCGACGATAAATGTTCCAGCACAGAGCTCAGGTGGGGGTTGTCGCTGGAGGTACGATGGAACTCTCTGGAATCCGATGCCTAGTGCGGGGCAGTCAGGGGAGGGAAGGAAAGCACTCCTGCGCTGCATGGTTCATCGGGAAGGGGCGACAGTTTACTCGGTGTGACCAATCAGAACCTGCCGTCCTGCCAATATATTTGAAATCTGAGATCTCGGGCCTTTGCATTCGATTGACTATAAAGGCACGCACATGCAGACAGACAGAGTGGCCTCGAAGCCCTTACAATAATCGAAATCGAGGCGAGAGCCACGTGGTAGCTCCGCCATCATGGTGATGGTCTTGTCTATGTCTATATAGCTCATCTACCGTACCTCGGGAGAATGGGCCAAGCTATTTGCTCTATTTAATCGTCCCAAGCGTCGTATATCAACAACTCAATGAGGAAAGCGAACTTTTTGTTCACGCGGAACGCTGTATCTATGGGCGATAGACAAGACCATATATATATCAACATGGAATCTACAAGTCATCCTACAGTACGACCAAGCGGTTTGTCCGCGACAGAGCAAATCGTATTCTCGTAGTCTGTGGCCACTCAAGGTTTCTGCACAGGCTCTGTGTTTAGTTCAAACGTAACCTAGCATCACTGGAAGTCAGCTCACAGCTCTGCAATAAAGTTCGAAGGGGTACAAACCGGGCCGTCGTTAGTCGAAGATACGGCCATCATGGCCTGAAATCGGCCGTCCTTGATCTTGTCCGCCGCGTAACTTTCTTGCACCTTTTGCAGAAAGTAATGGTAGAGCTTCTTAGCATCTTCGGCCGGCGCACTAAGACGGAAGTCGGGCTTGTTCTTGACTATCTTGGCGAACAGTGTGAACTGAGATACTGGATTGAACATCAGAAACAGCCTCGGGCTTGGGGGACGGCACTTTGAGTACCGCAGAGGACTTCTCCGTCAATGTCCTGGACCGTTTTCTTCCACTGAGGCGGGATTAGATGCAAAGGGAATCAAGGATGGGAGAAATGGCGAACGCACTCTGCCGCCGGTGTCATCATCCCACATCTTGAGCTTCACCACCTTGTTTGCAAGAATCTCGGCATCTTTCTCAGTGTCGCCTGGAGCGACAGCAGCGAGGACGAGGAGGCCCTTCCCAATTGACGAGATAACCTCGTTGTCCACCGCCACTGAGGCGGACAAAACACGCTGTACGATGGCTGGTAAGGAGGATGTCAATACATCGGCGATAAGCACAAATGTGAGAGAGCCTCACCTTTCATTTTATTTCTATTGGTCCTTCTTCCTCTCCTTGGATAACGCAACTAAGTTGCCACAAGAGGCCCTCAAGGTACCGACCGGATGGGATGACAGGAGGTTGGCCGGGTTCAGTGCCAAGCTGGTTCGGGTTCTCACACCTTGACTGATTGTCCGGACCGTAATTCTATCAAACAGACACCCGGACGAGAGCAAGTGTCAAAACACAAACGAAGCAGCTAGTTCGGGTCGTCCGGAAGCTCTGAGAAGCTGCCACCCAAGCGTGGAAACAAGCAAGCCAACGGAACAGCAAATTGACACCAGGAAGAGAGCGACTTGTCAGTGAGGGTTGTATTTCGAGTGTGTTCAAACAGGGGCTGTAAATGACCCAGGTAGGTTAATTGGTCGGTTGGTTCGTTGATAGCAAACAATGATACATACACTGCAAGTGCTCTCCTTCCCTGATGGACTTGGCTGGTTCAAGTGATAGTGGCCAGTCCCTGGACGCGACAGAGAATGGCAGCTGGCAAGGCTGGGCTGCACAGTGACTCGTGTCACCATTGGCCATGACACCAAAGTAGTCGCAACTTTACCTCAGTTAAGAGCAAGAATGACATGCACCTTCTGCTCTTGGTTCTGCTATCGATAAAAGCAATATATGTGACAAAAAACATATTTGTAACTCCTAAGGACCATCTCATAGCATTGGCAGTGCTTCAGAGTCCTAAAGCCCCAATTTAATAGGTGTTCTTTCTGTTAACCCTTTTCTTTTATCTTCACTCACTAGCGTAAAGTGGGTACACAGGACCTTGTCTTCCGCACAGCAACTGCCCTCCAGCTCATTCTTCTTCATGCGCAGAACTTCAACCCATCAAACGCCTCACCGTGGACAAGCAAACTTGTATCGCGCAACCAACAAACGAACGCCGGTAAATACGGCGCAGCAGCTGTCACACCCAAGGGAAAATACTGTCTATCCTCCTCTTCCATCGCGTGCGCTCTTCGATCCTTTCGACAGCTATTTGCTACACAAACACAGCTCCGAGTCGAAAACCATCATTCACACATCCGACACACCCAACCCGAGGGTTCTCGAGACACACAACTAGGCCTAGTCTCTCTATTGACTCCGATACAAAGACTGGCAAAATGGCAGCACGAAAACTGCAACAAGAAGTCGACAAGTGCTTCAAAAAGGTGGCGGAAGGCGTAGCTGAATTCGAGGCCATCTACGAAAAGATTGAACAGTCCAATAATATCTCCCAAAAGGAGAAGCTGGAAGACAACCTCAAGCGCGAAATAAAGAAGCTACAGAGGCTTCGCGATCAGATCAAGACATGGGCAGCAAGCAACGACATCAAGGACAAGGCCCCTTTACTTGAGCACCGCCGACTGATCGAGACGGTTGGTCCACTTTCCCTGGTAGCGAGCCCTTCCCCGGCAGCCCTGCTAACCCTTCTGGCAGCAAATGGAGAAGTTCAAGGCAGTCGAGAAGGCCATGAAGACGAAGGCATACTCCAAGGAAGGGTTAGCCTCTTCAGCGAAGCTCGATCCCCAAGAACAGGCAAAGGCGGAAGCAAGCGATTTCCTCAACAACATGGTCGACGAGCTGGAGCAACAAATCGAGACTCTGGAGGCCGAAGCCGAGGCGATACAGGCGACTATGAAGAAGGGCAAGAGCCAGACTGCCAAGGCGGAGCGAATGGCCGAGATCGAACGCATCATCGAGCGGCATAAGTGGCACCAGGGCAAGCTCGAGCTTATTCGAAGGTCTCTAGAGAATGGCGGAGTCGATACGGATCAGGTTACCGACCTTGAGGAGACGATTCGGTACTATGTCTCGGACGGCATGAACGATGACTTCATCGAGGACGAAGAGATGTACGAGGAGCTCAACCTAGACGAGGAGGAGGGCGTATACGGCGTTCCGCAAGATGGCGACAAGAACTCTTCGCAAGACACCCAATCTTTGGCGGACGAACCTATACCGGAACCCGATGTCGTGAAGCCTCCTCCGAAGCCAAAGGCAGTGGCGGAAGCATCCGCATCAGGGCGGAGGTCTAGTGCGCAATCCAAGTCCCCTCTACCCGCGCTGGCAACTTTGCACACGCCATTACAGACTATCAGCAGCAATGTCGCAGCAAATGGACCGGCTATGAAGCCAGCCATCGTCCCCGCGAGGCCAGCCGAGGGCCTCAAATACGCGTCGGCTGCGGCGGCTGCGGCGGCATCAGACAAGATCGGCATTTCTCCCTTGCCACCTCCACCAGGCGCTGCACCGATCAATTCAGGAACCCCGGCGACGCAATCCAAGAGCAGCGCTGCAGGCTCTCCAGCGCCCACGCCGGCACATCCTGTTGCGGCGAAGGAACCAGAACCCAAACAGTCTGCAGCGCCCTCAAGCAGCGCAAGCGAAACCCCGGCGACAGTTGCGAAGCCAACACCGGTTCAGACCAAGGCGGAGAAACGTGCGCTCAAGAACCAAGCTGCGGCGGAGGCATCGGCAGCAGTCAAGGGTGAGTCTTTATCCATAGATTGCCAATTGCATGACGTATTAACCTTTGCAGCACCTCAAACAAACGGTGGTACAAATGGTGTAAGTTCCTCCGTAGAGGAGGAAGAGGAGTCGATATACCACCTCCCCTCTTCCCTGCAAGACCTTGTCGAGTCTTTCGAGGTATCTCGCAAGCGGCCAGCGCCCTTCTCTTCGCCTTCAACGCAACGCATGCTTCAGGCAAGCCAGGCCATGTGCCCCGACATTATGGACACGGACGTGCCCAGGACCTACCGTCCTGAACTGCGTCTGAACTCCACCGGCGTGGGCTTTCCCCAGGAGCCGCTCGCACTGTTCGACGACCCGCGATTGTACTCCCGGATCGACCCCGACACACTCTTCTACGTCTTCTACTACAAGCAGGGCACGCCTCAGCAATATCTGGCTGCCAAGGCCCTCAAGGACCAGAGTTGGAGGTTCCATAAGCAATACCAGACCTGGTTCCAGCGTCACGAGGAGCCCAAGAACATCACCGAGGAGTTTGAACAGGGCACCTACCGCTTCTTCGACTACGAGAGCACTTGGTAAGTTATCGTCTGGACTGATTGTGTGATGGGAAGTAGCGACTGACAGGATACGCAGGATGAACCGCAGAAAGGCGGACTTCAAGTTCGCGTACAAATTCCTAGAGGACGATGTATGAATAGGCGGCGATGGTCACAGGGTTTCATGCCAGGCGTAGCCTCGGATTGGGATGGGGGGCCTCGAACCATGGGTATCGGGCGGAACGGCGTTGCCTCTTTTTTTCTCTTTCTTTTTCGGAAACATACCGCCAAGCCCATCTGGCTTTTGTTTGTTGTCGAAGTACACTGACTATTGACTGCCTCTGAAAGGGGAGGCGGAAGGCCACCTCGATTCGGCATTTGCACCTGATGACAGCTCCCTCGCAACCCGTGTGACCATAGACGAGCATCAGGGTAATTATTAGGTGTGGTATCTGTAATGACAGCCATGTTCCCTCGGGGACCGGGATTAGGATCGGCCGAATCAAGACTAGGCGAAAGCACCGGCCCCCCGTCTGTTACCCCGTTATAAGTCGGCTCTTTGCGCGACAAGAATCACGGCGGCCTGCGGGTCTCGGTTGACGAACACCCCCGCGATCTAGACGTACACCATGTGGCTCGCTGGTCTGGGGGCGACGAAGTAGGCTGTGGACGTGCTGGTGCGTCGACGTTCCTAGTGGCTCGAATGACAATCGAGGCTGAGGCATTGATGACGCGAAGCTACCTTGGGGTGGGTTGCAGCGAAGCTATCCAGCGGGATGCACAAGCGTTGTCATTCTGCAATAAAGCAACTCCGCCACCACTGCTCACATCACAAGTCGGGCGTCAAGGTGTCAGGTGAAGAGAAGAAGAAACGGAAGGTAGTCGTCAGGGCGGTGAATCTGCAAGCATTCCTGCCCGCCTTGTATTTGATAAGGTTGTAATATTATGCCTAAGAAGGAGTAACTCGACAAGGTAGGTAGTAAACGGATAAGGCGCGCCGAGGTAGATGATGTAGTGAGAAGAAGGTGGCGGGGCTCGGAATAGAATGAAGTGCAGCAAGCCCAGGTCGCCTCGCACTGCATTTGCCTCTTTGGATTAAGCGGTGGAATGTTTCTAGAAGGTCGGAGCCCACCCTGACCCACCAGCCTTGGAGTCTTCCCAAACCGGCACAGTTCCTTCGTTGTGGCCACCCACAAGACATCACTCGTTGGAACCCACATCTCAACTTTCCCAACCTACACCTGCACCGGCTCCGACCCCGACTCCGTGTTCTTTTCTTGCAGAAAATGGCTCGTCCGAACACTATCTCCTGGGTGCGCACGATCTGAGCCTTTTTTTGAAGATTCAACAGGCAAAGAGCAACTTGACGGGTTTGCTTTACCGAGTTGACCTGCTGCACTGCACTGCTTGTCAGACGGTGGTCAAGCATGCACCCGCTGCCGCCGCACTTCCTCCGGAACGAGGGAGGCGTCAGACCTGGACGGTTGTGATTTTTCGTCCTTTTGTTTTTTTCGTATGGAATAATAATAATTCGCGCATAGGACAAGGCATCTATCCGACATCCGAGGTGCCATTTGCTCGAGAAACCAAACAACCAATCCTCTGCACGTCTTACTCTCCCTTCCATCGCCGCTAACCTTGTTGTTACTGCCTGGGCCAATGCAACCAATCAAGTCCACGTCAGTGCAAATGGGCAATTCGTACCGAGGAATAACGATAGCTGATATGTTGGCTCCCACTTGGTTAACTTGGGTCTCAGGCGATTCAGGTGGGCAGTGTGCACCTCGGCGGCGGATCCAGCGGGCTAGCTTGACCCCCGATGGCAAAAAATACCTTACTGCGTAGTCAATGGTTACGCTGCCACGGCGCGCTGCGAGTCCCAACACACACACACAAGCACAACGACGTGGCGTTTGAGCGTCCAGTCTGCCGCCTCTCATAAAAACATCAAACGAGGTACCATAGGTAGTACGCAAGCTTGCTACCGTCTCTGCGAGGTATACTAGGTATGACTTCACCTGCTTCATTACGAATGAACGAATAACGGCCTCGTACTTTGCCGTACCATTGTTTCTCGGCTGATTCCACTCTGGACCCTGCACAAGGGCAAGGACTGGGACTGCAAGCGTTCACGCGCCCACTAGTGTGGCAGTGCGGGGCTAGGCAACGAGATATGATATCCCTTCCAGTCAAGCCTTTCTTTCCCCTCCGCGATTCCGATCTTCAGTCTATCTCGACAGCCGCATCACAGTCCTGCCAAGTTTCGCCCCGAGACCTGTTGCTAAACTAATACGGAGTACAACCACTGGCATGCCAGTGAGCGATAATCTGTCGCCGCGCCATGACATACATAGCACCAATACTCGCCCCTGTCGCCGCCGTCCTTCAACCCCTTGCTTTGACCTTGCGTTGGACACGGTACTTCGGGCCCCCAAATCCGGGTTAATTGACCATGACCGTACTTGTACTTATACTATAAACACAGTACCCCGTATAGCGGAGCACCAGAACCCTTTCCGTAATGGCCTTGATCGAGCCCCAGTTTATCTTTGGGTCTGCTAGGCATGTCTTGGGTCACTCGAGTAGCTTTTGTCAATAAGGCCAGACATGGTCACTCAGTGCTGACTGCCCAGCCGGAACTGCCCCCATGGGCCATGAGTCCTTGAGACTCAAGACCGGTCCGTTTAAACAAACCCCTCTCATAATCATATGCAACTCCCCACCAGCCCTGTCAAACGATAGGTTGGGCGCATCGTCATGGGAGTATCTGGCGGGTCTTGGGCTGACCCGATTCCAAATCTGCTAGTTTGTCGTCTTCTCAACCACAAAATAATGCATGCATCTCTGCTTGACTCTGTTGATTTGGTGGCTGGCAACTTCTAAGCCCCCTTCTAGAATCATGTCACTCACCGAGGGGCCTAATGTTGCCCTCCGGAATTACAAACTGGTAGAGAGACCCCAGCACTCGTGCTTTGTTTCCTCGCTTCACGCCGCCGCCTGGGCACAGGCAACTCTATCCTATATTCACCCTCCGCGGCAATGGACCGGAGAGGGGCGGGCGCTGATGTAGCCCTTTTGAGGCTCCCCATGGCCAAGACCATCTTATGGAGACGAAACCATGTGCTGGTGGGCATCCATGACCCATTCCGCCAGCACCTCGTGTATCTGCGCCGCTTGACGTATTTGTGCCGCTCTTATTCCTTCAAGGCGGTGAACTTGGCTTTGCCTCATCCTGCTTATACTTTAACCGCCCATTTCCCACTCCAATCCGCGGACTCCCGAATGGTGATCACTTCGGAACTCCACCTGTTTTATCTTCTGGTGTCTTGATCTGTCGCTTGGAGACTGCCTGCCCAACTTCGCACGAAAGGGCTTTCACTCTTTTACAAACTTCGATACATAGCCTATCTCGTCCGTTCAAAAGTCTGGCACTCGCCGGATTGTGTAAGTTGCTGCATTTTCTTGGCTCCCGACGGCAGTTTCTACTACTGCTTACCTCTGTCAATCCACCTTTGCCGCCCCCATTCTCGCGAGGCCGCCCTCCCATTACTGAACTGCTATCCAGAAGCCGGGATACAAGACGGTTTAGATAGGACGAAAGCTTGACTTATCTTTTGACGAAACAATGGATAGCCTATATTACCGCGGCACAAATCATTATGTTAACGCAAGGTCTCCAGTGTCGCCAGGAGACTACCTCGAGTCTTCCACGTTCCTAGAGGCTCCGGAACTTGCGCGCCAGCTATCCGACATCAGCTCTAGAGGACCTCTTACACCCTCTTCGTACGGCTCTTCACCTGGGATGTCATACTCGTATCCGCACAACATGAGTCATTCTCCGGCAGCCAATTACGCCGACAGCTACGATGAGAGCTACGGAGATAGCTTTGCGGCATACTACGGTGACGATTATACGAACGGTGCATCTTCGTCAACACAGCAAACGTCAGAGCCTTACCGCGGAAGCATTGACTGGTCCCAGTATGACTATGTCCCTACCGAGGACGGGGGCTACTGGCAGATGAAACCGCGATATGTTCCTGCAGGACAGTTTCCAGCAGTGATACCCCACCAAGGGTACGTGACAGCCGGGGCCTCTCACGCAACCATGAAAAGCGATGCTAACGATGCTGTGTGCAGGGGTCAAGAGCAACAAGAAGCGGTGGACTACAAGTTCCCCTGTCTGGAGGCGGGGTGCACAGCGAACCCGTTCAAGCGCAAAGCCGATCTCGAGAGGCATTACAGACAAGTCCACCAAGACCCGTCCAAGAAAGAAGCTCACAAGTGCGACTACCCAAAGTGCTCGCGGAAAAACGAGCCGTTTGGACGACGAGACCATTTCCGGGACCATCTGCGAGATTACCACAACGAGGACATCTTCAAGCGAGGCACGCACGTGGAAGACAGCTGGCTCAAAGGACGCAACCTCTCGTCGCGGTGGTGGCGGTGCTCGAAATGCCTGATCCGAGTCGACGTCAACTCGTACCCCGACCACGTCTGCCCAAAGTGCAAAAATCCATGCGAAGACAAGCGCAAGCGTGCGAGAGGCTGGCACTGAGGGTCGTCGAGGGCGCTGCCTTGTGAACTTTCACCGGGTGGTAAAATAGCTGATGCCTGGAGATGAAGATGACACCCACACGCGCGTGCATACACACAAACACACACACGCACACACACACACACACACACACACACACACACACAGAGCTCTGCAACTGGACGACTGCTTCCCCACATGGAAGGTAGTGATCGATGTTCGCGACGTAACGCAAGCCACATTCGGAATCCAGGAGTCGGGGCAGTTATCCGACACCGACTCGACATGACAACCTGGCAAGGAACCTTGTTTTTCTTGTTTGGTTCGGTCCACTTGCAAGAGCGCGGCTGATGCAGCACAAGCTCATGACGCTGGCAGCATAGCAGGGCCAATCATGTTGGAGCGCCTTGGCCACTCTGCAGCTCCCTTTCTCTTTCGGAACTGGGCGGCCGGCGCAGTCCCATACCATGCTCTCCGTACCGGAACCAAAAAGACCATGAGGTTGCCCTTTGCGCCTAGATTGCGATTGGGCGTGGCCAGCATGATCCCAGGCATCCGTGTGGGCCGGGACGGTTCCGAGGGTGTCGTTCGACGTCCAGCTATGCCCAAGCGGGAAGGCTTCGAGAAGGGTTCCATGCCGGCTGTGTGGCTTTGGCTTCTCCACGTCCGACACTGATGGTGGTTGTGATCCCTTGGACATGATTTCAGCCAGTTGCTGTGCTTGATTCATACGAGGGGTGGAACGCTCAAGCATGCATAGATAGGCTGACAGCAAGGCAGTTACCTAGTAGCCTTAGCGTCGCTGGGGTGTGTGTGTGTGTGTGTGTGTGTATGTGGGTGTGCGTTGTGATTGATGACGATAACTCCAAGTTAGAGAGGGCTTGTTATGTATTGTTTTTTCTGCATGGCAGCGGGGGCAAGGGCTGCGTCTTTCTTTACCCCTTTTCTGTCTGGTTTTGGTTTGGTTCTCTTTGGAACTGGGGGTGTGAAAGGTGTGTGAGAGTGGAAGAGACGGACGGATTGATAACGACGGACGACGATTGGAGCACCTTGCAGGTGTGGCGCAAGTCATACATATTCGGGATGAGAGGTGGTTTTAAATGGTTGATGTGGGTCAATTTGTCGGTCTTCTCGTACTCGAGGCATGGCATTCAAGGGTCTTTGACTGGGCTGATCGGACAACAGATGGTCATGCATATGGGACGGCGACGGCTTACCGTTTTCCGGAAGCGGGACACCGCTGATTTTCCACCTTTTTTTTTTTTTTTTTTTCCTTTTCCCTTCTGTCTTCTTTACTTCTTTAGCAACGATGGCTGCTGCTACGACATCAAACGACGGACGGCAAATGACCTAGGCTGTTGGAGGAAGCAACAGCATAATAGACAAGGCAAGGATAGAATGGAGGGAGACGGGGAGAGGAGGAACAGAGTAATGAAGACAAAGATACCCTATTTGGATAACACATCCGCTTCTGATTAATCACGTCGCACACAGCTGACGAGAGCGGGAGGCTAAGCCCATGAGATGAGCTCATCCTACCGATGTCTCCCGCCTGGAAGGGAGGGAAGGACGGAGTGAAACAGCGAGGCCTTGGGTCAGGTAAGCTAAGTGGAAGAAAGGTGGTTGGCGGAAGAGGGCCGCGGTGGTGGAATTGTTTTGATGGCGGATGGATGGAAGTGAAACCCGCCTGCCTACTCGTTTACATTGCGACAGGAATGGTCCGCCGAAACAGAAACAGCCTTGTGGGAATGTCTGACGATGGTACGATAGAGACAGGGCATGTTTTTTCTCGGGTCCCCTTTGGGTCGTACTCCGAGGATAGGTACTGTGATTGAAAGAGTGTGTGTATGTGTGTGTCAGCACGTAAGGTACTGGGCTGAGCAGTTGGGAAAATGCCAAGCCTAGCATGCCCTGCAGGGTGCGGGGAGACGAGCGAATTGGGACTTTGGTGCAAGTGGGTGATGTATCATACATTAAGAACATACACTACTGGCATTGCACTCCATGCACGCCACGGTTTCTGTTGATCGCCTGCTGTGGAGCTCTCCAGCCAAGAAGGGGAGGTGGTGATCTCTACGAGAGCTGGTGTAAGCAGTGTAGCTTTCTGTCTTGTCAGTTTACGAGCACGACACGGATCTGAAATAATGAGCCCTGTTTCTCCATGGGGACATTTGCAAGCAACATGGCATGCAAGCAGGCACAAGCACGTTCGCAGACGTTCAATGTGGAGACGGGGAGGGGGGGCGACCTCGGCGACTATTCCGATGAGTATGATTTGCCGGCGAATTGCTGCTGCTGCGAATGCGACAGTATGAAATCACCCGTTACATCCAGCGCGCGCGGACACACACACACACACAAACCACCTGCACCGTATTGAGGCCAGCCAGGCGAGCCCTGCCTGCCTGTCTTCCCTCGGCCTGGAGGATACAGCAATAGTGCCAGTAGTTTAAACGGAATCTTGTTTTGGGTCGTAGGAGCCGGCTGGGATTGGAGTCGGGTTTAGCGCCCATCGCGGCGCAGCGTCGTCACGGTCACAATCGTGGCCCAACCGAAAACAACAACGGGGATGTCGCTAGGAGTTGGCAAAAGGGCACCCTCTGCAGGCTGTGTCAGTGGATGTGGTATGTTCTGGGGAGGCAACGCCGGCGAAGATGCCCTCCCTCGGATGCGGCACAGCAGCGGAGAGAAAATCTATTGGTTGGGGTCACACTCGAGCTGATCGACTGCCCATGGACCGCAACCAAATGTCGTAAATTTGTAGATCTATAGGAAAAGAAAAAAGAAGACATAAAGAGGGGAGGGGGGATAAGATGGACTGGCTTGTATACGTACCTTGGCAAAGGGAAAGGGATAGGGCTGAGCCGTTTCTGGGTGGTCGAGGGGAGGGAGTGAGACATTGGCATGTTCGTCTCGATTGGCGGTGTTCAGATATCCAGGATATTAGGCATCACCAAGGCACACCACACCATTCGGACTCTTGGCCGTTGGTTAGTTAGCTTGCACAAGGAATCTCTCTCAGCCGAGATAAACAGACCCGCCGAATGCAAAGGATATGCGCGAGGCCATCACAGCTGAGAGGGCAGTGTACGTAGGCGCCCGTGGGAAAGGGAACACGAGACATGAGACTGGCGTGGGGGAGATGGAAGCTGACAGGCAGGAGTTGCATCGCATACCGAGGTTACGTTTGGCGGGATCCTTTTGTGTTTGTGTGTGTGCGTGCGTACATATGACTCGGCTGTGTCCTTTTTTCAGTCTTGTTGTTGGCATGGATTGCGTAGGGAACGTTGTAGATCGGTCGGTCGGTCACATATGCACGAGACTCCGCGGACTGCGCAGGAGCCGGTGCAGCATTCACAATCAGGCGACGGAGGTTCGGAGGGAGCCGCACGTGACGTCTGCCGGGATTATGCTTATCAGATAAGTGGCCTTGCTCAAGGATACCGGCAGAGCCATGTAGGGTCCCCTCCCCTACCTACCTGTACCTGCCTAAGGCAGGATAAGCATCTCGGTGTTCAGAGCTCGGTGCTTCGGTGGTCGTTGCGACGGGGAGGTCTAGCGTCGCCGAGATCGGAGCGGCTCAACTCCCCTCTGCGGCCGAAAATATAGTCATAGTGGGTCGCCGCGCTGAGGCATGCCAATTTTTTACTTCCTCTCTGGAAAGCTCTACGGATACCTAGGGCTATATCGACGAATTCCTGGGTCGATACGAGTGTGAGTGCTGGGTGCTGACTACTGAGTGCTCGTTGCGCAACCTACCCGGGTGCGAAGTCCCTACGCGACTCCGTCAGAGACGTAGAAATGTGTCGGCGCATTTTAACTCCGGCATCTTCGCGAGACGAACGCTTGTGCCTCGACTCTAACCTCTCAACCTCGCCTAGAAATCAACCAGAAGTCACGTCGGCCAGGCAGTGGACCACACCGGCCGAGCAATATCGAGAAGCAACAAACGAAACAGATATTACATGGAGGCTTCAAGCAACAACATTGGATGCTGTTTCGCCCTGTTTGCTTTCCCCGCACGAAGCTCTCTGGCAGCATGTGGGGAAGAGGCGCAGAGAGGTCCTTTTCTTTAGCCCTCCCAATCAGACTCCTTCCGTGCAGTGTTCCCGTCCCTTTTACCCATTCCGTTCGCGTATTAGCATTGCTCCGCAAACAGCAGGATGGGGGTCGAGGGTTGGGTCACAGGCGCTCTTCTGAGACAAGAAGAGGCGACGCCTGCAGGACGAGACTTTTTTCGCTGCAGAAGATTTTCGTGACAACAACAGTTGAAGGATAAATTGCAGTCGCAAATAAAGGGTACTTAGCTCAAGGTTTTGTCCAAGACTACATGTCGATATAGGATCATGAAAAGGACTCGCCCAACCTCAGAAATCAAGGACCGACCGAGCAGAGGTCGGTCCGAGGTAGGTAAGGGGGAGCCCTTCCCCTGACCGGGGCTGATGCTATCCATCCATGGAATTGGTCGTTCTACTTCTAATACCTCGCAAGCCCTGCGGCCAGCGGTCAGTGACAGACACTCTAGAGAATACCCGCAAAAGCAGAGCTGCGTGGTATCTATACTTCAACATCTCTGTAGCTTCGTCTGACCCGCCCACATCGGTCCCCGATGGAAAAATAAATAAAAATAAAAGCACGATCTCGGCTCTCGGCTGTCCTCCCGCCTTGCTGTTGCGGTTCCGTGCTGTTTGACTCTTGCCCAGTACGAGTTTAATTGCAACCGGTCGCATCCCTCCCACTTCTTCCTCCACAAAGCGGTTTGCCATTAGCCTTCGCAAGCTTCCCCTTACCATCATCTTCCTCACCGAGCCGGACCTACTCTAGATCGCAGCTTCGCAACCGTTATCAACTGGTCGTGGCTTGACTCTTGTACATCCGCGACGTACGTCCTTCTCCTCCACTTGGCGGAAACCTGCAGCAAGCCAACACAGGCCCCGGAAGCCAGTTCAATTGCCGGATCACACACTACCCGGGAATCACGGCCATCCTCCTTGTCTCCCCCGCCCGCCGGTCAACGACCGAGAAGCCGAAAATACCCTTCATATTCGCGCGCAACCGCCGCCACTACCCAGTTTCGACCGCCATCATGAACGCAGCCCGTTTCCTCCGCCGACCTGCAACCTTTGCCCTCCGTCCGTCCTTCTTCGTCTCACCCTCCAGCTTCTCCCCCGCCCCCGCGTCATCCATCGCCGTCCGCACAATGGCGTCCGCCGTACAGAAGATCAAGGTCAAGAACCCCGTCGTCGAGCTCGATGGCGACGAGATGACCCGCATCATCTGGCAGACCATCAAGGACAAGTTCATCCATCCCTACCTCGACATAGACCTCAAGTACTACGACCTCGGCCTGCCCTACCGCGACGAGACCAACGATCAGGTCACCCTTGACGCCGCCGAGGCCATCAAGAAGTACTCGGTCGGTGTCAAGTGCGCCACCATCACCCCCGATGAGGCCCGCGTTGAGGAGTTCAAGCTTAAGAAGAGTAAGTTTGCTGTTTTCTTCGCCCACTTGGGACTTCCGCTATATGTTGGGATTCCCTTCAGTCCCGCTTTTTGTCTCATTTCGCACGTCCTCCGCACTTCGGGAGGCGCCGTCGGAAGCATGCATATAGTTTCCCCCCTCGGGGGCTCTGCATAGCTCCCGTCATCACCTCTCGGACTTGTCCCCCACTAGAGTTTCAACCAATAGAGAGAAGGACTAGGCTAACTAGATGGCTTCCTTCCCTCACGATAGTGTGGCTCTCCCCCAACGGTACCATCCGCAACCACCTTGGCGGCACTGTCTTCCGCGAGCCCATCGTCATCCCCCGCATCCCACGCCTGGTGCCCGGCTGGAAGAAGCCTATCATCATCGGCCGCCACGCGTTCGGCGACCAGTACCGCGCCAAGGACGCCGTCCTCCCCGGCCCGGGCACCCTCAAGATGGTCTACACACCCGAAGGTGGCGAGCCCCAGGAGATTGAGGTCTTCAAGTTCAAGCAGGGCGGTGGCGTCGCCCAGACCCAGTACAACACGGACGAGTCCATTACCGGCTTCGCCCACGCCTCCTTCAAGCTCGCCCTCGACAAGAAGCTACCCCTGTACATGAGCACCAAGAACACCATCCTCAAGAAGTACGATGGCCGCTTCAAGGACATCTTCCAGGAGATCTACGACACTCAGTACAAGGCCGACTTCGAGGCGGCCGGCATCTGGTACGAGCACCGCCTCATTGACGACATGGTCGCCCAGATGATCAAGAGCTCCGGTGGCTACATCATGGCCCTCAAGAGTGAGTCCCCCGGCCCGTTTTTAAACCATTTCGATTCTTGGAGAACAATGAGTGACACGATGACTGACGCGACGGCCAGACTACGACGGTGATGTCCAGTCCGACATTGTCGCCCAGGGCTTCGGCTCCCTCGGCCTCATGACCTCGGTCCTCATCACCCCCGACGGCAAAACCTTCGAGTCTGAGGCGGCCCATGGCACTGTGACGCGCCACTTCCGCGAGCACCAGAAGGGCAAGGAGACGTCGACCAACCCCATCGCCTCTATCTTCGCCTGGACCCGCGGTCTCATCCAGCGCGGCAAGCTCGACGATACCCCCGAGGTCGTCGCCTTCGCCGAGTCCCTTGAGAAAGCCTGCATCGACACTGTCGACGTCGACGGCATCATGACCAAGGACCTCGCCCTCGCCTGCGGGAAGTCCGCCCGCGAGGACTACGCCACCACCAACGAGTACCTCGACGCCGTCGAGCGCCGCATGAAGTCCATCCTCAAGGAGAAGCTGTAAACTGTCGGTTTGCCCTTGCTAAAAGCGGCCGGGAGTCATGCCACGATCACATTTTTCTCAAAGGCAAAAACAGGAAGCTTCCTGCGAGACGATACCCATGAAGTGTAAGAAAAAGTTGGGCGGCAGAGTCCGGGAGGTTTTGCTCCCCCTTTCAAGAACACTACTGTATCTATGGGCCTGCGATCTTGCTTTTTGCTCTTTTTTTTTTTGCATTTGAACGTCAACAGCGACGGCGGCGGCAGCAGCAGCAGCATGGCCATACATATCTTTGTATTTTCGGTTTCGTCTCTTCCGAATTTTCTTGTGAGCTACTTGATATCACGGCCCGTCTTGACGTTAACCAGCAGAAAAAAGAAAAAAAAACCGGACACTGTGAGAGAGGAAAAGACTGGTGGGGAGAGAGGCCGCTTGTAGATAGGAGAAGCCAGCTCCGTGGTAAATATCGACAGCCATTTATCACATGAAAAGAAGATGTCGTCTGTCGTGTTGCCGTCGAACGAGCACGCCAAGTATGGCGGTGAAATAATGAAAAGAAAATAATTGTGCCATTGCCAGTCCCTAGTAAGTTTTGTCCTCACCCCCCCCCCTTTGAATCTGGATCTGGTGGAGGATATCCCCGTTACGCCGTCCCTTTGATTTCTCTCCCTACTTCACTCGCCCCACGCGCATGCTCGTAAGCCTTGAACCTCCCCCGGCGGTCGAAGCAGATGCGAAACCGCCATCATTCTGTGATGTACTGTACAATTCTAAAAAAAAGAAAAGAAAAAAAAGGGAAATGAGGGTGTAAAAGGAAGGAAAAAAGTGTCTGCGCTGGGTTGTTTTCCCAGCCCGTGCATACATACCGGCGTTGGTTAAGCAGCCCTCCCCATACTGGCCTGTGGGTGCCGTTGATGGGTAGCTACGCCAGAAGAGTCCGAATGCTCATTTGTGAAACCCCCTGATGGGAAGGAGACCCTACTTGAGCTTCTGCAACGATTCCCATTCAATTATTTGACAGTTTTAATGTCAATTCCTGCATTAATAGGCAGACTGCCGCAAACCGCCGGTGACCGTTGGGCATTTGGCCCGACTCCCAGACACGTTCGCATCCGTCAGCCATCAATACGGGCAAGCCACTAGTCATCCCTGTCGCGCGCGGCCTCGCTCTTGCGGCCTCGCTTGGTCACCGTAGGGGTCCCGATGTCAGCGCCCTCGCTCTTACGCTTCTTCTTGGTAGGTCGGCTGCTCGAGCCCCGGGGCCGGTACCCCTCGTCATCGTCTCTGCCGGCGCGCTTTCTCTTGCCGCGACCCGTGGCCGGCGTCGCGAAGCTGGGGCCATCCGAGTCCGCCTCGTCATCCATGCTCTGGTCGTAGCTGTCGGCGTCCCGCCGCAGAGCGGCTGCCCGTTCGGCAGCCGCCGCCGCCTTCTCAGCGGCCCTCTGCGCGGCTTTCTCGGCCCGCACGGCTGCGAGGGAGGCACGCTTACCACCTCGGGACCGGCCGCCACGAGTCGATTCACCCCTGTGTGCGCCGCCACGTCGCTTACGGCCGTCGGTCGGGGGGGCCTCGACAGTCTCGTCGTCGACGGCGGTAGCAGCATTTTCGGCATCTTGCAGGAATGTCTTGGGCGCGTGCTTACGCAGCCAGTTGTACACGCTCGTAGGGTTCTTCATAGCGATGCTCTGGGAGAGCGCGTGGGGGTTGGTCTCCGGAAGGGGGGCGTTCGTCCGGGCGGCGGGCGCCAGCGTCGGAAGAAGGTTGTCAGGGTCGACACGTCTGTCGACATCGTGCATATAGTCATCGATGTCTTCAGGCGTCAGGAAAGACGGAGGATGGGGCTCGCCGGAGAAAGGCTCCATGTCGGCAACCACGGTGGGATATTGCTCCTTTGCCTGGGAGTAGGTGTAGTGCGGCACCTCGTTGAGCAGCGTCTTCAACGACTTTGTCGGTCCATCGGAACTCGGCTCTTTGTCGACGTCAAGAGGGGAAAATGGGGAATCTTCGGGGGGTTCCTGCGCAAGGTGGAAGCGTTTGTCGTAGGGTATTTGAGCCGAGGCATTCATGTCCAGCAGCAGGTCGAGTATGCGACTGTTGCGAAAAGAAACAGTGTTAGAGCATCGCACAACTTTCCCTAGGGGGCCTGTCCAATGATGAAATCTGTGCACTCACTCGTTCTCGATGGCGATACGTTTGGCAGTAGCAAGCGCGTGAGACTCCTGACGATGCAGCCCCTCGCAGTCGTGCATCTTCTGGTCAAATGTGATGCGCATCTTGCGGTACTTCTTCTTCCACGACTTATACGTCGTCTTTCCCTCCCCTGTTCTGCCATCGTCGGAGTCGTGGCCCTCGGCCTTGACTTCGCGGCTCGTGCTGGTACCGTTGGCGTCGCTCATGGCGGATGGCATGGGGCGCAGACAACGGGGAGGGTTTTCCGGTAATTGTCGGGATGGGGGCAATCAATCGCGAATCGGAGATGGCATCGATTGACTGAAAGAGGGGGTTTTAACGATGAAGGGCGAATGACAGGTATCTCCTACCATTGACGGATGAGGGAATTGGTTGATGCTGTTGATGACATTAAGAGCTGAGTGACTGTGGGATTGGGAGACCGCGACGTTGCGTACGGAGTTTCCACTGGCGCGCGGATGCAGGGTGACGAGGCTGCGATGCACGTTCCTGGCCACTTTTCTCCAGTGAGAGCTTGGGGAAAGCGTCAACAATACAATTACGCGGGGGGTCTACATAAGCAAGCCTACGCTTAAGAGAAGGGTGTGGGCAGAGCAAGGAAATATGGGGTGTGGCTATCACATCTCAAACTCTCCAAATCTTCGCTTTCACTTTCGGAGTGAGAGGTCCCAAAATCGACTGAGCTGCAGCTACCACAACCCGGTTTTCATTACACTTTCAACCTCCATCCCGCGTCCACGATTGCATGTTCCGCTTCTCCAGAGCATTCCGAATGGCCGAAAACTCAGCAAAGAGACTCAAGATGTCGCCCGTTACCATCGGCACCCACAATGGCCACTTCCACGCCGACGAGGCCCTGGCCGTGCACATGCTGCGCAAGCTGCCCACCTACCACGACTCCCAGCTGATCCGCACCCGCGACCCCAAGCTTCTCGAGACTTGCCACACCGTCGTCGACGTCGGCGGCGAGTACGACGACGGCAAGAAGCGCTACGACCACCACCAGCGCGGCTTCACCACCACCTTCCCCGGCAAGAACACTAAGCTGTCGAGTGCCGGCCTCGTCTTCATGCACTTTGGTAAGGCCATTATCGCCCAGAAGCTCAGCGAGGGCGCCGAGAAGCCCGTCACTGAGGACAGCCCCGAGGTCGAGCTGCTGTACAACAAGCTGTACGAGAGCTTCGTCGAGGCCCTCGACGCCCACGACAACGGCATCTCCGTCTACGACCCCAAGGCCGTCGCCGCCGCGGGCCTCGAGAAGCGCTTCAGCGAGGGCGGCTTCACCCTCGGCTCCGTCGTCGGCCGCCTGAACCCTAACTGGAACGACCCGGTTCCGTCGGACCCGGCCGAGGCTCAGAAGCTCGAAGACGAGCGCTTCGTCAAGGCGAGCCGCCGCATCGGCGAGGAGTTTGACGCCGACCTCGACTACTACGCCAAGGCGTGGTTGCCCGCCCGCGCCGTCGTGCAGGCCGCCTTCGAGAAGCGCACGCAGTACGACCCCGAGGGCCGCGTGCTGGTGTTCGAGGGCCAGAGCGCCCCCTGGAAGGACCACCTGTACTCTCTCGAAGAAGGCAAGCCCTCGGTCGTCTACGTATTGTACCCCGAGAATACCGCACCCGATGCCAAGTGGCGCGTTCAGGCGGTGCCCGTCACTAAGGACTCGTTCGAGAGCCGCAAGCCGCTGCCTGAGGCGTGGCGCGGATTCAGAGACGAGGAGCTGGACGGCATCTCCGGCATCCCCGGCTGCGTCTTCGTCCACGCGGCTGGCTTTATCGGCGGAAATAAGACCTTCGATGGCGCCAAGGACATGGCGATCAAGGCATTGGCTCTGTAGAAGGGGACGCCCGAAGGGTCTGGTCACTGGGAGGAAGGTCATTGGAACATGGAACGGCGTATTGCATCAAAAGAAAAAAAAGTGTCTTATTGCTCATCGATACATCGGTTTCCCCATCACACCTATGGCTCGCCGGGAAATTCCTTGTCGTATCATAATGGTGAAGGCGCCACAACATCTCTCTCTCTCTCTCTTCCCCCTCTCACCCTAAATGCATACCTGTCAAAAATAAAAAGGAAATGAAACCCAGATTCGGTTATGCTGCTGATAGTATCAGGACAGGAAAGGAAGCCCGCATGCATTTAGGAAAGCCACCTCACTGCATCTCAGAGTCACATGCGGAAGCCGCCAGCAGTGCGCTAACGCCGCGATAAGTGATTGACGGCGTAGACTGGAGTATAACAGTGGCACGAGGGTATGCACATGTGACTTAGACGAAGGGAGTTTCGATTTCGGTTATCACCATCTGTCGTTTGCTTTCCTCCCCCTTCGGTCCAGAATCCATGTACGGGGAAAAGTTCAGTCTTCAATAGTAGTGCCGCGCATCGTGGGAGCAAGTCTGGGGATGCGTCGTCGATAGAACGCCGCAGAACGCAATTCCATCCACAACAGAGAAGCCGACAGATATCAAGTCTCGTTTCCATTTCAACAACCGTTTGTGTTTGGTTCCCACCCGATTCCAACGCCTAAGAGTTCCATGAAAAAGATTCAACACAGCATCATAACATCATAGTAGAAATCCGGCACCAACAAGCACCCAATTTGCCACCGGGGAGTCCCAACAGTACTCATACGAAGCCTGAGGGAGGAAGAAGCGAGTTGACTAAGTAGACGCAAGGGTCACCTAAGCCACGTCTCATCTCCGGATAGGAATGCTCTCCATCTTGGCGGCTTCGTCGACCGGCAAGTTATTCTCCTTGTCCTTGTGCTCAACCTCCTCGGCGCTGGTCTCCTGGTTGAGGAAGCTTGCCTCCTTCACGGGGCTGCCAGCGTGAGCGCCACTGGGGATGCTGCCGTGATGCTTGTTGCCGTTGAGGGAGGACGAGGAATTGTTGACGGGGCTCGAGAGGTGAGGGATATTCTCGGGAACGGGGTGTTGAGAGCCGACGGCGCCCGTGTCGACGCTGTCGCCCTTGCCAGCCTTGGACATGGCATAGTCCCCTGAGTCGAAGTACTTGCGGTCCTTCAGGTGCTTGGCGAAGTGGTCCGAACGAGAGGGAAGCTTTCCGTAGAGGCGAAAAAGACGCTGCTCCTCAGGCGAGAGAGACTGGGAGAGTATCAGGTCAGCGGAAGGCACGTTGGTTGTGGCGAGGAAGGGCGGATTGAGTTGCAAGTCGCGATGCTGCCGCAGGCTTCATTGCCAGGGTGGGGGGGCATTGGGTAGCAAGAGTTTGGTGCTCACTTACCGAGACGTCGATCTTGTTCTTCTGGAGGGGGTTCATCTTGTCGGCAGGTGTCGAACTCAGGATTGGCGTTGAACGATTGTTTGGTATACAAGAGTTCGCTCAAGGTTCGCAGCCAGAAGGGGGGAAGAAGGCGGGAGAGGAGGGACCTTGAAGTTGATGTAGACGGAGGTGGGATGCAGTGCGAGTGACGGAAGTTTGAGGTGCTGGTTGTAAGGCGGCGGGTGCGTCTTAGTGGTTTTTAGCGGGGCCCCTTTTTAGGGGAGAGGGGAACGGGATAGTGAAGTCAGGCCGGGTCCAGAGGCAGAAGGGGGCAGCGACCCAAGGGTGGGACAAGAGTGAGAGGGGACGGCAAGGGGTACGTACCTGCTGCCCAGATGTACCGCTATAATATTGTGTGTCGAGTTTGGAGGAGTACCTACCTAGATAGATACCAGGTGATGTACCTCAAGCACAGGTGTCAGTGGCAGGAGCTAAGTGCCTATGTATGCTCGGTTGAGCCCGGAGACAGGCCAGACGAACCACACAGCAAGGACACAAGGCACAGGCAGGGACACTGGCAAAGCCGAGAGCGACTGATTTTAGGTGAATTCAAAGATGAGGTTCGGTTCCAGGGGGGTGGATATGATTTGACTCGCAACTAACCGACCGGGCCAGCCATAAACCCTGGATATGGAGTCAGTGAGTTGGCAAAAATATTGGTTTCATCTGGTTTCCATGGTCATGACAAAGCACAAAGTATGATCAAGGACAATACATAATTAACAAAAGGAAGGGTCCAGGTCTGCTGACGAGGATTTTGGCTTGGAAAGTGGCCGCATGAATGCATGAATGTTTACAATCCATGTTATTGCTGGGCTTCCCCATTGCCAATCACCATTTGATGACACACAAACAACGGGGCAACGACTTCTATCCATGGAACAACGGCGCAACGGAGAAGACGCGGTATGTGAAGAAGTGCGGGTAACCTACCTCTATTGAGGCTACGGGAGGGGCCCCCTTCTGCAATACGCCATGGTTCAACTTGTGAGTCTGATCACCCTCTGTCTGTTTGTCCTTTCATCTACGGAGTACATTATATATATATATATATATTCTATAGTGTTCCTTGCCCCATGGAAACTTTCGAATCCAGCAAGCTCTTGCTTGACGTGTTTGTCACAGCCATCCCCTGTGGCCCGCGACATTATCTATCTGGATGGCAACCCGACCCAATTACACGTCTGCTCTTCTTCCGGTAAATGTAGCATCCCGGCACCAGCCTGACGCCTCCACCGCGGACTGCGTAACCGTTGCCGATGGCAGAGCGTGCCGCCCTACCGGAAAGCATCCAGCTGTTCACTTGACCTCTCTCGGCCCCCATCCCCATACGGAAAAGATGAGCTACAATTGTACCCCTGGGACCACAGCGAATCACTGTGGGATTCATTCTTTCTAGCCCGGTAGACGACATAACTACTAGGTACACTACATTGTACATTACATATCGAGCATGTAGGTATGTACTGCAATGCACTCCCAACACTGCCACCCGGAGGATGCAACCCAATTCCTGGACCGGCTCATCGTTGGCCCCCACCAAGACACAGGATTCCAAGAACAATCGTCTGATTGCCCTGGATTTCCTTGGCGACCCTCAGGGTCTCGATTGACCGTACGGCCACCGGATCGATCTGTCAACGCTCAGTCGCCGTGATCGCCTCTTGTGCCGTCTGTGGTACCTGCGGCCGCCCCGCGGCTCGCATACCCGGGGGGCGAGCTCCAACTCTGCCCGTTGTGCCGTCGCGGCTCCCCATGCCTTATCAGCCTTTCCGACCGGCGAACGATAATCAGCTGCGACGCTCGGCCGAAGAAGGGGATGATCCCCAATGTACACTGTGACATGGTGCACCATACCTACCTACCTAGCACTCGGAGAGACAGAGGTGACGTAAAGCTTCTATCCCTGCCATGCCGTGTTGGAGGAGTGGAGGAACGAGTTCAGCACAGGTCAGTCTACGAGCCAGTATCGACACCATCTCTCGTCTCGGGAGTTCGAAGCTGTCTGGACCGGGACGGACTGTCTGGTCTGGTCACTCTCCCCGCGTTCCCGCGCCTCCAACGTGGTTTCGACTGCGGGCATGTCATGATTTGCTCGGGGCAAGTGCCGCTTGACTAGTGCTGTGACCAAGCAAGGGTCAACTAGCATGGTAAGACCATTCTGCGGCTGTTTTCTGCCCCCTCTTCGCACCATCCGATCCCACGAGCCAGACTACCAGATATCGTGGGAAGTCAACGGGTGGCTTCTGCAACCCGCCCTTCCATCAGTGGCTCCATGCACCGCGGCACAACTCTACCCCATCATACGATCACGCCTGATTGGAGGGAGCACGGTTAATGGCAGTCGTAAGCTCTCCTCATGTCGACCGCACTGGGCACATGCCAAAGGTCACTAGCCGCTGATAGGTTTGACGCTTTGTTCCCCCAGGGTTTGCCTGCATGCTGCCATCCTACTGAATGGGCTGTTCCCGTCCCGTCTCGTCTTGCCTCAAATGAGACGCTTTCGGACTCTTTTGCTTCTCGGCATCCAAGTGCGTGCTGATTGCCGGCCATGGCTCCAGCTCTCCCCAGCCCATACCCCGCTTATCTGCCTTTGGTACCGTCCACCTTTACGCAGTAATAAGCGTCAAACACGACTCGGTCTTGGACATCGTGACCTCGTGGTGGTTGTTCACATCAAGGAAGACTTGCTTTGTCACAGCAATTGACTTTCGGTTTTCATCAAGTATTCGGAACACTAAACATTGCTCGGCCTGCGCCGGCGAGGAAGAGAATCTCGAGGTGGAAAGGAAGCATAATGCCCTCTCCAGCGATCAATTTCACCACGCCAGGGATCACATCGGTATCTGATTCTCTTTCTACAGCTGTCCAACAAACTCAACGAGGTTGCCGGGGTTATCTGCCGATCTGATTGTTCATTCCACCTGACGGCCTTGTTAGCTGCTTACACACTCGAGGCTCTCCACATACATTTGACACAAGCTTGTCTTCCTCCCTGGCCACGATGAAATACCTTGCAGAGTCGCCCGCGAAATGACAGGCAGCACAGTCGACGTTGCATCTGTAGAGCCATCGGTTCGCGATGGCGATATTGGCTGTTGGGCGGTACCCTCACCATGTGGCCATTTTATCGACCTAGAGGCCAATCGACGTAGCTCACCGGCCAGTTCGAGCCCGCAGCTCGCGTCTGAAGCGGTCGACCGTTATTGGCTTTGATCAGGGCTCACCGGTACCCTCCACCTCGGCCATTCGATATCTGTCCGAAATAACGACATCACGGGAGATAGCGCAGGGTGGGAGGAGCAGAGGCCGGGAGGGTTGCCGATCCCACCTCACTAGCCTATCAGATTCAAGCGTACTTTGACAAGATGGGCTTCCGCAGCTTTGCTTGCTCCCCTTGACTTTGAGGACTTTTCCTCCGTGACGCGGGGGACAATGATGTGTTACTTGATAAGCCATTGCCAGATGTGTTTCTACAGAACATCCACCTGGATTGTTCTCCGCTCACGGCTTAGGCTCGGATTCTATACGCCCTTGTATATGTTCTTCATCTCACACGAGTACCCTAAGCCACCATGTTCGAGTAAAATAGACTACGAATAAACCTGAACCTAGTCTAATGGCACTAAACTGCTGATCGCCGCCTGTTTTGAAGCCAACTTACTACTGATGCCATGAGCGTGGAACTGTATGAAAATTCCTTTCCTAATCCTGGACATTTGTAAGGGCTGTACTTCTTTTGGATTAAATTGCTTTCACAAGGTACCCAGCCTTCCGCGACGGGTAGGATAACGGCATCGAACTATTAGCTTTTGGGTTTTACCCACGGGTCTGTAGAGTCCATCATTGGAGATGGAGATTTCTTGAACGTATTGGCAGAGACATGTTCGACCATATACCGCTCTGTCGGGTTGAGAAGTAGGTGAAAATAGCACGTCTTGGGGAGCATCATCGTCTTCCAAGGTCTCATTCTTCGTCGATAGCGGATATGCGGAGCTTTAGTAGCTCCATTATATAATTTCTCACGATATAGCAGAAAGTCGAGGAAGGCTTTGCAGGAGAAGACTACGCTGCCACAACGACAAGGTATAAGGCGGAGTCTGCCACAACGAGTCACTTCTCTGGAGCGTCCTTCGAACATCCAGTTCTCTCCTGTTTCATTCACACTCGTGAGCCCCCAATTCAAGTTCATCATGCTACCCAGGATTTCCTGCGTGGCTCTCGTGAGCATCCTGCTTTGTCCCGCCATAGCGATGCCGGTAAACACCAACGATCACATTTCTGTCAACAAGGGACCCTCCCCCCTGATTCCCTCCATCACAAGTATAACAGAGCCTTTATCCTTCAATACCTGCTCTGGACAGCCCGCGTTTCTTGGGCGCCAATATCAGGCCCAAGAAGATTGACTACCTCTGGGCTGGCACTGGAGCTAACATACACAAGGACTTCTGATAACTTCGAGTCCGGACTAGACAAAATATACCCCTCTGTCCCCTCGCCTGTTTACCTCTTTCATTTAGGTCAGAGCCCAATATTATTCTCTTGAACATGTATACTGTCAGAAAATGGGGTGCCAGTACATTCTCAGCTAAATCATTACTCTCACTAATGTGCATATAAGCGAGGATATTCCCGATCATCTAGGTACTCCCCTTAATAGTAGGACGGCTCATTGGTAGCAATCTCCTGTCCCTCCTTGCGACCTAGGGTACCGTATCTTACTTCAACGTCTCTAATCCCTATGCGCCCAAGTCTAGGAAGTCCAGATCAGCCCTAAAAAAGAAGCAGCTACTAGTTACTGGGTGCCTCGTGCAGGCTGGCGGTGTGAGTTCCCTCCATTCTCTTCGTCGTGAACATGGCGGGCGACTACAACAGCCAATGGACTCGACCTCCTCGCCGAAGGAAGTCTGAGCTTCAACAAGCCCATCGATTTTCAGAGCATCACCCGCGACCGTGACGGTGCGCGACCTCACTCATCGACGGCATCTTCGACCTGGCCGACCTCGAGGACCCAAAATACTACTGAGCCATAGCTCAAAGGGAACGAACGGGTTACAGGTCACATCTCTCCTGTCTGCTATTGTTATTTTGCATTGTAATACCCGAATCTACCCACCTACCTTGATATGTTGTGCACCGGTAAATGGGGCCGTGCGCTAACAATTTTCTGGATATGCGTCATCCGCTCGCCCCTCCCCTGGAGAGGTCCGCCCGGTTCTTCCGCGTCACAGCTGCCTCCCTGGATATGGCGTAACGCTAACAAACCAACTGCCGTGTGCCGTGTGCCGTGACTCCTTCATTTCTTGTGCACTTCGATTCTCATCCATGTCTTCATAAAACCTCCAGTCCTTACAGGCATCAACAGCATGCCATCTAGACGGAGTGCAGAGAAGACCCACCCGTCGGCGGCTGCGCCGGCGGTTCAAACAGTTACCCCACTAAGCTCCCGGAGAGCTCTTGTTTGCGTAGTAGGCTTCGTTTTGTCTCTTATAGTTGTTTACGGACTCTACACACCGAGCGGAAGTTTCCATGATACCGGAAAGTGGTTTCCCGGGACCCCCGACAACGTCGCCGACATCGACATCGACGCAGACAATGACTTGTACCTAATCGGCGCCGGCCGCGCCGACATCACGGGCCCGGTTGTAGAGATCAATATGATGGGTTACGCAGACCCCAAACAGCTCGGCACCGGCCTCCGGCAGAGACTGTACGCCCGCGCTTTCATCGTCGGAAGTGTGGCAAGGCGCGATGACAGATTCATTTATGTTGTGCTGGACACCCAGTCGGGAGACACAGCTGTTCGGTATGGCGTCCTTCACGGCCTCGCCGAGCTAGGGTTCGAATACTCCATGTACGGTCATCACAACTTGGCCCTAACCGGAACGCATTCTCATTCCGGCCCGGGCGCTTGGCTGAACTATCTGCTACCTCAAATCACAAGTAAAGGATTCGATAAGCAAAGCTACCAGGCCATTGTCGATGGCACGCTGCTGGCAATACGTCGTGCTCACGAGGGGCTGGAGCCAGGGCACATTAGTGTCGGATCTACCAAAGTAACTGGCGCCAGCATCAACCGCAGCCTGTATGCGTATATGGCCAACCCGGAAGAAGAACGTGCCAAGTACAACACCAGCGCCGAGGAGGACGGGTCTGTTGAGAAAGAAATGACCCTTCTGAAGTTCCAACGAGCCTCAGACGGCAAAAGTATCGGTGTGCTGACATGGTTTCCAACCCACGGCACCTCCATGCTCGGAAACAACACGCTCATCTCGGGAGATAACAAGGGCGTGGCAGCCTGGCTTTTTGAGAAGAGCGTGCGAGAGAACCCCCATACGACCAAAAGCTTTGTTGCTGGCTTCTCCCAGGCAAACGTGGGAGATGTCAGCCCCAATGTGCTGGGCGCTTTCTGCGAGGATGGCTCCGACGACCCATGCGACTTCGAGACCAGCACCTGCAGCGACGGAAAAAGCCAGAAGTGCCATGCCAGAGGCCCGTTCTTCCGAAAGAAGGACAACGGAGCCGCGTCCTGCTTTGAGATTGGTAAGAGGCAGTACACCGCTGCCAAGAAGCTATTCGACGACATGGGGTCCAGCGCCCAGCGTGTCCGCGGCTCGTGGGTCAGATCATTTCACACCTTCCATAACATGTCCGAGTTTCGGTTCGAGCTACCCAACGGGACAGAAGTGAGAACCTGTCCTGCGGCATTGGGATACTCTTTTGCAGCGGGGACGTCTGACGGCCCTGGTGCATTCGACTTTACCCAGCATGACTCGAATTCGTCAAATACATCGCCTTTGTGGAAGGTCGTTGGTGGTTTACTAAAGGCGCCAACGGAGGATCAAATCGCCTGTCACTCGCCCAAGCCAATCCTGTTGGACGTGGGCGAGGTCTTCAACCCCTACCAGTGGACACCCAACATTGTGGATATCCAGACATTCCGGGTTGGACAACTCGTCATCATCGTTAGCCCGGGAGAGGCCTCTACCATGGCTGGACGTCGGTGGAAAGATGCCGTCAGACACAAGGCCGAGTCCTTGTTTGCTAACGAGGCTGATGTCGAACCTGTAGTTGTCATTGGAGGGCCGGCAAATAGCTATACGCACTACATCACGACGCAAGAGGAATACGGGTAAGCATTCCGAGGGGCAATTTGCCGTACTGTACTGACGCACATGAGCAGGAGACAACGATACGAAGGTGCCTCGACACTATATGGACCCTATACGCTCGACGCATACATCAACCGAACCCTCGAGTACCTGCCAACTCTGAGCGCTTCGTTCACAAAAGGGCCTCCCTCTCATGCTGGAGGCCCATACCCCCCCGACAACAGCAATAGATCTTTGAGTTTTATCACTGGTGTAGTGCGAGACGGAACGCCCGTGTTCCGCAGCTTTGGCGATGTGAAGACCGATGTGCAAAAGAGCTATACCATCGGAGACGTTGTGCGAGCCACTTTTGTCGGAGCCAACCCTCGAAACAACTTGCGCCTGGAACAAAACTACGCTGTCGTAGAGAAACTGGTCATCGACAAGGGTGGCATCAAGAAATGGGAAATTGTGCGGGACGACAATGACTGGAGTTTGATTTTCAACTGGAAGCGGACGAGCGACATACTCGCCACAAGCGAGGTCGAGATTGTATGGGAGACGGAGAACGATGGGGAGCCGGGGACATACCGGTTCCGCTACTACGGGGACTCCAAGTCGCTGGGTGGCAAAATCACAAGTTTCGAGGGAGTCAGTGGGCAGTTCAAGTTGCACTAAGCTTGGAATGGCCGGATGGCAGGCCTTGGTTTAGGTCTGGATGTTTATGAGAACCGCATCATGTCTAGTGGTGTCCCAAGATAGAGACTGCTAGCAAGGAGGCTAGAATCCATCAAGTAAAGATGCTGGCCTGGCTGGGTTATTTGCAAGCGCATGTTGAGGGGGTATAGTGAACTAGGCTGCGGCGGGCGGCTCAGGTAAATACAATATGAAGTAAAACCCTCGTCAACTTTCAAAGGAAACCACAGCACGACGGTACGGCGACCTCGTGCGGCAAGAAACCGCTTCTCCCGATTGCAAGAAACATTGGTCCCATTGCGCTCCCTCATCCAGCGGCCGTGCCTCCAACGAGAGACATTCTCGGCCTCGAACCTGAACGAACGTGCATGCATGGCTTGGCTTGTCACTGAGTCCCACGCCGCATGTCTCACAGTAGAACGGCCGGTTTGTTTTTCACTCGCCCGTTTTTTTTCTTTTTCTTTTTGTTTCTTTTCTTTTCTGTCTGCCCTTCGCTGACCCATCGTGGCATGTAGCAGGAAGCATGGGGAGCCAACATTGGCTGTTGGAAGCGTCCATGCAGTAGATAACCTTGCTTGCTTATATACCTTTAGTCTTGGTGGGCGGCAATTGGTTGAATACCGTCATTGGCAGCGGAGGTTTACAGCCCCCCCACCTCTCCCCCCCCCCCCCAGCACCTCGGCGGCGGTACCTTTACCCCGGCAAGCTGGGTCCGATGTATCTGCCGTGTGGCGAACCAACATACGGGCCCCTGTATCAGGGCCCCCTTGCTGCAGCTGCAGCTGCAGCTACCGCTGTTTATCGTCCAAGTATCCGTATCCGTAGTGTGCACGACATACGAGCTGTATGTTCTTTGGATCATCGATATGCCCCTTATGTTTTCTGCTTGTGGTACCTGGGAGTGGATGACATCTCTCGGAGACTGGGATCCCATTTAGTTCAGGGGCAGCGCGGTCTGCCACGTTTTGAGCCTTGAGCGCTGGAGCAGGTATCCGTATATTAGCTAGTATACAAGGTAAGCTTCCTTGCCGTCCCAGCAAATCATACGTTGCCCATGGTATTGCAAGGTAAAGAAGAAGGGTCCGGTCGATGCTGTCGAGTAATTACGCCCTCAGTGAGCCCTCAGTCGATAATGGAGACGGGATGGATAATAGGGGGGGTTTCTAAACCACTAGGTAGGTAGTTTAGTTTCGGGTCGCGCTGGATCCGAAACCAGATAGCTTTTTACCCCTGTGCACTGCACTGCCGCCTCCCACATGGCGCTGTTCCGTCCCGTCCTCAGTTAAGTCCCGCTCTCAGACACAATCAACGTTTGCATCCATTCTTTTGTTTCTTCCATGAGTTCTGCACCTTCTTCCTTTCATTTCTTCTTTCTAGGCTTGTCTTTCCTCGTGTGTGGAAGTAATTGTTGCCATTGCAGGCGATACCGAACGGCATCAAGCTCCTCCACGGTATAAGGTTGAACCAGGACCTCGATCCTTCTCGCAACAAACCCTACCCCGCTGTCGCAGCCCTATATCTTCTGCCTGGCCATCCCCTTGCCTGCCGAATAACATCCGCGGCCCTGCTGCTAGCAACCTGGTGGTCCGCATCGCCATGGTATCGTCAATCGTCATCCTCATTGGTGCTGTAGTCGCATACAGCGTCTACGCTAACGTCACCGGCCTCCGACGCAACATAACCGAGGCCAAGAAGGTCGGGCTGCCATATGTCGTTACTCGTACGTGGGAACAGTTAGCTTCTAATTCCACCCCAGCAGCGCATAGACTGACTGCCCGAGTGAAGCTGCGTCGCCCTTCTCGATAGTATGGCAGCTCACCCATAAGTTCTGGGTCCCTATCATCAAGACCTTTCCTAAATCTTGGTGGGGAAACTGGCTCGAGTCGGTGCCCCCTAGCCCCGTCTGGTCTGTCCATCACACGCATGCTAATCGGAATTGCTCGCCGACAGTCTCCTCATAGCGGACTGGGCCTACCAAAAGCGCCACGCCCCCTTTGCGCGCATCGGCGAGACGTTCATTATCGTATCGCCCTTCCAGATTCTCGTCGTGACAAACAGCGCCGAAGCTATCCACCAGATCACGCAGCAGCGCGAGAAGTTCCCCAAGCTGGTCGAGACATACGCGATCCTGAAACAGTTTGGTGATAATGTCCTGACCACCGAGGGTGCCGTGTGGCGTATGCACCGAAAGGTCACGTCCGCTACATTCAACGAGAAGAACGCCGCTCTCGTCTTCGTCGAATCCATCAACCAGGCGCAGGGCATGGTGCAAAAGTGGTTCGGTCCGGACGGGAAGAGTAGGCAGACGGTCAAGACGCTGGATCACGATACAATGCGCCTCGCGCTCAACATCATCGGCTACGTCGGATTCGGCATGCGCCTGGTCTGGCCGGGGCAGGCGCTGCCTGAAGGCACGGATCCGAAACTTAAGAAGTACAGCTCGCTCGAGGCCGCGCCTGGCCACACGATGAGCTTTGCCGACGCCATTGCCGAGATGTTGGAACACATACTGGTTTTGTTGCTGGTACCACACAAGCTCCTGAAAATGCTGCCCTTCAACTACACAAAGAAGGCGGTAGAGTCGCACGATAACTACGTGCAATACATCGATGAGTTGATGCAGGACAAGATCGAGGACCTGCGGAACGGCGGGGGGGGAAACGCCGGCATGGACCTCATGGGCCAGCTCGTCAAGTCCAAGTACGGCAATGAGGCGACCGACGGCGGTGTCAGCGGGGCCGTGTTCAAGGAATCTAAGATTCCGCAGCTGTCAAAGTCGGAGATCGCGGGCAATGCTTTCATCATGCTCGTCGCGGGCCATGAGACGACGGCGAATGCGATGCACTTTGGGCTAATCGAGATCGCCTGCAATCCGGCTGTGCAAAGGCAGCTGCAGAAGGACATTGACGGCATATTTGGCGACAGCGACCCGAGTACGTGGAATTACGATAGCACGGTAAACCCGATGCTTGCGTCGATGCTGGGGGCTTGCATGAACGAGACGCTTCGGTTGACGCCGGCCGTGGTCGAAATTCCCAAGGAAGTGAACCCCGCAGGCGACGGCATCATCTCGTTAGAAGGCGAGAAGTACGCCCTGCCCAAGGGGGCGCACATCTCCATCGTGGGCGTGGCGGCGCACCACAACCCGCGTAACTGGCCGTCGAAGCCAAGCAAGATCACAGGCGCGGAACACGACCTCGACGACTATGTGCCGGAGCGGTGGTACCGCGCCAGCATCAAGGCGGCGCAGACCGAGGACAAGAATGGCGACACGGAGGACTACGGCGGGTACAAGGGCTCGGATACGAGCGAGAAGATGTTCCGGCCGGTGCGGGGCTCGTACGTCCCCTTCTCGGATGGCCCGCGGTCGTGCCTCGGGCGGCGCATCGCGCAGGTCGAGATCATCGCCGCGCTGGCCGTCATTTTCCAGCGGTACAGCCTCGAGCTGGCAGTGGACGAGTGGTCGTCGGATGCCGAGGTTGATGCCATGAGCCGGGAGGAGAAGCAGAAGCTGTACAAGAAGGCACAGGACAAGTGCCGCGAGACGGTTAAGAAGGCAACGACGATGTTGACGCTAAAGCTGCCGCAAGGGATGAGTGTCCCGGTTCGGATTGTGCCGAGGGGCGAGGAAAGGTTCGTCAACTTTGTTGACTCTGCTTAGACTGTCGTATTGGTCAGTCAGAGTTGGGTTGGCGCGATGCTTCAAGTGTACAAGTAGTATGAAGATGGGGTGAATATATGGGAATACCCAGCCGGAACAGGGTGGTCTGACTATTTTCCTGCACAGAACTGAATATAGAACGGCCACGATAGTGACATTGAACTACATTTGCCTCTGTTGCGGGAGATCCCCAAACAGTTTGCGCGTAGCAGCGACTCACAACGTTTGTTTACATGTCTTGCCACATTCGGACAGCTCGAGTGGGTCTCCGTCGTCGCCCCGTCATCGTTTCTGACCAATGCTTTCCTCTCCTTCGCTGCTCCCGGGGAAGACGGCGCTAAACCCGTCGCGACATTCCCCTCCCCAGACCAGTGCAGTGCATACATGGCATGATTACTACGTAGTCTTATAGCGTACTTGCCGCTGTAGTAATGCTGGTCACAGGTGAGGTAAGTGCCCATCTACCCCCCAGTCCGCTGCGTCACTTCCCCCCAATAACCACGACACCTGGATTGAGTGAGAAAAACATAAACAACGCTTTTCGACCGTCTCACCTTGTCGGCCCCCCTTACAACCTAGCTCCGTCCAGCTTATCTGCCCCTCCCACCATCACCATCGCCATCAACTATCTACCAAACCAAAGCATAATCTGCCCTGTATTTGTTGCGCTTGCTCTACGAGAGACTCCCTTGCATTGAACAGTTAAAAAGTCGCCATCTTTGCGCGATTCGTCTGATACCCATTTCAATCAACTTTGCCCCCGTTTGAACGACCAAACCATGTCGGGCGCAAACTCGTGGTTGACGAGGCAGCGCAAGAGCGACCTCGTCGAGCTCGCCGAGCTGACTGGACTCACTGGGTATGCCCTCTCTTTCGCCTGTCCCTGACTTCTCGGTCCCTGGTGCGAGCTCTGTGCTGTTGCGCAAATCGCATCAGAGCTCAAGCTGTGTAGGCATTTGTGATTGCCCCGATCCTCACCAGGCACGCCCGAATCGCGTCTAGGTGTCGCAGAGAAACACGCGACTCTCCTCAGGCCACGCACGATGCTAACACCGCGCCCCTTTTCAGATACGAGAACCAGAAGAAGACCGACTTGGAAGTCACTCTCGATGAGTACCTCGCTGAGAACGCGACGCAGTTCTCTCACAACCCCAAGCTCGCGCCTTACTACAACAGCCGCGCCAAGGCAGCCGGCTCACCCATCAAGAGAGAGGCGCCTTTGACCGATCTTATTAAGTCGACAACGCGCCGCAGGGCGACGAGAGTTATCGCCGAGTTGCAGCCCGAGCCCGAGCCTGAGTGAGCAGCCTCTTCCCATACCCCCATGCTGCATTGCAGAGTCGCGACTAACACGCGTCACAGAGCCGAATCATCGTCACCAAGCCCGGAGCCTGAGGAGCCTGCCATCTCCACCGCCCTGGCGACGCGTACCCCCGCGCGCAACCTGTCTCTTGCAAGCCGCATCCCCCTGCCCGCGACGCCCGCTGATGTCGCCGAGGCTGTTGACCGCCATACCGTTGCGGTCCGCGAGCGCGTCACGGAGCTCTACGACCAGTCGGGAATCCAGGAGGGCACCCATGCTGTGCGCTCGTCCCTGTCAACGGTCACCTCTGTGCTCTTCACCGTTGCCGCGTTCGAGGCATGGAACCTGAGGGCCGAGGTCTTGCCCCTTCGCTACGCCTTCACTATCCCCGCGATTCCTGCCCTGGGCACCAACTTCTACCCCGTGTACGTGCCTGACGCGTTCCTGTTTGTGACGTCGTCCTTCTGGTCGCCCGTCGCACTGTGGACGCTCACCTCGGTTCTTATTCCCTCCTTCTTCGGCTACTTCTATAACCTGAGCGCCGCGAGCCATCCCCAGCCTCGAGGCCGTAAGTCCTCGACGGTTGAGTACAATGTCGACCCCCTGGTGTTCAGCATTGTCAAGGCCCTTGTCTCTTTCGTTATCTACGGCCAGAAGGCTACTTTTGGCGGATGGATCAACGAGAACTCCATAGACCGCATCAACGGCGCTCTGTACGGCGAGTGGAAGGGCATCCTGACAGGTGCCGCCATCACCGGCCTGGTGAGCCTGTACGACGCCATCTTGAAGAAGTAAGAGCACTCTTCAGATTTTACAATTGTTACTCGGGGACTGGAAAATCCTCCCCAGCGCCGACCGGTGCAGATTCCACGGGAACCTGGACGGCGGAAGCCATTTCCCCGCTAGGATATCCCGAATGCGCACAGGGCCGTTGGCACGTATCTTTTTCTTATTTTTCCCCCCTTCACTCGAGGGCGGCGTTCTGGGCGTTGTATTGGCGTCACGCGTGGCTCTTCGACTGATACCTCTTCAGTTCGTGGTTGGGAGTTTGTGATGGTACCACCCCTAGGGCTTGAGGACAGACCTTTCAGCCGGACTGGTTGTCTTTCCGGCCGTTTTGGTGACGGGTATTGTCTATGCAACGTAGGGCAGTCCTTTTTTCTGAGTGGTTCCGTACTTGGTGCTTGTTTCATGGGTTCGGTTCGTTCTATTGTTTTCCTATCAGTGGTGCAGTTTTGTTATAGGATTATTGGTATTGGTGCGGGCGGGCGGGTGGATGCCAGAGTTTCATTGCAGCGGGATCCCTTGGGGCATGGGGGTGTGTTTCTCGATCTGATTTTGAGAAGGAGGCCGCCAACTGAGTCTGATGAGGGTCGATTCCTCTAGAAGTCATGACAGATGACAATCAGAATTACATTGTGTTTGAAGCTCTTCTCCAGATTTGGCCCAATTTGAAAGTGAAAACACTCGGTGTGGTGGGAGCTTTTAACTCTTCTCGAGTTGCATATGTGCACGAATGGTGGCCGCAGACAACCTGTCGAAGCCGGGAACTAGGTCGGCCAACACCGGAACGTAGCTGAGCGCTATCGTTGCAGAGAGATGCTCATGGGTCTCGACATGTTGGATTACAAGCCGACCAAGTACTATGTGCGATTCGTCCCCCATTCTGTCCAGACCGCCATAAACCAGGTTCGGCCTCGAGCTACGTGAGGTCCTCCCCCTACTAAGCCGCTCTGGTGGTCAGGTGCGACTTTGTAGGCAGGTAGGTCCCAGGACAGAGGTGTTGGAGGAGGCGAAGACACTGTGCCTCCCCCCCTTCCTCCCTCCACTTTTTGGCGTCCGGTGCGCACGTATTACCCCATGAATACACACGGAGAAGTGCGGGACAGAGAGCTTGGTGTTTTTGACGATCGCGGGGCATCTTAGGGCAGGGCATAGTGGTCTTAACCATATGGTTTGATGCATGACAGCCGCAACAGCAACAGCAGCCGTAATAACGCAGTGTGGTGCAACAGCTGCGAGTATCCTGCCGGCTGGATACTGCAGGCTTGCGATTTTCTTTTATAGGGAGGGAAGCCTGGTGGCCTGATATGCGCGATGTGGGCTGGGAGGGGGGGGGGTGCAGAGCCCATGTCCGTTTGCGTACAACCTCCCCCCACCCCTTCCTCTGGTTTCCTAGCTTTCGCGATCGGTCCAGGGCCCTGGAGAAGACTGTTGGAGACTCGTCTCACATTAGGTGCCGATTGCCTTGACTACATTGGTATCTCAGTCTCCGTTATACCACGCCTCGGCAGAAGGATGACGATGACCTACTTGCCCCTCATACTCGACTCGCGCATCTCGGCGTCTGCCCGAATGGGTCCCCGGCACCTAGGACAGGAGGTAGTTCCTCGGGTTCCACAACCTACCCGCATCCCGCATTACGTCATTGCCGTGGACTTCAAACCGATTGCTTCGGAGTAGTGTGGAGCAGAGATGCAGAAACTGCAGTGTTGTTAGGGCAGAAATAGGCAAATTCATAACGATAATGATATGAATTTTGATGATTGTTTGATCTGGCTATAGTATAAAACGCAGTTGGCAATCAACGTTGTAGCTTCCGAGGATATGCCGTTCTCTATTCTGTCCATGCTCGCCTTCGGCTGCCGCTTTGGAAATCCGTAATCTCATGTTCTTCCGCCTCCAGCTCTTGGCGCCTCCTCAAGGTATCGTGTGTCCAGTTAAACGCCGTTCCGTGTAATGATACATATCTCCCTTCCTTATCCCTCTTTTCCTTTCCCCATCCCCTACCGCACGATCGAATCAGCCTCTATGCACCGTCGTGTCGTATCGTACAAGATGTCAGGCGCAGTGCTCAGAGCAAGCAAGAACGCGGATCAAGTCAGATCGCTCTACGCCTGGCTGCTCAGCTTGACGGGCTTAGCGGCGTGTCGACCGCAGCGGTTCGGGTGCTTCGGGGACTTGATGTAACAAGTTTCGGCAGCTTCCTCAGCAGCCCTAGGGCCGTACTTCTGGGTGATGGAGCAGTACTCAAGTGTGGACCCCATCCACTCGCGGAGGTGACGGTGAAGCTCGCAGCGAGAGATTCCGCACTTGCGACAGTAGACCTGGCCCTTGACGCGCATGCGCTCGAGGGCGCTGTCCTGGAAAGCTTCGGCGGGAGGAGCAGCGGACCCGTTGTAGATGAGGGGACCAGCGAACCGCCAGGCCCACTCGAGGTCATTGGGTCCGTTGCGACGGGACGACAACGGCACAGAGCCGTGCATGCGGCGGTGGATGTTGTAGAAATGGCTGTTTGTCAAACCGAAGCAGGTGCTGTCAATGGGGTCGAGGTGGTCGAAAATGGCGTAGTGCAGCTCGGCAGGAAGGTCGAAAATGTCCATGCGGGCCGATGGTCTGTGAATGCGAGCCGGCGGCTCATAATCCGTGACAGAGTAAGAACGGCGCGGGGGCGGGAGAGGCGGCCGGCGGGCCACAGGGGCATGAGGAAGTTGCTTCATCTCTCCGATTGCAAGTTCCGACTGCTCAGGCACAGAAGCGATTGCGTGTCTCTCGATAGCTTCGTGCTGAGTCGTGGGGGGAGGAGCGGGATAAGGGGCATTGGCACTGGGGGCCGGGCTACCCTGGGCGGAAGTCACGACGGGAGAGTCGGTGATGGACCAGCCTCGACGGGGAGTGCGCCACCCTGCACGCTTCTTGCTCAACTCGTCAATCATGACCTGGCGTTCCTCGCGAGTCATCATCTTGTTCTCCTGACGGGACGCGAGATTGGTCGCGAGGAGCAGACGAGCAACCGAGGCTACGTGATCGGCCGAGTCCTGGGACTGCTGAACGTGCCCGTTCTGAGGGAGACCCGAAGAGAGTAGTTCAACCATCGTGAAAGGGGTATGGGAGGGGTTTCCTGTGCAAGGGCGTTTGGGATTTTGTCGGGTCGTTGAAGGCCCGAGCTGGATTATTATCCGACGATGCGTGTGTGAATGTGAGCAGGGTTGGAAGTCAACCAACCACGTAGGGAACACAAGACGGCGTCGTGAGATGAGGAAGGGAGAGCTCGTTCCCTAGGCAGATGGAATCACCAGCGTGTGCGGCTGGTGAGGAGGACGATGCTGCTGAGGTGGATGGTAGTTGTTTCGTTGTACAGAGAAGGGAACGACGTTCTCGGGATCCCGGCTTTGCGGATCACGATATATCGTTTCAAGTGACGTCGATGGTGCGGGTGGGAGGACCAATGTCGGATACTAGTCTTCGTCTTTGATGGTGGGCAAGCCTCAATAACAAGTTCATGAGGCGAGGAACAGCTCTTGGAGATGGGGCCAGGAGAGGTTCGTTGGGATATATATGGCTACGTCAAAAAGGCGAAGAAAACAAACCAAAGTGATGAGGGTCGATGAGGTAGTCTTAAGTGTCGATCGGGTGTCTTCTTTGCGAAGGGGGAGAAGAGATGGGAAGGTAGGGAATAAGAAAAATGGGTGTGTGTTGGTGGTGTGATGGAGCCAGCGGGAAAGGCGATGTTCGGCCGTCTCCATCAAGTCACAGGTACAAGTTTTTGAGATGAGGTGGCAGGCCAGATTAGCGGTCTTACCACACGTAAAGGGGGGGGTGCTGCATGCCCACTGGGCCAGAAAGCCATGCCTACTACGGTACCTACGCCATAGTTGCCAAGTTGGGCCGTCTGCGGTTATTCCTTCCAGCTGCCTCCCCTGATAAGCTAACGGGAAATGGGGCGAGGCACGAACGCTAGGTATCCCCGGCCTGAAGCGGCACTGCCTACATAGAGGCGACTTTGGTGCATATGTAGGAAGGGTTACACCTTGTACAGTGCGTGTCATTGGGTTTGGTCCCTTGGTCTCTTGATTTTTTTCTTTTTTAATGTTCTCGTTTCTCTCCCGTTGGTTGCTCCTTGCCCCCTCAACCTATTGGCGCCGAGGGACCATGGCAGGAACAAATATGGAGAATTCGGTCATTTCGCATCCTCGCGCGAATCATGAAGCATGAACATCGCCAATAGCACATCCGGAGCAATCGCAAGCAACAGGGGAACACTGGAGAAAGATGGAGATTGCTGACAATTCCTTGCCTCTTCTGTAACCCGCCTGGACGGAAGAAGGGGATCTAGGGACCAAGTTCTCGACTATCAACGAACTTCCCCTCGGTCCCCTTCGTCCCTCCACTACCTACAACGTAGTGTACTTCTGTACCTGAGCCCAGTTGCTTTCGTCATGGGGCAAAGGGTAGCGTGGTACTAGGTGCAGCGAACAGGGGGCCAGGATGAGCCACTGACAGAGGAGGAGCCCGAGCGGAGATTCTGCAATCGTCAGATTCCGAAGACACAACGCTCGGCGGCTCGGAAAAGCGAGCGAGACTCACCTCACCACCCCTATGCCACTCCATTCCATACAATATCATCCTTCGCGGGGAAGTCGTCGAAACCCGAAGCACAAACACCCAGCGATAAAAAAGCCACGAAACCTCTCCTGGCCAATCGAACCTTTTGCTCCGGATCATGACCCCTCCTATCCACCCCTCGTCCCCCCTCCCCCGCTTGGCGCTGTATGTCTCTGGTTTCTTTTTGATTGACCAACCAGCGGCCTCGTGTATGAAGCGCAACATGAATACGGGGAGCTGTTGGGCCGCATTGATAGGCTGTGTGCCATTCCTCATGCTTCTGGAACTGGCCAGACATTGACCATATGCAACGTCACGCATTGAAGCACACGAGCAACACCAACCAGCAATGCCAACTATCTACTACACACAACTCGTTTGTCGACGGGCAGCACTCCGCATGTCCGATCCACCAGGACCCCAGCTACAACGCAGCATGGAAGCCGTTAACCTCGGACTGAACTGGCTTCACTCTTCGTCCTATACCTTCTCTGTAACTTGGCAGCGGCAGGCAGTATACTTCCTTCGCACATCTGCATGGCAACCGCTGTAACACACCGGCAGGCCTCGTCGGGAGAAGTGGTCCCATGACCGCGGAGAACCGGCCCATCGAGGCTGTCGTCGTTGCACGGCAGTCATGGTGATCGGATCAGGATCATGAACACCACACGCTTGCTGCTTACTCTGGCCTGCTTCCTAACCCGCCTTCCTGCAGCGGCCTTTTTGGCACCGAGAGCTTCAGTTCTGGCGGCAGTGAACGGGAAGCCAGACCGCCACCAGAAGCAGGGCAGCGATCGACGTCGTCATGGTGCTGTTCCTCCCGCAGATGCCACTCAAGATTTTGTGGGGCAGCGATCTAAGCTAAAGGGCGGTGGCGAACCTCTTCTCGACAATTCGAGCGAAATCTTGCAGCCTCTTTGGGTTACCGGTATTTTCACGGCCCCCTTCTGGTACTTTTACGGCTCTCTAAACCTATCTTAGCTAGTCCTTTGCCTATCCTGGTTAGTTTCCTTGGAAATACCATGTTCCATTCCATCACGCGAATATAACTAACTAACCTAGACCCTAACCATCCTAACCTCCGACCCTACGCATCTTTAAAAGCATATATAAAAGATGCGTAGGGTTAGTGGCTAGGGTCTGGGTTAGTTGGTTATGTTTGCGTGATGGAATGTCTTATTTGGGTGTGTTGTGGTGGTAGTGGCCAGAGGGCCGTGAGAATACCCGTAACCGCCTCTTCGGACGTCTCGCTGATTGTGCCTGTATCTCGTTCATAGGATAGTCTGCTACCCTGCCCCAATAGCCGCCGGGGAAACTCCAAATATCAGGAGGGGGTTTCTGGATCAGGTAGGTATCCCGAGGCAAATCAGATCACCCCTCTAAAAAGTACCTTGCTCTACGCTAACTACTACGTACAAGTGTAGCATCATGATACTCCAAGGCGAGCGAGCCTTGGGGGGGGGGGGGGGGGGGGGGGGGAGGGGACGTGTGAGTAGAACCGCGCAAGGACTATTCGTACTAGGCGACCAAAGAGTCGAAACACCACCCGGTTCGCCGACCTGATCTGGCGTATCCCTCGTGGCACATCCCACGTACCATCCCGCTGTCTCGGCGCACGCCGGCTGAACGATATGGAGTGATGTGATGTGTGTGTAAGACGCGTACTCTCATGGTGCCTTTCTCGTCTTGCTCTTACGAGGATTCCGGCAAAGCTCGGCATCATCCTACCCGCAGCGATGCCGCACTCTGACACGAAAGTCGATGAGACACGGAACCCCTCCTAACGGAGAGGCCCGTCACAATCCTGATGGGAAGGGAGCCAGCCATATGAACTGATTTGAAAGATCACGGCATTATAAACTTTGTCCTTTCTCCGAACAACGTTCACACAGTACACTCCCGAAAGTTTCCCACGTCGGCAAATCCTTCCCCCACCCCCCAATTTCCAGTGAGCCGCCGACACGTCGTCCTCGCCGAAGAGGGTGTATAACCCTGCATTCTATGAGGCCCGTCCGTCCCAGTGTTGGTATTGTGTCCCTTTCAGATGCCCATCTCACCGAATCTAGCGTAGGGGTCCGATTGCGAAGACTTCTCCTCCCCCTCTCCTTTTTTTCCCCCTTTCTTTTTCGCACGGCATCCCTTGCATCCATACATCCACCCATTTTTATTGTTTGACTCGTGATGTTCCGTGGCTTGGCTTTTCGTGTGACCAATGGGTTCTCCCACCAGCCTCGTCCGCTCACCGCGCCCGTAACGCTGGTCTTCCCGCCGCTTGGCACGTCAACGAGGGCTCTCTGGTCGGCAAACGTCAAGCCCACCAGATGCAAAGTTTATCGCACAAGAGATCATCAGGGTCCACCGCCTTTCTGGGATGGCCGGGGACTGCCGCGAATGTCGCCACCGTTTATGTCATCAAATGGGGTGAGCGGGCGGGCAGGACGGCCCTGGTGGATGGCAAAAGAAGAGAAGAAGAAAAAAGAAAAAAACAAAAAAAAGTTGTTTGTGGGGTCCGAGTGCTGGGCTTGATGTCGGTCTGCAGCGGAAAAGCCGCTTTTGATGCGGGGTGACGCAGGATTCAATTTGGTGCTGGAAGCTTTTACATCATCCGACGCAAACGCAATGTGCAAATGAACCATCCCTAAGCCTCCGGCGTACGAACACAAGCCGGCAAACAGCCGACTACCTAACACTCTTTGCCCCGGGTTAGCTGAAGACGCCTGACGATGGCATCTCCCTCGTCGCAGGGATACCGTCTCGAGCGGCGCAATGCGTTCTGGGTCACCCGACAACAGCTCGGCAACAAATAAACAATTCCTGCGGAAAATAAGATTGTTTGGACGACCTCGTGATGTGGCATTATGGTTATCAAAACTCCGGCTATTTTGGTTTGAAGACAATGCAACTCAAACGCAAACAATAGACCTTAACACAACCATTTCGCCGTATGTACCTGGCCCCAAAAAATCACGATAGAGACAAGCCCCCCACCTTTTTTGGTTTTAGAATGTTGCCGTCTCCCGGGTGCACACCTTCCCCCCTGTATCATGACTGCAAGGTCTGCTCCATTATACCCATTGCTGGGCGTTCCTCACGCCAACCCATTTGCCGGAGTGGTTTGGTACTTCGGCATGGGATGGGCGGTTGATAGCCGGCCGTTGGAGGAGAGCTGAGGAAGGCAAACTGCATACCTCCGCCTGCTAGTTTGATGGCCTCCTCGTTCGGTCTGTGACGAGTGTAGCTCGCTTCACCGGCTCTTAGATGGCGACCCAGATGAGCATGATGACAACGTCCATGCCCTTGCCCTCGCCGCCGTCGTACTTGTAGGACCACATGCCGTCCTTCTTCTCGTCCCAGTAGGCGCCGGTGGCGGAGTGCATGCCACGGCGGCCGACGTGGGGCTTGCCGTCGGTTGCAGTCGCGGGGTCAGCACTCGTGGAGACGGAGGGCTCCTCCGTAGAGGCGGCGGTTCCCTTGGACTTGTTGAGGGAAGAGGTAGGGACCAGGTGCTGGACGATGGTTGAGTTGCAAGCGAACTTGTAGGCGGGGGCAGAGCCGCCCTGGGGTGTGGACTCAGAGATGACCGCCTTCAGGACAGAGGACTGTTTATGCGCCGCGGTGATTAGCTCTGGGGACTTGTGTGGCCGGTGTGACAAAGGGACGTACGATGATCTGCGAGTTCCATCCCTCGGTCTTAGCATGGTCGTAGAACTCGGCGGAACCGATTGCTGATTGGCAAGCCTGGTGGAGGGCGCCGAGTTAGTCATCGTTGCCTACTGAGGGTGTTGCTGCGACCTCGTTCGCAGAGTCGCATGGTCAGGAGCTTACGTCGGTAGCAATCTGCTTGAGGCGGTTGAAGGCCACGGGCTAGAAAAAAAGAGTCAACAAATGCACGACTGAGATGAGGCAATCTGAGGGGGAGGTGCGTGACATACGGGAGTGGCCGTCGTGGGAGCAGCGGCGGACATTGTGATTGTTGGATGTTTTTGTTTAGGGGGAAGGGGGTAAACAGTCAGATGTTCGCGAAACCGAAATGCCGATGACTAAAGCTTGCTTTTCGTAAATTCGTAGATATCGTGTGAACAGAGAACAGCGTGTAGGCGTGAAATGTGCTTGCGGGATGATCTTGGTGGTATGTCTACTGGAGAGAACTGAACGCGGTGTTGATAGTTTGGGACAAGACGAAGCTCTGTTGTGATGCCAGCCCGATTCGGCCGACTGGCGTCGCACCACGGGCCGTGCTCCAGCCAGGTGCGCGGGGCAACGGGATCACGTGCCCTAGCAACACAGTCTTCAGCAATAGCCAGCCACAGTTTAGTCATCTTACTTTCGCCTCTTGTGGGACATGAGTCTTCCAAAATGTGGCCTATCCAATCATACTTAGGCCCAATGGCACGTGTAGTTTTTGGGCGCTGCTCGCAAGGAAGCGGCATGGATTTCGAGTTGTGGCTGGTGGAGAGAGCTCCAGCCTTGCAGGTTTAGCGTCACAAGTCTCTCTGATGAGCTTTTCGCTGCAGGCTTTTGAGGGGCGGCCGCATCGGCAGCGTACCATACAAGCTTTGAAGCGGGTTCTCTCGGTTACAGTCTTTGAGCCTTTCCTTCACGTTCTTTTCTCTCTGCCCGCATTCTTTTCAGCCATCCGTCTTGATAACCTCTCTGATTTTTATGTAAACAGTTTCAGACGGCAGCTCTGGAACGAGAAGCTATTGATTTCGTCAACTCGTCATCTGTCCCCCTTTTGCAATAACCGTTGCGGTCCAACGCCCTGCCCTACACGAGTCCGAGCTTTGGAACGACGCTAGACACCCTCCCCGATCCATCGTTAACCTCGACTGACTTGGTTTCTACTGGCTTGCTGTTGGAATCCCGCGATCAGATTTTACCTTCAGAACCAACAGCCTAACCGCCGTGTTTACCAATTTCACCGCCGAGCCTTGTTTTGGCTGCTATTGACGCAATTGCTGCAAAGAACAACAAGGACTTACGCTGCGACAGCCCCGACGCGAGAGAAAAAGAGCCTCGTTCGCCGACAACCGAAGCACGATACCAATATACACAACGGTCCAGAAGAAAGCAAACAACTCGCCAAAATGTCTAGCCAGCCTCTCCTCCAGACCGCTCCCGGTATGATCACCTCTCGATTGACTCCTCACTTGCCATACAAGTCCTCACACTCCTCCCACGCTCCCTCCCCCAACTAGGAGTGCGCAGACGCTAACTCTACCCGAACCCGACAGGCAAGCGCATCGCCCTGCCCACGCGCGTCGAGCCCAAGGTCTTCTTCGCCAACGAGCGTACCTTCCTTTCGTGGCTCAACTTCACCGTGATCCTCGGCGCCCTCGCCATCGGCATGCTCAACTTTGGTGACCGCCCGGCGTTCATTAGCGCCTTCCTCTTCACAGGCGTCGCCATGCTCACCATGATATACGCCCTCGCGACGTATCACTGGCGTGCCAAATCCATTCGCGTCCGCGGCCAGGCCGGCTTCGACGACCGCTTCGGCCCCACCTTCCTGGCCATCATCCTGCTGCTGGCCGTTGTCGTCAACTTCGTTCTGCGCATAACATACTCGTCCAAGGAGGGCCAGCACTAAAGCACCCCCTGCGCTATGGATACAGGCCGGTCTGAGTGACGACGAGGAGGGCGAGAGCGATGGCGGATCGGGAACAGCCGTCCACGCACTCTACTCGTGTGAGAGGATGCTGCCGGAGCCTCACCGCTTATATGTATAAGCTGAAAAGGGAGGGGGACGTTGGAAAAGCGACACTTGTATGGCAACGAACTGGCGTGTCTGATTTGGAGTTACCCATGTTTTGTACGAGCGGATGTGACCAAGGAGGAGGATGTTGGGTTGTGTGTACCAGGACGGTTAGGTAAAACGCATGCATTGTGTTCATGGAGTATTCGGCCCGGGAGGATTGCATTAGTCCGAACACCAAGGCTGCCTAATTAATTGTACAGCGAAAATCGATTCTTCTTATGGCATATGGGCTATTTCCCGTCCGCCCTGATGGGTATCAACCTTGAAAACCTTTTCTTGTCCCAAACGCCTCTGACGCAGCCTATTCAAAGTACCACCCAAGTACGGGAACCAAGATGACCTCGAAGCCGAGCGTTCCCCTCGCCTCGTTCTGCCAGACCCTCTCTCGGACTTGCCTGCAGCCTTCTCGCCCAGTGCTGGACCTCCGCTGTCCCTTACTTTGTGGCGGTGCTCGTCGAGGCACCCTGGGGTTCGTTCGTCTGGGTGGTGACGCCGTCCTTGGCCCTCAACTCGGGAATGGGCGCGAGCGATAGGAAGACGCTCAGTGACTTGGCCGCGCGGCTGGCCGGCGGAGGCAGGACCGCCCTCTCGAACCGGCTCTCCATGACCTCGAAATCGTCGTCAGAGCCCGCCGCGGCCTTGGCGAGGCCGCCGCCGCCCAGCATGGTCTCCTCCACGACGTCGGCTTTCGGCGGGAGCTCGCACATCTGGTTGTACTGGTACCACCGCCCGCCCTCGTCCTCCGCGACGATGCGCTTCACGAGCTCCGCGATGGTGATCATCTTGACGACGTCGCCCGGCCGCGCGTAGAGGAGCACGGCGCGCTTCCTCGGGTCGCCGTCGTCCTTGCGCAGATGCAGCAGGAGCCAGTTCACCCGCTTCTGGATCTTGGTCGAGGAGATTGTGAAGGCGGGAAGGACGTCGTACTTGGGCCTCAGGCTGGCGAGGAGGGCGTCGTGCGCGGGCAGCGGTGTCGTGGGGCCGCTCGAGGCCGCTCTGCTCTTCTTCGGTCCGGCGGACTCGGCTATCGTCGAGGGTTTTCTCTTCTTGTTGCCCTGGGGCTGCTTGATTGGGGGGGGTTCAGCCATGGCCTGCGTTGCGGAGGCCTAGAACCATGGCAGGGCCGTTGCTGCTCGATGGCTTCGAGGGGGGGGGGGGGGGGGGGGCGGTTGCAATGTGACGCGCGGGGCTGAATTGGAGCCGAGGTGGGAGATGCAAGGCTGGCAAAGGGTTTCTGTCGATGAAAATGTGCGGCGTCAATCTGGATCTCTCCGAAATCTTATCGGATAAGGAGCTCGGACCACCACCGGATCTTCGGAGCCGTCAATTGGGCCATCCACGGAGCGCGGATTTGACCATCTTGATCTCGCATCGATCATGGATTCGGATGATTCCTCCAATATCTATTGCTACTTGATACTTACATAAGTGGTATCGGAGCTTTCACCGATGGGGAGGCCATAGAGTACGTTACGATTAGGACTTCACCGTATGCCAACCCGTTCTGACCTTGTCCCGGAGATATCGACATCATTTCGACATCCAGCTCGTGACCAGCCACGTGATACTTAAAGCGGCAAGGCTTTTACTTGGGGGGGTGAATCTGGCTTCGGGGAATCGGACGCGAGCCAGCTTGCTCGCAACGCCGGACCTGGGCTAGCTTCCCGCGGAAGCTGAAAAGGGCCTACCAGACAGGCCGCCCATGCATCGAAGGGTCGTGGCTTTTTGACTTCACATGTTTAGCGTGGCCTGTGCGGCGGTCCGTCCGACTCATACTCCGCTTCAGAAACGCCATTTTGTCTGAATCGCGCTACGTTTGGTGCACGCACTGCTGTTTGCAGATTCACACTCGACATTAATAAGGTCGAAACGGACCAGTCCTCCACGATGTATGTTCGTTCGCTCCCTGCAAGCGGGCAGAGGGCGAAAAGGTTGTCTTGGCGGGAAAGGGGAGCCAAAAAGGGCTGGTCGAGTATCCGTAAAGGTAGGTACTGAATCATGGTCAAAGTTGACATACCGTCATACCGCAGCTTCAGAGAGGGCCCGCGGTGGAGTTCCCCAAGATTTCCCATGTTAGGTAGTTGGGCTACAAGACCTGTGCACTAGGTACACTAGTCGCAGCAACAGTCCGTTTCGCCCAGAAAGTGCCATCCGGCTCCCGGGATGAGGCCCGGAGGAACGTCGACAGTGCCGCTCAGGGCAGGGATTGGCAGCTTGGCTGGGTACTTGTGTCGCCGGATGATCTTGGCTGCTGAGTCGGGGGTAAAGGGACATTTTGGTATTGGTCCGCTAAGCTTCACAAGCACGGCAGCGGCGGGAAGGGGGATTGGTTTTCATCCTAGACTCGAGCGCAAAACTGCAGATGGGAAATCGACAAGCTATGGCACCTTGCTAGCAGCGCTCAGGTCTGAAACCAGAAAGGACCGAAGGCTGGCCTGGTATGTCGAGGTGGCGTGGCGCATCTCAAGCGGCCCATCCATGTCCTTCTGCATGTCGCACCCACCCCATCCTCGTGCGAGGCCGGCCTGCCTTGGAGGCCGCACAGCTCTTGAAGGCGCTCAAGTCGAGGCCTCGGACCATCTCTCTCTCTCTCTCCGCAAACGAATAGGAAATGTTACCGTATACACTGGCTTAATCCGCCCACATCCACTTTGAAGGCTAACCGTACGGGGTATAGCGGCCTTCTATCAGCTAAGCCTATCATAGTAGGCGGTCAATCAACCCACCCACCCATCTACCTACCCAGTCAGCCAAGCTTGCACCCAAACTTCCTGCTGACGTACAGGGTGGTAGGGGTAAGTTTTATCGTCCTAGTGATGTAAATCCCCACACAGTATTTGAGCATCCTACCTATCTCTATAGAAATCTATGGTGGTGGTGATAGGTAATGCGTAATAGCTAGATGGCTTTGACAGCTGGCGGGCTGGAGGGGGGGTACCTGACAGGGGCGATAAAACTTCGGCCGGATATCATAGTACGTGACTGCCCCTACTTTTGCCAGTATCTGATCTAGGTTTCTGCCAGTAAGCTAGACCGATTACAGCGTCCGCTATACCCATTACAGTTAGCCTATAAAGTGGATGTGGGCGGATTAAATCAGTGTATACGGTAGTTGTGGTGCACCTAGGGTTCAGCGGCGATGTGAAGAGGAGGGGGCGGAAGCCGAGAAGGAAACAGTACAGAAGCAGAAGAGAGCATAATGGCACATGGCCTTTCCCTGCTTCTCAGGGTCCAGCTTCCATGTCATCCCAGGTCTCGTCGCGCGCTCGTCGGCGTCGGGTTTGGGGCTAGGGGCGGCTTAGTCCTCCGCCATGGTTACCTAGTGGTACTCAGCAGCCATTGAGATGCCGGCGAAGTCAGGTCTTTCGTGGAGAATGGGCGCGGTTTTCGAGCTCGGCCGGAATGACGAGTCATCGATCCAGACGGATGAGATGGGAGGGGGGGAGACTACGGCAAGGTACGTGGAGAAGACATAGGAAATTTGTTGTTGCATGTTTTGCATTTGTCGCCAGAAGCGTGGCCTCCCAGTACTGTTGTTGGTCGATAAACATTGAGAGATGGCTGGAGCAGTCGGGAATCTCCAGGAAGCATTATCATGCGTGTGTTGCCCAGACGGCGATGGCAGGAACATTAATCATGCACGCGCAACCCAGACAGGAGGGGAAGAGGTATGGAAGGCATCCGAAGGCCGGCAGTAGGCTGGAGATGCCAGCGTTCCATACCCGTTCCCCGACTCAGCGGAACGGGGGGGGGACATTCTTTCCCACGCCTCTAGGTACCTTTTAGCTCGCGCAGCACACGCCCCAAGGTACCTACTGAGGCAGCGCGGTCAAGTATCTACCTACCTACCTACCTACCTACTACTAGGTAGGTACCTGTTTATCTAAGCAGCTTCCCCGACTTCTGCTCCTGCACACTAAAGACAGGCTTTGGTTGTCATCGGCAGGCTGGTCTAAAGAACAAGATACATTAAATGAAGCTCTTGCAAACAAAAACACATAACAGTCAGTCATGTTAGAGCGGCGCACACATGTCGTTGGTTCGTTGCAGGACAGAAAATGGGGGGGGGGTTCTTCTTTTTGTCTCTCTTTTCTTTTTGTAACGAAATCTCCTGTTTCCCCTCTCGATTTCCCGTTCCCTTTCCTTCTCGTTCATCATCCTCGCGCTCTCCTCCTATCTAGACTTCCTCGATCACCACGAAATAGGGGGGGATCCCTTTTATTTTTATTTTATTTTTCAAACAAGCATCCACAATAGCTGCTGTGCCGCTACGTTGATCCCCGGGCGCACCCACTGCAAGGGCTCTATACTGCATATCAGTCCCGTTCTATTTTCGGGCCGGCGATTAAACACACAGTGCAGCGTAGCTTGCAAAGGCCCCCCGTCCGTCTTATCGTCCCATCCGATACGACAGGATACGGTAAAACCGTATGCGCAAGACTCTGAATTCTGGAAGACTGAGCCAAGCGCGGACACACAAACAGACGAGGGAAGCAGTTGGAAGGAACAGGCGTCCCATCTCCAGATAGAGTTCCCTCTCACAGTGGATAACGCAACTCAGTGCACCGCAGCGCACCGCCGTACCCGCACGCACACAGTCCTCGAGCACCCGTCTCACGCAGGGCAAGTTCAGTGCGCTGCCGCTGTCTGCCAGTCTGCCAGTCTACCTTGCACGATTGCACTATAACCAACCGACCAGCCAACTATACTATCTAGTGCTACTTTATCACAGACTCAAAAACTCGTCAGTGTGCCGACCCACGGGTGCTCCAGTCCTTCTCAGTCCTCATTCCTGACTCTCTCAGCGTCCCCTTTTTGGCGACCGACCCGTCCGGGTGTCATTGATGGTTGGCCGTGTTGTTACACTGGCATAGCTACGGAGTACCTACATTACCTATCTACACTATCTAGCACGCAGTCGTTGTGCTATGTAGCAGTGGTGGTGGTCCCATCATATTATCCCTGCACACACCTCCCTTCCTTGGGTTCGCTCGCCTTCTTTTGTTCCCTGGCAGCCGGTGTTTGTCGCCTGGCTCAGACCAAACAGGCGCATTACCTCCTTCTTCCGTCTCAACAGCCAATCAACGGCGCGTTTCGGTGCACAATTCTTACCCACACCACACCACACCCCCACACCCTACGCCCCCCTCCTCCCCGTTTTATGCTCCCCCCTTGCATCCAATACTTGTCCACGCAATATTGCCTTTTCCTCTTTTCCTAGTCAGTCGAGTCGGTCCCTCTCACATCATCGCCAGCCAGCAGCCAAAGTCCCATCCATCCATCCAAGGCAGCTAGCTCGCTCTCCTATTTGCTCTCTCTGCCTGCCTCTGCCTGCGCCGCCCGCCAACGCGTGTACCGCATCTGCTGCACCATCAACAATAACAACAATCAGCAACGAGAAACAGGACCACTCGCACCAGCCGAAACCTGGCACACCAGCCGCTACATCACCCAGTCCCCAGTCTCAGTCCACACACCCCCCGGTCTTGATCCTACTGGGTAGGTACCTATCTTCCCTCTCCCCGTCTCTGGCCGGCTGCTTTTGCTAGCTACCTATCCGTATACCTACCTACCTTTCATCGACTCTGGGCCCTTCCCCCCCTTCCAAGCATCTTAGGCCCACCCGCACTCGCAATCACCACCCCAGAGGCCAATTTCCCACCAAAGTCGCGCACGTCGCCCGCCAGGAGGAAGCTTCCTGACAAGCTTGCCGGTTTATTCTCACTCTTCCGCTGTCATTCCCATCTCCAACAATTCATCCTCCTCACAAACAACCTCCTCCTCTCCCCCAAAACCGCACCAAAATCACTCGTCCATACCACTTGGACGGCAATCCACGGCGTCGCTCCATCTCACTTTGCTCGCCCAACTCTCTTCGCGCATTCATTTTCCCTCCCTTTTCTTGCGCCAAATCGAGGCTTTTGTTAGTTCTCGGTTCTTCTGCGTCGTTGTCTTCGCTGCGCGACCCGGCGCAATCCTATCCCTTTGGTCGCCCATTCGCCTCCCGAGGCCTCTCTCTCTCTCTCTCTCTGCCTCTCTCGTCTCGCTCTCACTCTTGCTGCTTTTCGGCCTTTGCTGAGGTGGACGCCCGGCCACATCATCGTGCGCACTCGCCCCCTGCCACCCCTTTTCCGGCCCCGTCGCTCGCCCCAATACCAACCAACGCACTGCTCACCGCACACCCGTCGCCTCGTACTCGTCCACCCACGCCCGCAGCAGCCACACCGCAGGCTCACACCCGACCCGACCTGTCTGGGGAATCCACTCTTCACGCCAGCCCCCCCCCCCCCGTCGCACCTCTCGTCGGCGCATCCCCATTGCACTTCAGCGTTTCCGCCTCCTCCCGGCTCCCACGTATTACGTCGCAGCAGCTGCCTGGCCCGTCCGCCACTGCCACACCTTGCAACCTCGTCAGCCTGTCTGTCTGTCGTTGCCTTGCGCCTCTTCTCGCCACGCCGCCTCACCCCCAACGTCGCATAAAGTCGCCAGGCCGCCCGTCTCGCGACTTTTCATCTCATCGCCTCCACTCACATCGCGCTCATGTTCCGATTCTGGGGCTCAGAGCGGGGAAGCGAAACGACACTCAGTCTCACCCAACCAATGCCGTCATTCGCCCAAAAGCACCAGTTCATTCTGCCGCATCCACCTGCACCGACGACGTCGCTGTCATCTCAGGCTAGTCCTCAAAAAAGGCGTCTGTCCAGCGTCGACGGTTCATCCTCGCCAGATGTTGCGCTTACCGCCGCCGGCGAACAGCCTCTGAAGCGCGCTAGGCTGGAGAGCAGTAGTCCCTCCGTTGCTGACGCGCCTTCTTGTGATGCCGCTGCACCGCCGCCCGTACCTGCGCCTGCTGCTTCTCCAGCAGTCACTAACGACATTGAAGACGCCCGTGACGCGATTCAGTACCAGTTTGGTCTGGAGATCTTGCTCAAGCATAACGAGCTGAGGCTAATCAACCAAGAGCTGGCCAAATGCCAGGTCGCTCTTGAGCAACTGCGCCGCTGCCATCTGATTCCGTATCCCACCGCTTTCCCCACCCCGGCGCAGATGCTGGATATCAGCAATGGTAAAGGTCCTGTTCTGCAGACCCGTCCGGGAGAGCCTGTCCCCCAATGGGCCCCGCCCTTTGGAGTTGTCGACGGTCCTTACGCCCGACACTATGCCAAGTGGCTCATTCCCGATCCCAAGTTTGACGGCATGCAGCCGGAGTGGTACCCCGTACACGAGACTGCCCGTAGCAGAGGCTCGGCGGAGGGACGGACGACGAGAAACAGCATGTCTGACCTCGCCAGCACAAATAAGAACCGCTCGGCGCGGGGTCTGGGCGGCCCGAAGCTGCAGTCTCTTTCTAGCGGCTATCCTCAACCCAAGGAAAAGGCCGGGCCTTGTGTTCTCAAGCGCTCCGACGGCCAGACTGTCAAGCTCGTTTGTCTGGACTGCAACCGAGAGAACTTCAGTAGCACGCAGGGTTTCATCAACCACTGCCGAATCGCCCACAGGCGAGACTTCAAGAGCCATGAAGAGGCGGCTGTTCATTGCGGCCATCCCATCGAGGTGAACGAAGGTGGCGGTGTCGTTGGTGAGGAAAAGGCGCCTACCCCGTCGACCGCTGTCGCTTCTGGCTTGGTTCACCCACTCGCTCAGTCCGATATGTCCACCCAGCAGGCCTATGTTGCTTTGCGTTCTAGGATCGCAGATTCCCTCAAGATGTACCGTGAAGGCAAGCTGCCTGGCGTTACAGGCATTCCCAGCGGATCCTCGGAGGCTGCGCCAGCGAAATCCACTGCGCAGAAGACTAACACCTTCACTCCGTCAGCCGACACCCCGTTCCTTTCGCGACTCATGCAGAGCAGGAACTTCGACGGCAACCTCGATGACATTGTCAGCGATGCCAAGGAGAAGATGTCGATGGAAGACGTTGCGACGCCAGGAGAGGATTCGGAAGAGACCGAGACCGGCCCCAGCAGTCCTCAAAGCACTGCTGCGCCCGCCGCTCGTGTTCCCGCTACCGCCATGCGCACGCCTGCAAGAGCGCCTGTACCCCCCGTTGTTCTGACATCGTCTACGAGGCCCGCAAGCAGCAAGGGCAGGTCGCCTCACACGGGCTTCGCCTCGCCGCCCATGAGCAGTCCTGACAAGGATGATGGTCGCAGAATGATGATGCTTCGTGATGAGGACGTCGAGATGGATGTTGACCTCAGCCCGAACACCTTGGTTAGCAACAACGCGCCCTCGCTAGTGAGCGATGATGGCGAGTACGACGATTCAGACGACGGGTCGTCCGAGTCTGAAGTCAGCGATCGGATGGACGCCGAGTCGGTGTCTGATGTTGCCGAGATTACTCTCGATGAGGATCACGATGGTCGACCTCTCGCCCATCACCGAGAGCCCAGCAGCGTCGGCTCCGGCGCCGCCATGCGCCTCAAGAAGGACGAAAACAAGCACGTCACCTTTGTTGGCCCTGTACACGAGAGCGCGAAGCGATCCCGGAAAGTTTAGCGTCTCTGCGATTCTTTCCCACGTCCCACGATGTTCTGCTTTCGCACGAGGACTTCTTTTTTCGAGGCAACCCCTCAAACTTGCCGCCAGACCCCTTTGGATTCACTGCTTTCTCCGGCGAGCAAGACTGTTTTTTCTTCTTCTCTTTTGCGCACACATACTCCCTTTAGTTGACGAAGCTTCTCTTCTCTCCTATTATCTTTTATTTATCCGACCCTGCGCAACCAGGGGTCAATTGGGACAGGCAAAAAAGCAGGCTGCGGTGATGGTTGTGGCCGGAGATGATAACGTCACTTGTTAGAGATATGAACCGGGCGTCACGGTTGTTGGGAAGCGTCTGCCTTTTTGCGTACTTTTTGTCTTGTTTTCTTCTTTTTTTTGTTTGCCTGTAGACTTTATACTGTTACAACTTGACTCCCCTTGGGCCGATACCCTCCCCGAGGAGTGAGATGGGTTCGGGAGAAACCCGAGAAGAGGGAGATGGTGTCCCGGGGAGGCGTACAACGCTCACGAGCCGGCTGTAGGATTCAGGGACCATCCGTGTTGTATCATAGCGATTGGAGACGAAGGCTTGATGACTGCAAACAAACAAAAAATATGATACGAACGAGGTCACGTTGAGTGACCACTGCCTACTACTTACTGCCCGCCCCGTATGAGTTGCTTGTGAATGACCTTGATAGGACGTGCCTTAATCTCGGAAGAGCGCGCGCCCACTGACTGCTTGGTGCTGACTCTTTGAGGCCTTGGCCGACGATCCTCGGGGTGTGTGCGCGCTGCGGCTTGATGAAGATCACCGGCCGGATGGCGCGCTCCCCACCGACGTCAAACGGACAATACTCCCTCCCGCTCTCATCGCGCCGAGAGTCAGTCCGTCGATTTTGGTCCGCACACTTTTCCGCGCGCGCAGGTTTAGAGTTTACGAGCGGCGGTGGGGTAATGGACGAGCAGCCCAACACCCTGCTCTGCTACCGCTACCGCTACTGCTGCTGCTGCTGCTCGCGCGAGTTGTTTCAAGGCACGGCTTGGGACCAATCTATCCCCCAACAGCACTGATACGGGCCAAACGAAGCGGCGAGTGAGAGAGACATTTTTATTCGTTATTCTCTTTGTTTCATGCTGTTCTTTTTTTTTTCTTCTTTTTTCTCTTCCCTGGGTTTTGTTCGAGAGAGGGAAGGGGGTGTGATGAGAGGGTGGGGGGTGTGGTGTAGGTGCGCATGAGCTCGACGCGGCTGCTTTTATATGCATGCATGGCAATTTTGTACGTAGGGTAGTATTACTCCGTAGAGAGCAGCTGCTGATGTTTCACGCGCGGGAAGGCGAGAAGGGGGAGGAGGGCGCTGGTTTGGATGAATCAACGGACGTTGCTGAGTCAACTCCCATCCACCCCGTCCATCTTCTCTTCCCTTTTTCCCTTCCCTTTCTCCGGTATTTGTTTCGTCTTTTTTTTTCTGCCCGACGTTGGGGTGTCCCCCATGCAGCTTTCAATTTTTCTCGTTGGCAAACCACCACCACCACCACCACCTCCCCCCGCTTCCTCTTTGATGGTATGCCCGCGCATGAAGAAGCAGGCCCCTTTCCGGTGACGTGTAGGTATTATGAAGTCTGGAGAGGTCCCGGAACAATCCCAGTCACTGAGGAGGCGCACCGCGTTTAAACGACTTGATTGGCTCGTAGACCTTGTTTTGCTTTGTTTCCTCTCTTCTTTCTCTTTCATCTCATGGGGGAGGGGGCAAGGAGCGCTTTGTCCATGAAAATCATGAAAGGGTGGAATTAGGTAATTACAAAAGTTGAAACCCCATTAAACATCCTGCGGGTTTCTCTCTTTTCCCTTGGTGTCGGCTTGACTTGCCGCTCGCTTTGTCCCCGCCAATAGTATGCATCGGAAACCAATCCCGTTTTCCTTTTTGGAAAGCCCAAATCTCCTTAGCACCATAACATTAACCCGCTGGAGTGACATGAATGTTTTCGGGCATCTTTCGTCAACGGAAAAAACCCGGTCCGGTTCACCCGCCTTGTTCGTCTTCTTCGTCATGTGGAAGGAGGAGGGATCACGCTCTCTCTTTCTGTCTTCGTCCGTTTACAGAACGGCGGCGACGACGCCGGCAACGGCGAGGAGGACGCCTCCGGTGTTGCGAGCGAGCTGGCCGACGCCCATGTTGGGGGTGCTGGAGGCGGTGGCGGAGGACGAAGTGGAGGCGGCATCATCGCCGGCCGTGCTCGTCGGGGTGGCCGAGGCCGAGACGGAGGCGACACCGGAGCCGGTGGCGGTAGCAGCGGCAGCGGCTTCGGTCTTGCTGCGCATGGCGGCAGAGCCGTAGAGGGAGGCCTGCTGGCAGTAGATGGTTACCTGGTTCTGGGCGGGCGAGGCGCGGGGGTCGTTGGGGCAGTTGTTGTAGCAGGTGGCCACGGCCTGGTAGCCGGCGCACTGGCAGTCGTAGTCGGTGGGGCTGCAGGAATTGACCTAGAGTGGTGGGAGTCGTGTAAGCAAAACGTGGTCATTGGGAGGAGGGAAGAGAGTAGAAGCCATCCCAGCCATCACCTCAAGATGGAGGGCGGAATGTGGATGGATGGAGCATACCTTGGCGTTCTCGCTAGTCAGGCAGGCCTCGACGATGGGGGCGGCGTCACACTTGTCGTCCTGGGCAGCGGCGACGGCGGCGAGGGCCAGGGCGAGAGGGTAGAAAAACTGCATTGTGGAATGTTGTGGATGACGGGTTCGGTCGATTATTGCGGGTCTTGTTCTTTTCTTATCGAGAGCGACGGTTTGGATATACAACGAATCCAACGAGCGAAGTGGTCCTGGGACTTGTAGCGAATGGGATTGACGAAGCGCGAGGGAATTAGGCTTGTCGAGGATGGAATATGCTGCTGGTGGGCAGTGGATTGGCGGAGGTTTATTAACGGGATGGAGAGAAAAGGGAAGGGGAAGAAAGGTCAGGAACGAGGCACAGTGGACGGGGCGGGAATATTAAATAAGGACCATAGCATTATCAGTGACGGCGCAATTTTATCACTGTCGTTGTATCCGTACGATCTTGGGGGTGGGCGCCCATCTGCAGGCCGGGATGTTGGGGGGTGGGAAGGCTAGGACGAAGGAGGGAATCGAGGAGCCAGAGGACGCCGCCTCCCCTTCCTCTCTTACCCCCCGGACTAAGCCGAGGCGGGCCCTTCCCCCAAAAAAGAAAACAGTGGCGCACTGCCGCTAGTGAATTGGATTTATGATAGGCAAGACCCTCTTCACTTCTCTTCTCTTCTCTGCTTTCCTTTCCGGGTCAAGGAGCCAACAAAGTGGAGGAGGAAGGGGGTGTGACCACCAGGGGTTTGTTTTGAGGCTTGAGGCTCGACTTTTGCGGAGATTGATGAAGCTTGCCCCCCCCTTCGTGTTCTACCAAGTACAGAGGAATAGGCGTGGTAGGCACTGTGGCCGAGATATTACATTTGCAGTGCAGAAGGGCGGAAGAGACAAGAGCAACGGCAGCATAGTATCCCGCACAACCGCAACAGAAGAGAGTGCGAATTATTGGGAACGGGGACACCGGAACATGGTGATGGCGTCAAGCCCCCGCTGGAAGGACGACCGAGGAGGAGAGTCTCCGCGACCTCCTTGTCACTGCCAATCCCCCGTCCTTTGCTTCCAGAGCAGTGGAGAGGAGGATGGATGGATGGGCAACCATTCGTGCGCATCTGGTGTGTAGTGTGCATAATGCTTGCTATATGTCTGGGTTTCTCTATCCTTACAGCTTTCCAGCCCCAGGCTGTGAGGATGTCAGGGGAACGGGGCCTCGTTGACGATTGGGGAATGCCTCGAGATTCTTGGCAGAAGACCGAACGACCAGGGCTGAGGACTACTACCATCGTATGGTAGGTAGTAGACTTGGCCCAGGTCTTCTTCGACATGGGGGCCCTCAAGTTGAGCCCGGACGGTTTTCCTTGGCAGATGGGCGTCCCTATCCGCTGTGCTCCCTCCGTTTATGCCTCTACCGCCGGCCGTCTCGGCCAATATATTGTGCAGTTGCAGCGGTGCGACTTTGGTGAGCATAGAACGGAAGAAAGCCATGGAAACCAGCTTGGAACGACCGGCCGCGCGAACATGGAGCCCGGCCGTCGAGATGAGGTCTAATCTCGTTCCGGCTGGAAGGCCAGGGGGTGGAGGCTCGATTCGACATGACGGGCCTCTCATTGGTCGACCATGCTGGCTGCGCTTCCTCCGGCCCCTCCCTTTACCCCTGGCTTCTCACAGGGAGCAAGGGGCAGTGGACAGGGGGGCTTCAAAGAAGAAGGAGGCGTCTGTGCTCGCAACGGATGAGTTGCATTGCAGCGACGATACTCCGTACAAGCGCCGGTATTTCTGGCATGCTCGCTCTTTTGCAAGTCATGCTCCGGAGACGCGTGATGGAGAAGAGAGAAAGACATAGAGAGAGCCGGCGGACGTTCGTCCCGGCACGATTCCCCGCCGAGTCAGGCTTCGCAGAGTAGAACGGCATCTGATCTGAAGACGGACGGCGCAGCTGTCGTCCGTTGACGTCGGGAGGCTTTGACCTCCTCTTCCTGCACCAAGCCAACAATGGGAACGGGCGTGTGAGGTTGGAACGAGCTTTTGACTGGCCGCTTTCTTTGTTTTTGCCTCAAGTCGTCTCTACTATGGGTCTGCCCGCGGGCGCTCCTTGTGGTCTCCGTCTGTGGAGTGCAGGACCGGGCTTCTCGGAGCCCCGTTGTTCAAGACATGCTCATTCGCCCTAGCTTATGAGTGTAAGCAGGATACGCCATGCTTTCTCACTCACACACACACACACTCCCACCCTCTATATACTTGTATATCTATCTGTAAACTGCTTATACATACAGGGTGGCAGGGGAAAGTAAAAGGCCCCCTGTTATGTAATATCGCCACACAGCCCAGCTGGCTAGGCTAGTAAACAGTACTGTAATGCCCGCTACTGAAATAAGCTGGGGGGTGAGCGTTAGAGTAAGATACCTGACAGGGGGTGTAAAACTTCGGCCGGATACCATAGTATGAACTACTGGAGTTGGAGGTGACTGAGAACCCACATTCCCGCTCCTTTCGCATTCACCGCCATCGTCTGTATGTACAATACTCGCGCGTTTACCTCATGCGACTCCCCTCGTTTGTTTGTATGGGGTATCCAATGATGCGCTTCCGTCGCCTAGCCAGGACATAGGAACGGCAGAGGTGAGAGGTGGGGCGCGACGCCGAAATGTTGTCTCCTGACCCAATCACTGCCTCGCTACGGATACATATACGGCATCTGCAAGCAAGAGCAGCAATACGAGGTGCAGTACAGGCGGCTGGTGCTGCATCGTATACAGAACTTTACCAGCGACGTATCACCCCTCACCAAAGCTGCGACCCGACCTCCAGCCGTGACACCCAATCTCATGATCGAACACCGAATATTCGGCCAGTCCTGTCTATCGGTTTGCAGCTCGTCGTAGAGCTGGAGACAACACCACTGGCCCGTTTGATATGCTCAATGTCATCACGGATCAAAGAGGGCCGAGGCTTTCCCTGCAACGGCATTTGCATCTCCTTCGCATCCAAAGCGCTTGGATGTGGCTGGCCTCGTCGTGCTCTGGAATCTTGAAGCACGTTCCGCAAGGTGGGTTTCATTGCAACACAATAGCTGCGCGTTCCGGTAAAAGCAGTGTTTCATTCATTCGCACAACGCTGCCGATCTCAAGCAATATGCCACAACGCCCAAACCATATAAAAAAGCTGTCCCTTGTGCCGGATCGTTTCTTCGTCATTAGTGCAGTCCCTGGCGGGTATCAATCGCCACGGGGCGCACATCACCATCCAACATCATTAACAGTCTCGGGCTATCGCATCGCCAGCTGCCTCTTCAGTTCCCCGTTCTCTCGCTTGAGGGTCACCAGCAGCTCCTCGAGACCCTCCGTCCTCTCCACTGCGCCCATGCTCATCTCCTCAACGAGTTTGACAAACCGAAACAAACGGAAGACAATAACGAGCGACGCAATCTCCTCCACGATGCCATGCGAGAGCACATCGACGGTGAAGCTCACCACGATGACTAGGCCGTCCAGCACGTGAAACCAGTCGTGAAAGTACCTAGAACGGAGGGGTCAGATATGTTGAGCGACAGACGTCAGTATCCATCTCACCTCCACCCAAACGCCGTCACGCAGAGAATCAGCTCTGCCAAGAACACACAGCTGAACACAAGACCGGCGAGGGTGAGGCCTTGGCGCGTGCTCTTGACCCACGGTTCGTCGTCCCGCTTCATATCGCAGGCGACGAGTTCCACAAAGATGTTGGCCATGAGCGTCGCCACGTCCAGGAACACCAGGGCGAGAATGACGTAGTGTTTCCTCCGAGACGAGAGCATGTCCTGAAGACTGATCCGCGACTGGCTGAGTTGTCGACTGAGGGGCGTCGGCCGTCTGTTCTCGCGGAACCCGGAGAAAGACCAAAGCAGAGGTCTGCTCGGTTCCTCATCAGATGCCATAGCTGCTAAGACGGCGGTCACAGATGGAGGTACGGGATAGCAAGGCTATGTAGTAGTCCGAGATACGTGGTCCGTTGAATACAGTGCTCTCGAGTGCGGAACAAGCGATCGCAGCCTGTCCGGGTGGGATCTTCTCGCGCGCGCGCAGTGAGCGGACGCAGGAAGGGAGGGTGATACAAAACCTGAGGCCGAGAGGATAGCCGGCAACCCGGCGATGCGGTGCTGACGCGGTGCACCTTCAGCAACGTCGCACGTGGACTCTGACGGACGACTGGCGCACAAGGCGGCTCAGGTCCCGAAATCCTGCAGAACTGCTGACTAATGCTCAATGACACCTCCTTGGCGGTCGGCTTTCAGCTAACGCTCTAGCCCGGAAGCCGTAGACGGACTCGGGACGTGGCCGGATTCGTGATCAAACGTCGGAAGCCCGACGTCGTCCAGCCGGTCGAGCGGCTCGGCCGGTGATTTTCAGTCGTTGGCTGTCGGAGTACGGACCTGGGTGGATCACTGAAACGGAAAAGGATTGAGCGACGCGGAAGCTGGGCCGGAGGGATTCGGTCTGCGGGCTTGTACACGGTCGCGATCGACTTTGGTAGATTGGAGCAGGGAACTTGCTGTGGTTCCCCCGCTTGACGCTCAATAAACACAGGCTCCCCCGCTATGACATAGCACGTGTGGGAATTCGCATTGCAACGTCGGGCAGGGTTGGCGCATGACGTAGCTTTCGGATGTTGAACTTAAGAGATGATTGTCGATCGAGATGAAGCCCAAGTCCGGCACAGCAGAGTGAGGGGGAGAGAAAAATCCGCAGCAACTGTCTCGAAGCCAAAGCCAGTTGATCGAAGCAAGACTGATGATGGACGTACAGGGAAACAGTCGCGGAGAGTAGATCCCGATCTGTCTAGCTGGGCCTTGACCGACCTCTTCTCACCAACGTGAATGACCGTCTCTATCGCCGATCCAAAAGAGCCATAAGCTACCTAGTTGCCGACAGATATACTTGAAACCTTGACAGGGTTAGGTACTTGCGCAACAAAGCCCAACTGCCTATCCAGCTGATGAAAATGGGCGCTCGTTTTTTGAAACAAACATTGCATATCCTTTTCTAGTAGCACTCGCCCAAATCCTTGATCATGTGACTGTACTGTACTAGTCACTCGACTTGTTTTCGCTAGATCTCTAGAGTAGGCGCGGTGAGCGGCAGGTGCGGACAAGCTCCACGACCCCGCCAGACAAGCAATTGCATTCTATCATATACACGACCGCGCCGTCCAGACCTCCCCCAGCGTCACCCCGAACACCACAAGAGGACAATTCATTCTCTCCCGGGTAGGCGGATTTCTTCCCTTGTACAACTACCCTCATCATTTCCAACATCACTCAGCGGAGCTATCCCACGTCCTTTGGCCACCACGAAACAAAAGCTTGGGGTTGGAGCTCTTATCTCTTATCGGGGCGCCCCGGCTAAACCGTGGGTCTTCTCCCTGCCCATTTTTGGCATCAGGACTGTCGAACACGTTCAACACCTCTACCTTACCATCAGCCTTGTCCGGCCCCAGTCTCTGCACACGCTGCTGCATCAATCTTGCGCAGAGCCAGAGCTTGTCAGGTAAACTCTGAATCTGTGAGTATCTCCAATTCCATACCATGGTGCTCTGTGTTGGCCCGGGCAGCTCCCATCTAGGGAGCCCCTCCCAAGGCTGTGGCCGTCTAGAAAAACGGCGCGTCTGCCTTGCCACACCATTCATTTTGCTCATTTCAGCATCGACGACTAACACACCTCTCCCTACAGACCAGCACATCGATCTACGATCGCTCAAGCCACAACCATGGCGGACGTGAAACCTGAAGAAACCCCTGTGGAGGACCACAACGTTGAGAACAACGACAACAATGAGAACAACAGCGTCGGCGAGGAAGACGGCCACGATGAGGTGCGCTCAAGACGCTTTTTCCGCCATTGGCTTCGCAGATAAAGAGGAGGTAACTGACAGCACAATCGTAGGAGGAGATCTCTGCGATGAAGAGACGGGTAGCCGAGATGGAAGAGGAGGCAGCTAAACTGCGCGAGATGCAAGCCAGCCTCGACCAGCAGAGTCGGGAGCTGTCGGAGAATAAGGAAGATATCGACAGCCGCAGTATCTTTGTCGGAAACGTCGATTACTCTGCCTCGCCTGAAGAGATCCAGGCTCACTTCCAGAGCTGCGGCTCCATCAACCGCGTCACAATCTTGTTGGACAAGTTCACTGGACAGCCGAAGGGGTACGTCACGCTCTCCCTGCTCGCCACGCGCGAACCGGTCTGTTGATAAATGATGGGGCTAACATGCTGCCGCGCTTCAGGTATGCTTACGTCGAGTTCACCGAGCCGAGCCTCGTGGCCCAGGCTCTCGTACTCAACGAGAGTGTCTTCAAGGGTCGCAACATCAAGGTCGTCCCCAAACGTACCAACGTTCCTGGCATGTCCCGCGGTCGCGGGCGCGGCGGCTTCCGCGGCGGTCGTGGCGGCTTCGGGCGCGGCGGTTTCCCGCCTCGGGGTGGCTACCGCGGGGGCTACCGTGGCCGGGGAAGAGGAGGATACACTCCTTATTAGGCAGGGTTACGTCTCTCGTAGGCCCGCGCCCGGCGTCAAGTTGGGATTGGTGGATGCGACACGGTTTATCACTTCGATTGTAACATACAGGACCGGTAGGGAAAGGGCAAAGCTTCGTTATGGCGTTCAGGGATAGGTCAGGCCCAGTACACAAAGTCGATGAGATGTAACTCTACATTGCGAAAGGTGACAGAGTGCGATCCTGTTCTCGATGTGGAATATCGGATGGTGAACGACGTCCGAGACACGATACTATTAGTCCGCATACGGGTTACTTATGGTCGAGAACAAAACAAGCCTTGGGTAGAAGACTATCCTGCACCCCTCTCGTTCAATTCATCGGTCCAGGGGAGACACTGAGAGCTCCCTCATGGCGACGCCAAAGACACAAACAATCAGTGCCACCGGGTGCACATAATTGCGGTGAAGATAGCAGATGATACGTCATATGCGCATCAAGTAATGGATCATGGCAATGAAAACCGGCCTGGTCGGGTTCGCAGCGAGACAAAACGGACGGACAAGCCTAGCGGTGCCGTCCTTCCGCGGTTGACCCACGAAGTCGCCCGATCCGGGCGCAGAGGCACCGCCGCCCGCCCCTTGGAACGCTCACCTTTCTGGGGTTTCCGACGGCCAGCTGACACACGGAAGTGCCTATTCCTCCATCTGATACGACCCAAAGGGGGGGGGCATCAGCCGGGCAAGGGCCTCGATCGCCGCCCTGAACCCAACCATACAAGGTCATTTTTTCGCACCGAGGGACCGGACCTGATGAGAATAGCTCGGCCCAGGGAGAGCCAAAGTAAGTCTGCGGCACGTGCATACTGTTAGAAGTCGATGCGCACAAGTCGGCAAACCTACGACGACTGCGATTTAGGGGTAGACAGGCAGGTTTTAAAAAAAAGGAATGGGCGGACAGCGATTCATTGGAGGGACACTACGGGGTGGGGGGCAGAAGACAGAGTTCATTGGGTTAGGGACTTTGTGTTATTTATGGCATACCATGTGCTCTAGGCGAATTCTCGTTCGCGTGCTCGCTGGTGTGCACAGAGGAGAGAGTATGTGGGATGGATGGATGGAGGGATAGCCGGTTGGCTGGAGCGTCATGGAGGGCGGCGAGGGAAGGGAACGGACTGGACGTGCCGGGCACCATTCGGTGCTCCCAAACCTCTAACCTCAGGCATGTTGACATGCCGGAACGCCGAACGGGGAAGGGGGGGTCTGAAGTTAGCTGGGGTGGCTGCTTGCCTGGGAAACCGGAAGAGAGCGAGGTGAACCTTTCGAGATGGACACTGGAGCGAGACAAAGAGAGAGGGCGGAAGAGAGCAAGATATCTAGAGACGGCAGAGGGAGAGAGGGATAGGTAGGTCGAGAGGAAGGGTGGCTGTAGCGCATGAGGTTCGGGAAACGAACGGGAAAGGTAGGATGGGACGAGGAACAATGCGCTGTTTCTGGTTTTGTCGTGTTCCTCCTTCTCCCTACCTAGGTAGGCAGGCGCCGGAGGTAGCTTTTTCGGATGACTCCTTGTAGTTTCTAATCCTGACCAAAACATGAGAAATCCATCGTGAGAAAATCTTGGCCTTGCCTCCCCCCCCCCCTCCTCAGCGAAGGTGTTACAATAACAAGGCCAGAGAGAAAAGGAAAGAGGCGTACAAGGTTGGATTGGAAGGCGAATGATAATTAGCAAAGGTATCGAAATCGCCACAGGAAAATTATGTAACGAGCATGATGCGCTCATGCAATCGCTTGGTCAGGTTCTAGATCTATCTTGACGGCTCGAACTGAGGGGCCCTCCCAGGCAGTTTTTATGGGCTCCGGGCTGTTAGGCATGGCGGGCACCGCCAGGGTACAGGTCACGCCGGGTAGGGTCCCCGTCCCGAGCGACAGGTACTATTGCTGAAGCCACCCGAAGCCAGGTCTACCTAGGCACACACACGCTATCTATCCGTACTCTGAGAGCGAGGTACTACTCCCTCTCTCTCTCTCTCTCTCTCTCTCCCCAACCCAACCCAACCCGAGCCGACTCAAGAAGGGATGGGGCTGGGTGTGGTGCGGTGTAGGAAGCAGGGGCTTGTTGGATTTGCGGTTTTCTGACGGTCGTAGGCATCCGAAACGCCATTGAGGACAGTGTTTAGAAACCCAAGGAGGCCTGCCACGGTGCTTCCCGGGGGAGTTGCTTTGTTTTGGCTTTCCTCCTGGCGCTCCGCACTCCAGCTGCCTCTTGGTTGCTTGGCGAGGTACGTTTAAACAACGCAAGGGCAAAGAGGATTGAGACAAGAGAAGCCGCGCCTTTTTTTTTTTTTTTTTGTATGGTAGAGAGCGGAACACGCGAGCGCATTGAGCAGCGCCTGGTGGTGTCCATCGCCAATACCGAGGTGGCACCTACTTTGATAGATAGAGTTCCCTCATCAGCCTCTGCACCCGTCCCTGGTCAGCCACTCCTCCTCCTGCGGTTGCAATAGCACAAGCCTAGCATGTATTTGGATCTGAAGAGTCTGAATGTGGTGTGGGTGTGCTAACTCGCAATGCCCCCTTGATCATGGCAACTGTCTGCCGCCCTCCGATGGCCGACGACGACTGAGCACCTCTGCTCGCTTTCCAGCCGGTACCCCAAAGTGACTTCCTGGCCCCGCCAAGTACTAACAGGCGCGGATACGCCATCCGCACCAGCTTGTTTTGCCTCTCTCCTCTCCCTCTCCATGCTGCAGGTGCCGTAATCACTATGCCCAGTCACTGCTTACTACTACAGGTGGTGGTACTTTTGTCCACCACCTCAGTCACCAACGGGCAACGCCCAAAGAGCAGGACTGAACCTTGTTCCGGCTCGCTGCGACCGGTTACCACCTTAATACACCTACCTACCCACCCACCGCCTACTTCACCTCCCGCATCACGCCTAACAACCTTCACTACCTACCTACCTACCTACTGTGTACTCTCTCTCTTCCGGCCGGAGACACATCCACTCGCACACACGTACCGTTTGACAAGCGCTCAGACGGGGGGGCGACTACCTTACCAAACACCAAACCTGCTCCATTCTATCTTCTTTCCTTCAACAACCAACCTCTAGACCCCATCTAATCCACCAGTCGATCCTCTTTCACCCTCTCTCCCCTCTCGCCGTTCGTCGACAAGTCCAATATCCTCTGTCCTTCATCGCTGGTTCGAACCCATCCGGTCAGTAGGTAGTATTCTTACTGTCCTGTCCTGTCCTGTCCGTCCGTCTGTCCTTCCGTGCTTGAGCCTTGCTTGACCTTCCCGCCGCGTCACCTTATCATCCACCTCTACACTAGAGGGAACTTCAAGGGCCGCCCCCCCCCAAAAAAAACCAAGCCCACTTGGCTCATCGGAGCGGGGGGCTTTCTGCACCACACAGCACAGCACAGCCTCATCTCTGCTTGTCGCCGCCGTCCTTGTCGTCGTCAACGCCAATCCGGACTGCCTGACCTCATACCAGCAGCCGACATCTTTTTTCCGCTGCTACTGCTGCTGCCTCCCGACGTCGCTGAACGATCCCATTTCGCCGTAATCTTGCGACCGGTCATTCTCAAACGCTTTCGCCGCAACCTCCCCAACCCCTCATTTGTTCCAAGAACAGACGACCGTCTTTTGAGCACGACAGGTATTTTGGGAGTCGACACCGTTGTCGCTGGCTATCCCGCGACGAAATGAGTTCCTCCCGCAACGATGCCGGGCAGCCCAAGTAAGTCCTGCTCATGCTCCTCCCGGCTCTCCTCTGCTCTGCTCTGCACACAATGTCATCTCGACGACATCGCCGCCGAAAGAACCATGATAGCTAACTGTGCCGTCCCTCAGCCGCAAGCCCAACCTCCGAGTAACGAGTTTGTCATCCCCACGTCGTCACCATGCGCAGCATCGGCAGCAGTAACTAACTTGAACGCAGTCATCGCCGCAGATGGCTTGTACAAGCGAGATGTATTCCGTACGTTGTTCCCCATAGCCTCCCAAGGTGCCAGCTTGTTGACTAACCTTGCCTAGGGTTTCCCGATCCTTTCGCCGTCATCACTGTCAATGGAGACCAGACCAAGACCACGACGGCTCAGAAGCGAACACTGAACCCATACTGGAATGAAAGCTTCGACCTGTGAGTAGCAGTTCCTATCGCGCCCGTCGCATCCATGCCATGATGCTAACAGGCTACAGTCACGTAAATGAGGACACCATTTTAGCAGTCCAGGTGTTTGACCAAAAGAAGTTCAAGAAGAAGGATCAGGGTTTCCTTGGCGTCATTAACGTCAGAATCGGCGATGTCATTGAGCTGGCACCAGATGCCGATGGTAACAATTCCCCGCTGTGACTGGTCGCGGGCTCGACTGACATTTTTCGTTGCACAGATCAAATGCTCACGCGAGACCTCAAGAAGTCGACCGACAACCTAGTAGTACACGGAAAGCTAATAATCAATCTGTCCACGAACCTCACCACACCCGCTCGAGCTGGGCAGGCCTCGTCTAGCCGACCGTCACTCGTTCCGCCGGCGCAAGGATCTAGTATTTCGGCACTTTCAGCCCCAGCAACTGATGCTAGGCCGGGCTCCGCGACGGGTGTCCCGAACGGCGGTCCGGCACCTGGCTCTCAGGTTAACCTTCCGCATAGACCAGCCAGTATGACATCAAACGGCCCCCCCCCCGCTGCCAACGGCACCGCAGCCCCTGCACGCCAGCCCAGCACCCTCAGCCCCTTCGAAGATGCGCAGGGCCGGTTGCCTGCTGGCTGGGAACGCCGAGAGGATAACCTGGGTCGTACCTACTACGTCGATCACAACACCAGGACCACCAGCTGGAACAGACCAACCGTTGCCGGTGCCGCGGAACAGAGGAACGACCGCGAAGCAGCTACCCAAGTGGAGCGTCAACGACATCAGAACCGAACCCTCCCAGAGGACCGAACGGGCGCGAACTCCCCTACTCTGCAAGCCCAGCAGGCAGCCGCCGCCGCCGCCGCCGCTCAGAGCGCGAGTAACTCTACCATGATGC